CTTTGCAGTAGCCGGGATTATAATCATCCAAACGAATGGCAAGATAATAATGATTGAAACAAAAGCAGATTCTACTCTCAAGACCATTATGTGGATTTGCTGAAGGTGATTGCTTGTTTTCCCGCTGGTAAATTCACTTCTTTGGGGGGAATCTACTTGGAATATGTGTTTTTGGGCCATGTTGAACAAATCCAATACGATTACATTTCTCAAATGGCCAAACATAACTATATTTTATGACAATTCCACTTTAGTATAGTCACTATCATGATAATGACAAGATATATATAGATAGATATAACGAATAGTCACTAGATTTTTTTTTATTCCACTAAATTATTTTGTATATGATCCATTATAATAGCCCGCAGAGGAATCTAGTGATTCTCCACCAACATTGTTCATCCATCATGGTACTATTCAGATGTTGTGTTTACCCCGTATAATTATATCTTTAATATCATCCGTGGTTTTTATCCACTCATGGATCCGGATGACGGATGCGGATGAACTTTATTTGATGATGATGTGTATATATCCACTAACGATATCTAACGATTTGATATGATCATATATGTTCCGTTATGATGAATACGAATAAATATAAATATAAGTATAAATATATATATATATATATAGACTATACATATAAATGGAGAGTTTATGATAATTCCTTCAACAATATTTCATCATATTCAGAATACCATTGAACATAAATGTCCACCATATTCATTGGTTACATGTTGTATATGGTTGGTGGTTTGGAACATGTTTCTTTTCCATAATATATGGGATAATCCTTCCCATTGACTAATATGTTTTAAAGGGGTTGAAACCACCAACCAGCTATATTATTCATTAGATCAGGTATTAATCACTATTAACCACTATTAGCCACTATTAATCAGGTATTAATCACTATTAACCATTATTAGCCACTATTAATCAGGTATTAATCACTAGTAACCATTATTAGCCACTATTAATCAGGTATTAATCACTATTAACCATTATTAGATCATATTTATATATATATATATGGATCATCTATCCACTCCCAGAGATGGATGTCACACTCTCGAGGTCATCGAAGCGGAACGCCACGAGAAGGCGGTGCGGAACGCCTCTATGGCGGTGGCGGCGGCCTCCTTCCTGGCGCCTCAGCCGCAGAGATGGCGAGATGGCGGCTGGGGGTTGAGCCTATGGGAAAAATATGGGAAAAACGATGGTAAAAATATGTAAAAATATGGCAAACTATAGGAAAACCATGGGAATGGTGGAAGAAAACATGGAAATATGATGGGAAAACTAATAATGGACAAATTAGAATGAACCATGGAAAAGTACGGGAAAACTTTGGAATTTCCATGGAAAAATCGAAAACCTCCAGCCATGGCGGGTCAGGTTACCATCCCCTTGGGTGGCTGGGGCATTTGGGCTGGTTGCGCAGTGAGATGCGCGGCAGCAGGCGCGGCAACCCTTGGGGTTCTTTCGGTAGGGAAGGATGTCAAGTGATGGAAATTGATTTTAGTTTGAAGAAAAAATTGTGGTATATGATATTTATATGGGATTATGTCTGATTTCAAAAAGCAAAGTTGGAATTTCCAGCACACAACTTGGGATTTAAAGAACGAAAAGTGGCGATGCCAGGAAAAATGGGATCGTGATCATGAGCAATAGTATTGTTAATAACCATGGATTTGAAACAAGGCACATTAAATGGAGTTATGATCAACTGGCATCACATCTTTACTAGTTCGGAACATTCAAATGGGTCATGACGGGTAAGTTCACCCTGGCCTCGCAGATGGAACCCATTTTTTGTTTCTTACAGCCATTGCGACATGCCGGAATCTGGTGAATCTGTCAGGCGAATCACACTTCCACCAGTAGAAGTCATTGAATGTTATACATCTAACATGGTTTATTACCAATTATTCCCCATCTATAGTTACAATATCCATAAAGCATGATTAACCACCTATAGTTAAGGTTAACTATGCATATATTATCATCTGTTTATAGTCACATCCCACCATTCCAAGCATTGGGATCCCCGGAGGCACGGCCTTGGGCGTGGGCGTCATGGCCTCCACCGTGACTCCGGCCACGAACGAAGGAGCGCCTTGGCCCAAGCTTTCTGGTTGGGTCTGATGGATTTGATTATGGAAATGAATATGGATATGATTATGGATTTGATGATGGGTATGATTATGGATATGATTATGGATTTGATGATGGATTTGATTATGGATATGATTATGGATATGATTATGGATATGATGATGGATTTTTGATTGTGGATATGATTATGGATTTGATTGTGGATATGATTATGGATTTGATTATGGATTTGATGATGGATATGATTATGGATATAATTATGGATTTGATTATGGATATGGTTATGGGTTTTTTGATTATGGATTTGATTATGGATTTGATGATGGATATGATTATGGATTTGATGATGGATATGATTATGGATATGATTATGGATGTGATTATGGATTTGATGATAGATATGTTTATGGATATGATTATGGATATGATGATGGATTTTTGATTATGGATTTGATTATGGATATGATTGTGGATATGATTATGGATTTGATTATGGATTTGATGATGGATATGATTATGGATTTGATTATAGATATGATGATGGATATGATTATGGATTTGATTTTGGATTATGGTCTGAAAATCGGGTACCTCTAAACCCATTGGTTAATCATTCGTGTCCCAGTATGTCATAATGTGATGGATATGGGATGTAATTCTGCGAGAACATAATCATATGGACGTATTGTGATTGGTTGATATCATATGCATCTATTCCAGTATATCATAATATGAGGTATAATATGATCGTTTTTCTTTTAGGGGATATATATATATATATACATTACTGGGACAACATCATGATATGGATACATTACATGATGGATTTATAATATGCATATATAATATGATATGCGGATGTATTATGATACACTGGGATCCTTTTGTGCATACTGGGATAATGCTGGAAAAATAATTGCGATGAGAATGTGGTGATTATTTACTGTTACTTTAGTAATGAGATACTAATCGGATGATGTCAACACCGGAGTAGACCTGCGTTGTTTGATTGGAGTACCATATTTAGTAAATCATCACTTTTTTCGGGGTACACCAAAATCATCAAGCTGGGATGGTTCAAATCCACTTCTGCAAAGCCTCTGGGGATGGCTTACATTGGTTTATGCTTTTGGTTTTATCTCATTAGATGGCTCACATAGTGATTTCAGTGGGGTTGTAATAGTGGATGTGATCCACTAACTTCAGTTGTTCCATTTCAGTGTTGCTGACAGCTGAGGAAATGCAGGGCGACCAGGCAAGAAACCTGTGGAACACAAGTTTTGACGCACCGCTCCCCACATTGTTTACAGGGTTTCTTGTACTTCCTCGCATCACCTTTTTCTGTGGTTTGAATGTGTTTGAAGGGTACGCTGATTTTGACAAAGGGTGCTGTTTGCAAACCACCATGGAAAGGGTGTGTATGAGACTCTGGCAACAACAAGAAGCCAAAGCAGTCCAATAACAATGTTTTTTGCACCACCTGCCCCTGCTGAAAACTCCTGTAAGACACAGAAAATTAGCTTTAATTCGAAATCATGGTCCCAAGATTGCTAATGTGTTGTGTTTTTCTGGGTTCTCTCCATCCATTTTCCAAGAACTCCAACTGTCAACTGGATTATATATATTCAGGTTCAGAGATATTTCTCAATACAAACTTTAGCTGCATCATCCACCATTTTCTGTCCACTTACTTCCCAAACAAACCGTTTTGTTTGTCCCAAGGTGTTTCTTCATTGTAGATGAATGTAAACATTGTTTTTTATCTTAAAACCACATTCTTTCACCATAAAACCACATTTTTTCACCATAAAACTATCATTGTTCACCACAAAACCATCATGTTTCTCTTATTCTCCCCCATTTTCCCATGTATTCTCCCCATCCTTCCTTTAGATTCCCCATTGTCACCCCGACTTTTCCAGGACACCCTGGGTGGTCACAGCTGCCTGGGTGCGGGACGCTTTGGAGCCATCGGAGCGCAGGAGGCCAACAAGCGGGTGATCTTCAACCGCACAGCACCGTGGCGCATCGGGCACACGGAGATATGGAGTTGCTATGGATTGATCATGATTTATATACGGATGGCATGATATAGATTTTTTTGAGATTTTCAAGCCATGTCTTTGGATTGGATTGATATGGTTGTTCCATTGATGTTTTTTTAACCTGATTTCATGGATGGAGATGAACAATGTAAATGCAATTGAAAGTACTGCAAAATCATTGCTAATAGATGTCCAACTTAAGTGATAATTGATTATTATACATGCAGAATGAGGATTACGACCAAAACACTAGGGGCTTGACCAACAAACAAGTAGATTCTGCAGTAGGTAGATGATCTATTTGGTAGTAATGCAGTTAGCTATATCTCAAAATAGGGCACCCTCAATTTCAACAGATTCAATGATTACCTTTGTGTTTACCATTCAGATTGCAATTTTGGGATATTCCGATCTCCCACGTTGGCAATGTTGTACATAATTAGAACAAAATTGTAGATATCTGAATAGGTTGAAGATTCCATTGGGGTGAGAAAGTGCACACCTGAAGCTGGAGATTTCAAGACAACTCAATTTACTCAATGGCAAAATTCGGATGCAAGAGACTTTGTGAAGCCCCTGATGCCGCAAGTCAAACGATCCAAAACGGAAAGCCACAGTTTTTTTTTTAAGATATAGACTAGTCATAGGTGGTGCCTTGTCAAGAATTGAAGTCGGCTTTCTGATCGATATAAACATACATAAACAATATCACTGTGATTCAGCAACACCTGGTCCTGCGAATTTCTCATCTCATCGCTCCCCGAGGCAGCAACGATTCGTGAGGGAAAAGCCGATGCCCCAGAAGACGTTGAATATTTCTGAGGGCCGCTGATCAACCATGACATGTCTTGTTTTTCCCGAATGGGTAGCAAGGGTTCCCGTTTCACTCTGGGGGTCTGGGGGTTGAGCTCGCTCGACGTTGCGTTTGTGGCCGCAACCGTCCGCAACCGTCCACAACCGTCCGCAACCGTCCGCAACCGTCCGCGCGATTGCTATATGGCCGTGCCTATGGTAAGTTCTGCAGAGGTGGTCATTTTTGGAGGTTTCAAACTTCTCGTTGCTTCGTTTCGCGGGGCAGGCGTGGCACTTCGTGACATTCAGACGTGTTTTGTAACGTGTCGAAAGTCGTTTTGTGTGGCAGGCGCAATACTTTTGCGACGTTTTCAGAAGATGCGTTGCAGTTTTCGTGGCAGGCGCAGCACTTTGGACGTGTCCAGCGTCATTTTGCGTGGCAGGCGCAGCACTTTAGACGTGTGGTGCTGCGTGTTTTTTGCGAATCGCATTGGCAGGGCTGCGTCAAGTGGCGACAAGGTGCAAATTCTGTGGCAGACGTGGCAGTTTGTGAGATGTGCTGAAAATTGACGGAAGCCTCGCACGAAACATCGATTTTGAGGTGGCAAATTTAGAGGTTCCTAAGAAAACTCGTAGGAAAACGTCGATTCTGAGGCTGCAACGTGTCAAAATTGGAGGAAGTCTCGCACGAAATGCTCGTTTTGGTGCTCCCACGCGTCTCGTCTCGAGTCTCTGGTTTCCTGTGGCTCTCCTTTTCGAAGGTTTCCACGCAGGTTGTCATGGCGTTTTGCGTGGCAGGCGTGGCATTTTGTGACATTCCAACCTGTTTGATAACGCGTCGAAATTGTCAAAATTGGAGGAAGTCCGCGCGAAATGCTCGTTTTTCTGCACCCACGTGTCTCGTCTCGAGTCTCTGGTTTTCCTGTGGCGTCGCCGTGTCTATGGGGGAAGCTCCGCACTCCACACTCTACACTTTACACTCCGCACTCCACAATTTACACTTTAGTCCACACTCCACACTCTACACTTTACACTCCACACTTTGCACTTTGCACTTTACACTCCTCACTCCTCACTCGAGACTTTACGCTCCACACTCCACACTTTACACTCCACACTCCTCACTCTACACTTTACTCTCTACACTTTACACTCTACACTCTACACTCCACACTTGACATTTTACACTCCAGACTTTACACTTTACACTCCTCACTCCACACTTTACACTCCACACTCCTCACTTTACACTCCACACTCCTCACTTTACACTCCACACTCCACACTTCTCACTCTACACTCCGCACTCCACACTTTCCACTCCACACTCCACACTCCACACTTTACACTCCACATTCCACACTCCACAGTTTGCACTTTAGACTCCAGACTCCACACTCCACACTTTACACTCCGCACTCCACACTCCACACTTTACACTTTACACTCCACACTCCACACTCTACACTTACACTCTACACTCCACACTCTACACTTTACACTCTACACTTTACACTCTACACTCCACGCTCCACAATCTACACTTTACACACTCCACACTCCTTACTCCACACTTTACACTCCACACTCCACACTCTACACTCCACACTCCACACTCTACACTTTCCACTCCACGCTCCACACTCCACACTCTACACTTTACACTCCACACTCCACAATTTACACTTTACACTCCTCACTCCACACTCGACTTTCTACACTTTACACTCCGCACTCCACACTCTACACTTTACACTCTACAGTTTACACTCTACACTCCACACCCCACACTCTACAATTTACAAACTCCACACTCCACACTTTACACTCCACACTCCACACTCCTCACTTTACACTCCACACTCTACACTTTCCACTTTCCACTCCACACTCCACACTCTACACTCCACACTCCACACTTTACACTTTACACTCCTCACTCCACACTCCACGCTTTACACTCCGCACTCCTCACTTTACACTCCACACTCCACACTCCGCACTCTACACTTTCCACCCCACACTCTACACTTTACACTCCACACTCCACACTTTACACTCCACACTCTACACTTTACACTCCACACGCTACACTCCACACTCCACACTGCAGACTGGTAACAGGGGAAATATGTTCAAGACTGTTCAAATAAACTATTGCAGAAAAGTGTTCTGCGTGATTGCATATCCATGTGTTTTGACATCTGTTATACGTGTGAGCATTCGGGTTCGTGGGCTGCATCTTGTTTTTTAATTAGCTATATGCTTCAAGGAAAATGGCGAGGTGCTGGCAAATGTCAAGCCATAGAATCAGAACAGGTTGGAACAGGTTGGCAAGATCTTGGAATGAACCGCAATTTTAAAAACCATCCTACTGTAAGAGAGAAGCTGCTGTTTAATTGGTTTAAATGGTCTTAATCACCACCTTCAGTCGTTTTTGAATTGTGATGGTTTGCTGCTTATCCCACATTTTGTTCGTGTAGAAAAAACCTTTGTTGGTCCAACCTTTGACTACCACATAACTTGCGACTCCCTTGGTGCGACGACCCAAGGCCTATGAAGATACCCTGCTGGACGCAGATGATGCGCCGGTGTACATTGGCGACTACATGGGGGATGTCCCCCATGGCCAAGGTGACGACCGCGAGATTGACAAAATTTTTGATGTGTTTTCTGATGGAAAAAGACACGAAGCATGTTGTCATGTTGCAAGTCAACAACCAAATCACATGGTTATATTGTCATTGGGAATAGGTGTTGACTTAAATATATTTAGCATGATTTAGTATATATTGACTTAATCTAAAGATATTTCTTATTGGGATTTAGCATTTAGCATCCTTTCTTTATATATTAAATCCATGTCAATTGCACAACCACAACGGAGATTCCCACGGTCTGTTGGACTTCTCCAGCCACACCAAAACTTGGCCCGCTGCCAGTCTCTACCTGTCTTTTTTAGTGGGGCTAAGTCTGCTCATTTGTACCCACTTTCAAGACTCAGTTAACATAGAACCCAAATTTGTTGCTGATTTATAGCTGTAAGTTGTGGTTGTGAAGGTTCCCCATCTTTTGGCCGGTTGTGTTTGAAAATTCACCGTGCATGTCGTCATTGCCAGGGCGACTGTTTTGGAAAAGTACCAACTTTGAAGCCTTCATTGGAAGGTGCCCGGGCCTACGATGGTTGGGGATTCTGTTGAAAACTGCTGAGCTTGGTTTCTTCCATGGAAGTTCTATGGCCCAAGACCTTTCCCTTCATTTCCTTTCTCTTGATATACGTACTATACTTGTACCCTAGCTTTAAATATATGCAAGAAGCACAGCACAGGTTCTTGAATTACAATAAATGACTAGATGCTAAATATACATATATATATATACACATGTATAATGCATATATAATTATATATATAATATCATGCATTAAACCATCATATATAATATATTGAACCTAAATATCCACGAATAAAAATAATATAAATCTCTGTGCATATCATGGATTAAACCATCATGGACATTCTCTATGGATCGTGTTTGGCTTCCAGGTTCAAGAACGGCCGGCCCAGAGAGGGACTCTTCATCAATGAGAAGGGCTTCTGTGTGGCCCGTGCTGAGGTGTGCTGCGTAACTGTTGGGTCATAAAATGAGGATTGGGTTCACTGCTTAGGAATGTGGGAAACTCCCAAAAGATAGAAAACATATATAAGTGTATATATATAATAGATAGATATAGTATGATGTATTAACAACCCCCTAGTACAGCATAATAATCGCACTTAACTTGTTGTATGTGATAGATTACTTTTTGGGGATGAGATACCGAATTTGTGAGGCATGGGAATGCCTCTTCTTCGTGCGCGATGCCCAAGTGCTTTTGTTCTTCTTGCTTGCCTCACTGTCGATTTCTATGATATTTCGCTGGGGTTCCTTTGGTGCTGAGAACATTGCAGAAAATTGGCCCCTCATGATTATGCACAGTTTGCCTGTGGATGTCGTTACTTCAGATTCAATCTTGCATTGAAGGGTTTTAATGACACTTATGATCTCTGATCCAACAACCAGCCTTAATTGCTATTATGGTATGCTGGTATACTAATGGTTAATATGTTATACCAGTACTAGATTTCCATACCACGGGGCGCTACTTGTCTCTGGCTGAATCCCAGTGTTTCAGCACATATCACAGTGCTGAGACCTCTTTTTCACAATGACATTGTGATAGTTTGCATCATCCTGGTGCTGATTTCATCAAAAAATTCTAGTTTGTGAAACATGTTAGTTAACACATCTAAAAATATCTAAAATACATTCTGTAAATGGAAATTCAATTTTGAAGCCCACGGGATCCACCAGAGATCCCCACGGCAGGTCAGCGCCGACGGCGCCGTGTCCATTTCGGGCGTCCAGCCCGACGAAGACGTCTCGGTGCTCGCGGCCTCGGCGGCGCCGGGCGAGCCGGCGGTGAGCCTGGTGCCGTGGCAACGCGCGGCAACGGTGGATGGTTGCGTAACATCCTGCAGGTAACCAGTTTGGTAGCTATGAAACAATGTAAATAACGGGATTATATGGGGATAAACCATCTATACCAACTGGTTTAGGATTTCTTTCACAGTATGGGCGGCTATTAATTCCAAAACATGTGAACTATATTGGATGACATCTCCATGGTTCTTCACCGATGAACCATATGTATTCATACAATGTTCATGGGAAATCCAAACCCTTCCACGACGCCTTTCTCGGCATTAAGGTGACTCTGGAAGATTTCTTGAAACCTTCTGATGGATACAAGGCACTGGTGGTGATGGTGGTGAAGCTTGAAGATGGGATGGTAGCTGGATGATATCCGGTGTGTACACGTACTTATTTAAGTACGTCTTGTACAAGTTTGATAATTGTATCATTTCATGCGTATAGACGATATTATGTATGTATGTATGTATGTATGTAATGTAATGTAATGTAATGTAATGTAATGTAATGTAATGTAATGTAATGTAATGTAATGTAATGTAATGTAATGTAATGTAATGTAATGTATGTATGTATGTAGGTAGGTATGTATGTATGTAGGTATGTATGTATGTATGTAGCTATGTATGTATGTATGTATGTATGTATGTAATGTATGTATGTTATGTATGTATGTATGTATTTATGTATGTAATGTAATGTAATGTAATGTAATGTAATGCAATGTAATGTAATGTAATGTAATGTAATGTATGTAATGTATGTATGTATGTATGTATGTATGCATGCATGTATGTATGTATGTATGTACTGGTACAAATGTATATTATTTATGTATCTATGTTTGTATGTACATAATATATATATATGCATATATGATATATATAATATTTATATTGTATACATCCACCTTTTTGGGGGATTGTAAGGTATTTATACTAACTATAGTCTTCAAATTCTGGGATCATCCCAGCAATTGGTGATTTATTTAGGGGTCCGTGGAACGAGCCTATTTTTTTTTTTATTGATCGGAACCATGGCTTGTGGTGGAATCCATTAACATCCATTAACATTAATATGGGTTATATATGGGTTTATATATCGGTTATCCAAGTATAGTTCTTGGAAGCTATCTTCATGGCTGGTGGATATTGACCGATATCAACCCATTGTTTTTTTTTCCGGCAGGTCAGGCCCCGGTTCGCAGGCGGACCCCGTTCTCAATGAAGCAGTTTTGTCGTCCAATGAAGCGGACGAGAACAAGAGCTGAGTCCTTTCTCTTCAGAATCTCCTCTGGTTGGTTAGCAGAATTTGTTGGGTGATAGCCTATGATAGCGGTGATAACCTTGCAGATTCTGCATTGAAATGGGGAATGATGGGAGACAGTATCTCAGCTACCCCAAGGGGGTATTACAGTACCTGCCCCAGTGATATTCTAAAGTTGTTTCTTTCTGTTGTGCTTTCGACAAGTATGAGTGGGATATGGACGCTAACGATATCATTCAAATCTAAGTATTCTAAGTGAGCTGCCGGCCAGAAATCAATGGTTTAAAAGTCAAAATGTAGTTTGCTGGCTTGGCAAGAAATCTTCGTGGATGTTTACCGGTTCATTGGATATTTCAATTATGACATCAGGTCCCAAGATTTTCCAACTGTTGTGCTGCAAAACCTGCTAAATGATATCGTCAAAAATTGATATCAGTGTCTGTTGCAACACTGGATAGTTATGATGAATGGATTGATGATGGAAGCTGGTCGAAACTTTAGGGGCTTAAGCCAGAATTGCTTGCTTGCTTAAGCAATTTTTTCCGGTTTGAAAAAAAAAATCCATAATATTCTGATGCTCCAAAGCGTTGCAATATGAACATTGCCAGCCAAACCACTGTGATTTTTGCCGAACTCAGCTCCAAGAGTCAGAGGTGTTTGGCATAGAACGAATGATGATCGTGCTGATGATTTTTGGTGGAGCCGGTGAATCTTTGTAACTTTTGTAGATCCATGGATTTTTGCTTGGGGATTGAGTTGTATCTTCCGTAGTTGCGTTTGTGTCAATATTGCACATGTATTTCCACATATTCCACCTGACACTTCTGACTTCACCGAAGCTGGCGCCTGTGGGTCAGTCACACCGGTGCCGAGATTCGGCTGGCCCTAAAAAGCCCTCTGCGAAGCAGATGGAAACGTCATTGAGCAGTTGTGCCATGACGCGAGGTGATGGCCATAGTTGATTAAGACTGATCAAGTGGTAGAAAAGAATGCAAGACACCTGATTGCTGCAACTGGGATATGGGGCCTCCACTGATTCCTGCTACCTGCTACCCTTCTTTACCACTACTATCCACTACTGTGGACCTTTTCGAACAACTGTCAGGTTGCTACAACCTATAGATAAATGCTGTGTTTTGCATCTTCATTTGCCCAATTTTTCGTAATCAGCGGTGTACGCTGGGGTCTCGGTAGCCTGTCACTGCAGCTTTGGCCAAATCTTTGCTGACAGCATGATCCCAAGTCAACGACTATGCTAGTTGGCCATTGGCAAAACCAAGAAATGGAATATTGATATATTGGCTATAGTTAAACATTTTTTCTTCAGATGTTCACAATAGGATACATTTCTTAGTTGGTGGTCGATAGCCCAAAAAACACAACACACTTACTGCACTGATGTGGCCATGGAGCCATCATCGCCATCGTCAAAGCGAAGAAAGGTGGAAGGATTGGAAGGTGCCAAGTTTCAGCGCTGAAAGCGCTAAAATCATTAGATGCTTTGAATGTCTTTGAAATAGTTGATTGAGTTCAAACATTTCTTGCAGATACCGTGGGAGGTGTGTGATTATTTATATATTTAATATTGTAATGGGTACAGACCAAAGCACCCAAGCACCCAAACATAAGTGTGTTTCATGTTGAAGACATATAGACCATGGTTCCAGGATGAAATTACGTACAACCAGAGCCTCCAATTTTGAAATAGTGATGCAACATGCCTTTGGCGTTGGTTGGAACTACAGGCCGTTTTGCATTTGGCATTCCTGAGATTCGAAGATGATCGACACGGCCAGGTTGTTGTCTACTTTATCAATGAAATCCCAACCTTTACTGTACCAGTTGTGGTCCCGGGATGGCGGAGGAAACTAGCCTCGGGATAAGAACGTATTTTTGTAAACGCGAGAGTCTTGTAGGCCCGTACTGCCAGATGGTACAGGTATGCCATGCCTCTTCAGGTATAGAGATAAAAAATGATCTACAGTAATGGGTCAAAGTACATGTTTAAAAGATTGAATACCCATGTTTGTGAGCACTTTGTGTGATCTGGTGCTGCATGCCACCGATTGGTACAAGCCACAGGCGTTGCTGACTCTCAAGCATCTTTGCTGCAGCGTGGTTCAGGATCCTATAGCTAATTGCCCAGGAATCTGCCTAAGTGTACGGAGATATTCCGGCAAGTTCGTTACCCTCCAGTAAACTAACACGGCTATGGAAAATCACCATGTTTCATAGGTATATTAACTACAAATTGCTATTTTTAATAACTATGTTCCATTACCAGAGAGTAAGTGGTTTGTAATGTGGCATTCCTTGGGTGTTTCCGATCAATCCTCAGAGCACTGTGGGTCGCAGAGTTGTCGCAGAGTGGACCCAAAAAATGATCAGATCTGCCATTTGTGAGTTTGTAACACCATTAGCTTCAATACATAAGGTTTATGGAAGATCTGATAGTCTGATATGGATGGATAGAGACCTCTTAATTCATTCCCAGTTGACATCTTAATGGTGCAGGGTCCGGGTGTGACACCAAATGCGCTCTGTATATGGAGGGGCCTAAAAAATTGACCGCCCAGTTGGCGAACTCCGACCCGCCTTTCTGTAGAAACAACAGCCCAAAAACCACATCAGTTCAGTTGTTCAGCCAACCAACATTAGTACGGGATAATATGGGATAATATGGGATAATCCTCCACATATGTGGAGGATTATCCCATATTATCCCATATTATCCCGCCGGAACTTAGGCAGCACGGTCTGTGGAGGATTTGGTGACGCCTTGCTATGTGGGTTACCTCTCCATCATCCAGCGCAACAGCGAGCGCATGCTGCGCCGAGCCCAGCAGTTGGGCTGTCAGTTGCGACCACATATGAAGACCCACAAGACCATTCAAGGCGTGCCCAGCTGCTGACCGTGCTGAACCATCAATTCCTTTGGCCTTTAGAAAGGAAACCCCATCTTGATATGGTATCTATGTTCCTAAAATATATTTGACATCATATATCTTGCCTATATTCTCCTTGCATTATATCAAATAATATCAAATACATCTTGCAAATATCCTTTGCAGATTTGTCGTAGAACTACATGCCTGCGCACGGATCACAGAGGTATTTAAATCGTGGATGGGACATGCCAGCCACAATCACCCACACCATTCCATGATTCATTGCTTAAATCCCTACGTTTTGGCCGGTGAAATCCACCCCATTGCCATCCATGGCAGGTGGCATTTTGGCCACGGGCGGCACCAAGCGATGCATCACTGTGTCGACCCTGGCGGAGGCGGAGTTCTATGCGGACGCGGGCTTTGAGGTGGGCGTTCGGATGGGCTGCGCTGATTTGGTATGGCAATTATTAGATCAATATGGGGATCATAGATAGTGGGATTCAATTCATGGGATTTATTTTGTATTATCAAAATAGAATGGGACAAACAAAAATATTGTTTTTTTTTTTTTTCCGGTTGTTGAACTGGGAGAGCACATGATTTAAACCACATGGAAACTCCATGAAACTCCGCTGGTTTCTATGGATCGAGAGATCAAAGACATCCAGGTCATTGCAAGCAACTGATCCGAAAAAAATCACCATAAAATATGGTTAAAAAAATGCTGGTTATTATATAGCAGTTATTTAAAGCATAGATATAGTTTTATAATACTAATATATGATATAAGATTATTCCAAATGTTAGTTATATCACTAATATTATTCCAAATGTTAGTATTCCAAATGTTAGTTATACCAAAAAAATCTATACCAGTATTTAAAAAAGAGTCAATGTGATGGTGGGTCCTTGAGTGCCGACGCCGACTTGACCGGTATACCCTTCAGTCGTCTCACAGAAAATGGTGGAGCCCAGCCATTGCCAATAAACCATATTAAACAAATTGGATATTATGAACCATTTAAGATATTGGTTTACGTATCTCATAAGATGTTTTAACTTATCTCACATATATTACCAACAAACAATTTCCATATGGAAATTCTCCCAGTGGTGCCAAAATTACAGCAAGAACGATCCACCAAGCCACGTGAAAATGACTACTCCACTGTCACTTTCATATGGTGTTGCAGGTATTGTTTGGCGAATCCCCCGATTTCTTCTGCGAGAAGGTGATGAAATCCAGCAAAACTGCTTTATGCTTTCAATTACTCTCCAAATTTTCCATATTTTTCGATGATCCCCATATATCCATTATATATCCAGCTGGTTGTATCTCCAGCACATCTATCTCCATGAAGTGTATGATCCCCATTTTTGGATGGTTGACTCAACCCCACATGGGTCTGAAAAAGGGCTATCGCCAAATTCATAGCTTTTGTCCCATATTTTCCCTATCGACTTGCCATGAACTTGACGCATACCCCACTTCACTTATTATCCATTATTTAACCAGTGAATAATGGATATCAACAAACCCATAATATCCATTATTCACTGATTAAAGCCCTATATTGAACCATTCTCCATGTTTGGCTCAAAATCCACACTCGACTCAGATGGTGGCAGGACATTTGTTACGCCGTGCCCATCACCTCCGAGAAATTGCCGCGTGCTGCGCAGCTGGCCAAACGCTGTACATTCCATGTGTGCATTGACCACCCTGCGGCACTGGAGGTGGGGACAGTGGGGACCATTCAGGATCCATCACGTTGTGGTCATTGGGGCCACATCATTTTGGAACCATGAGATGTTTGAGATTCCCATGGAAGAAGTTGGTATGATGATGTATGATGTATGGATCTGTCATATGACAGTTTGAATCGGGAAAGATGATGATGTTTAGATACTCCATCTTTTTTGGACAAGCCCAGATGAACCAAAAGATGGTGCCATGAGCGACTTCATGGCATGGCCGAGCAAAAGTAGATGAGTAGCAATGTGGAGCATATTTGGGAAGCCATTGCAATCCATTAATGTCATGGCGCAACATACATAGGTTCTATTGTCTTGTCATATTTTGACTGGGAAACGATAGGATCACACCTTTTTCACACCTCGGATCCAATTCAATTTCGATCAGTTGAAGACCGGAAAATGGGTCTATTGGGTCTTGTGACTCCAAGCAGCAAAGGTTTTCGGGGTGCCCATGGGCCCATGTCACATGGCCCTAATTGAGTGACACCCGGCAGACTTGGACAGTTGGGTACGGAATTCTTCCCGCTCCCAAAAACAAAGTTGTTTAACAATGTTTCACATGGTGATATCAGTGGCATCAATGACATCCATCTCAGATGTCTTGGTCCCAAAAAACTCAAAACGGGACATCGCCATGTCAGGCCTTATGTCAGTTCTCAGAAAAGGTCTGGTCGGTGTTTCTAATGGTGGACTGCGGATATGGCCGTGATGGCTCCTTGGACGGCGACAACACAGCAGTCGTTTTGTGGTTGGTTTACATGACCAGAAAGTGCAAGCAAAAGTTCATCAATTTTGGTGACATACAAGAAGCATGACTCATGTTTGTCCACTTTTCGGGTGATGGTTGATGGATGTTGATGGTCCCCATATGGTCCCCACAATTTTGGCGACATGCATTTTTGGGTTTTTGGGTTGATGATCCCCACATATACCAAGCTGTTTTCAGCCCACTTCTCAGCTCGGCTTCAAGGTGTTGACCCGGCAGATCCGCAGTCCTTCGCGATGGCGAAAGGCTTGGCGGAGTCGCCCCAGACGCAACTGGCGGGGCTCTATACCCATGGAGGCCATTCCTATGACGCCCAGGTAGGGCCGGTTGGGCCCTAGGGGATGGCGGTTGGGACTTGGGGGAGACTTGGGGGAGACTTGGGGGAAACCGGGAGACCTTGAGGATTGTTTGGGTTTATGGGGATCTATTTCAAGAGGATTGGCAATGATTGGCTAGGATGGGCCACTTCTGCAAACATGGTGCTGAACATGTTGTTTCAAAAAAGGTGATTGATTGGTGCTTACGCAGCTCCCATACCCAAACATAGCTCAATCATGGCTCAAACACCCTACCGACGGGCAGGACAAGGAAGCCGTTCAACGGATCGCCTTGGAAGAATGTGAGGCTGAAGGGGGGCCCTACCAGGATGGGTTCGACATATATATATATATATATATTGTATATAATATATTTATATACACATATTTTGATGTTGGTTGAAGTTATTCTCACACGTTTTAACCAGAAACACTTGAATTTCAACCAACTCCATTTAGATGCCGCCAATAAACAGCATGATCCCTATCCACATCGGCATAAAGATGGCCATTCCCAAACATACCATGGATCCGTTGAATTTGTCAAGCTACAAGGTAAAAGATCGCCTAAAACATCTATTCTGACGTGAAATCCCACCAGTCTAAAGTGAAGATACCCAGATCTATTGTTATTATTGTTGGGATCCCTGATTTTTGTGGTATTTCAAGATTGTTGCGTCTACGATCCTTGACCTAGAACCATGAAACATTGGTGGCATATTCGAGCAATGATTGTGGATACTGACCAACAATGGATACGAAACTACTATAGTATCATGTCCATCGCTCCAAATGGTTGAGTCAGCTAAGAAAGCACATTGACGTTTTTATCTCCTGAAACGTGACAATGGTTCTTGGCTTTTTCCGTAATTGCCAAAATTGCCCCTTGTGGACGGTTCCTTCATTATATATTCACTCAGAGTAGCAGCCATGGAAAGATATGGAAAAATACGCTGACTGGTGGATGTGCTGCCATGTTTTGCTCAGATATCCACATAGGATACCCTCGTTGTTCGTATAGTTCTTTGCTGAAATCCCCATGCTATGAACAACTCACTAATCGACTGTGTCGTGCGTAAATCTTCATTTCGGCTGCACCATTCAATCACTCTGGTACAAAATCAAATCATATTAAATCCTATTAAATCACATTCAATCACATGAAATCACATTTTTTTTGGCTCTTCCCAGTTTTTCGTTTCTCACAGCCACAAGCATGATGTAGGCTGTGGCCAAGTTCGCTGCTGCACTGAGGGCAGAGCCTTGGAAACTTCAGGTGCCTTGGGAAATCATGGGAAATATTGGATAATTTGGAGTTGGGTTTATAGTGATGGTTGATGGTATATAATAGATGATAATTTGGATGATAATCCTTCCCAGTAAATCCCAATAAGTATCCTAGTAACTCCCAATTTTCAGGGTTAAATCACCAATGAACATCTGGTTGGTGGTGACTGGAACTATAGCTGGTTGGATATATTGGTTATATTGGTGATGGTTGATAGTGGAATATTTTTTGGGCTATAAACCAACAACAATGGGAATATGATGGTGATCTGGTTGGTGGTGACTGGAACATGGCTTTGGAACATGGCTGGATTATGAATTTCCCATCATATTGGGAATGTCATCATCTCAACTGACTTTCATATGTTTCAGAGGGATTGAAATCACCAACCAGATTAATTTATGATGGATAAACAATGGTTTATCACTGCTAACGATTGGATTTCTGGGGAATATATCTCTAGATGAGGTTAAGAACTTGTTTAAGAACTGGGGGGGCCTTCTTGTACGATTCGCAAACCTACAAGTTGACCAGAAATGAAGCCGTAGACCAACAAACAGCTGGGAGTTTAACATGAACGCGATCTTGTTCTAGAGATTACAGACGCAAAAATCGATAGTTTGCTCCAAAAATCTGACAAACAGTTGCCGGAGCTTTGACCTACCGCAGGTGCCAGTGGTGGGTGTGGGTTCCACCCCCACCTGCTCCAATCCTCCAACAGCGCTGCCGGGGGTGACAGAGATGCATCCGGGGAACTACATCTACTACGACACCATGCAGCAGGCGATGCTGAGTGGGGTTGTGGGGTGGGGTTTGTCCAAAAAAAAGTCGTGACTTTCATGAGATTTATGGTGATTTAATCAACCTGATCCAAGCTGAATGGGGGTATGAAACCAATCATTTTATGAAGATGTCATTAGATGTAATGAGAAAAATATGATATAATGGCTGATTTCCCTTTGTTTCATGGCAAATTTGGTGGGTAAGATATGATTTAACAAAAATCCACACGATTTTTAGGGTACCCTATTTTGGTTGGAGCAGTCAGCAGTGCTTTTACCAGATGCGAAGTGGGGAGAGTTCTCGCTGATGTTCTCCTTGAAACGAAGTGGAAAATTATGAATGAGTCAGCCGTGATCCCCACCAGAATTGTCTTCAAATAGTGACTGAATCACTCATGAAAACGATCAAGCGCTATATGAATATTCCAATCTTCATGGATGATCTTAGTATACAACATCCTTTCACATCGTTTCATATTTCCATGCTATGTTCGCATCAATTTCTCTCATGTTTTGCCTGGAAACCATCAAGCATCCCCAGGTTTTTGTAGGTCCCGAGTCCCTTGGGATCTTCCCAAGGTCTGTGCATCCGTCATCCCATGCCATGCCAGGCGTTGGGCTCCTGTAGTGAAAAGGACATTGCGGTGCGGGTCTTGATGCGCGTCATCGGGGCATATCCCAAGAAGAATCTGCTGCTGGTGGTACCTCGCTGTCAAGTTTTGTGTCAATTGCCTGGGAAGATCGGTGGCCATTTTTTTCCAAAGGGCCCTAAAATTTAGGGGAAAATAGAGGGGGAAATATGAGAACATGATGATTCTCCAGTGAATTAAACAATATACAATCATGGGTGGGATATTTTTCAAATCAATGTGATGTTTGGGTACTTTAAGTAATAGGGAAAATGATGATTAGGCAATAAATTTTAAAGGTACCCTATTTGCAGACAAACTCAATGATGACTCAGAACTCAATCCCCGAAATTTGAGGCTTCCAGGCCAACGATTGGGTTACAATTATATACAATTATCCATTGAAATATGGCAAAGTCATCTACAGTGACTGTTGTTTTTTTCTCAGGAGGATCTAGACTTGAGATCTATTAATTGTTAGTTCATCTAAGTGGGACCATTTTGATCGAAATTCTCAGAGCTCCATGTTCTACGGAAAAGGGGGTGTGGAACCAAAGGATTTGGCGCCTCAATATGGAAATATTTGGATGATTATGCCCATGAATCAATCAACTTAAGCTGGTGACATGTCCATTTCTTTTGCTGTGACATGGGTGTTTTGATTGATGAAAGTGAACCCTAAAACCCTTCATTTTAAGGTGGTGCAGCGGAGAAACTCTTATCGAAATACATTGAAATACCATTAAAAAATATCCATATTTTGGGTGGTGAACATCCATAAAAACATCCATAAAACATGCATAAAACATCCACAATTCCCAGCTATTTTGGTCTGAAAAACCAGTGAGTTCCCCTCCGAGGACATGGGCTGGACAGCCTGCAGCAAGCAGGGCGAAGCGTCGAACTTCGGACGGATCGAAGGCTATCCGCAGCTGAAGGTGGTGAACCTGAAACAGGAGGCGCCTGCCTGGTGCGGAAGAGTGAAAAACATGTCTGAAATGACATCGTTGTGCTATCAGGCTATCAGTGGTAGTTGGTGAAGTTAAGATCTGTGATCCGAAGATATCTCACTTATTTCAAGCCACATATTAAATATTGGTTGCTTCAAGAATAGAGGAAAACATCATGGAGCCTATGTCGACTGGAACTGAGTTTAGCTGAAGTGAGGACCGACCTCACTATAGCCCACCTCACCGTCAATTTGCTGAATTATAGTTCCAACCAGATTGGGCAGTTCAGTGGTATTTGGTTAGTATCCCAAGACGTTTCACTGGCAGATTCCTATTTGCAATAAATGCTTACCCTCTGGTAAACTAACATAGCGAACTGGAAAATCACCATTTTTTATAGGTAAACCATCTATTTCTATGGACCATCTATACCATGGCTATGTTAGTTATAACCAGAGGGTATATCCCATTTCAGTCAGATATTTCAGTCTTATCATACACATTCATACACCATAAATAGGTGAAAAATACAAGTTTTAATTTGGATGATTTGTTCAAGGGGTGCATACCAGGGTGGGTCAGGCCCATCATGGACTTCACAGGCCGGGCTGATCAGTTCTTGCGATGGAAGTCCCTTGAACTTCAACGACTTTCCTCTAGGCATGGGACAGTGGTTGGAGATGATAGGTGCACATGGTTGGCTTACTTGGGACCCCTTGTGATACTACTGGATTGCGGATGGTTACTTTCTCGTTTTCATTGATTATTAATGAATTGTTACCTATATCTATGGAATATTGATGTACAGTGGTTGGTGCCAATAATCGATCGATTCCGATGCAGCCCAAGGTTTTCTGTGGTTTGACTTGGAGGCGATTCGACCAGAGTGGTTTGCATTCCCAAGAGTGTGTCCATACGGGGACAATAGACGTGCCCCATTGCCACAGTTGCATCAACGACATTCCAAATGCGGGTTTCTTAAAATGGAAGATTCCCCAAAACCGTGGTTTCAATGTCGAGACTCAGCGGGTGTAATTTTGGATGATTTGGGGCCATGACTTGGGCTCAACATGACCTGGCCTCCTGCAGGGACGCTGCTGCGCCTGGAGCCTTACCATTCCTGTGCACATACCAAGCAACACGATCGGCACCTTGGCTGTGCGAGATCTTGGGATGCTGGGGGGACAAGGACTCTTTTTGGGAGCGGTAGCACAAGCTTCATGACTAGTTTTCGGAAGTCCATGTATAAGCGAAGGATAAAAGACACTGAATTGTGCTGCCTTTGTTCTGCCCATTTTCAGAGCAGACCTTGGATATGGCGACCCACAAGTAGACTAGCGGTGTTTCGTAATCTTGAACCTTTAACCGATCAGAAAGGCACAGCGGCCGGGCCGCCACGGAGTAATTACTGTCAAGTTCAAGACCTTCCACAGAGACTGGAATGAGACACTGGTCTTCCAAAAAACACCTTGGATGTTTTTTTTTTTTTTTCCAGTCACTAACTATAAATAAATATATAGATATATAATTATATCTATAAATCACATATATATATATATATGATGTTTCTTCACAATAAATCATATCTGAAAAAAAACAGCTTTTCTGGGCTAAAGTACCTGCCATCGCAGCCAGCTTTTTCCTCAGGATCCACATCTTGGATGAGGATCGTCGGACGGTCTTAGAGACCTGGCCCATTTGCCGCGGCTGGTGATGGAAAAACCAGGGAATTTGAAAAGACCTATAATATGATATTAATATATCATCATCATAATATATGAATAACATGGTATATGATTAATATTAGCATCATATATATATATATGCATCATATATCATCATGCTGCATTTAAATACTGAGCTGCTGCATTCAAATACCTACTCTGAAAGATTTCACCCAGAGTGGCTTCTACTGGACAAAGGTTCCAGTGACGAAGAATCGGTGTTGTGTCAGACAAAAGTGAACATGGTCACCATCAGCCCATCATGTCCATCCAAGCATTTTGAGCACATATTTTGAGATCCCAAGTGTATTAATTATAACACACATCTACTGGGTCAATGTTGATTTCCCGAAAGAAGATACACTGTTTTTTTTGGATAAGGACTTTTGGTGAATGGTCTGAATGGTCCATGAACTTGCTTCTCTTTGGAACATGAACTGTCACCCGTCGGGAGCCATTCGGAGCCGTTTGCTTCCAAAGCTTCGCAGAATGTGAAGTTTGATGCACCACCGCAGCTTCACCAGTAACCCCATTCCCCATACGGGATAGGTCAAGCAGGTCAAGCTTTTACTATAGTCGACTATATGATGTTAAGTCATGTTTATGATGTTAAGGTATGTTAAGTCATGTTAATTCATGCTCTGTTTCTTCATATATCGGGGGAATTCACATCCACTATCATCCACTTATCCATTTGTATCCCATTTATAACAAAAAATAGATTTGACAGGCTGGTCCACATATGCCCATCGAGCGGCCATGAGCGATCTCGAAGGGCTGCTAGAAGATGAGGTCGGGCCGGAATGGGTCCGCTGCAGACGATGGTGTTCATTGTAATGTTATATATATATTAATATATTGATATTATATATATATTATAGAGGGATTGAATATACTATAGTGTATATAAATATATATATATATCATATGAAAATCATATCCACTTTAGTGGGATTTATACTGTTATACTGATATGGAATTCAACCACTCAATCGTCAAGAAGTAGGTTTACCTAATTAGGTATACCGTATACATGTTTGTTTTCCCTTTATGCGGAACATAGCTGGCAAACCCTCAAAATCAATTGGTAGCATAATTTGAAGCCATGTATCCAACTCTGCCATTGAGTCAAATTGAACTGGATTTGACTATAAAGTCATAGCCTTTTTTGATACCTGGAGTGCTACTGTTGCAATAAGTTGGGTTTTAGGATTAAGCTGGAGCTATGGACCCCCCTGTTATCCCTGCTAGGGTCTGTCACTGTTGGTGTGAGCTAATGCTTAGCCAGCCATGATATTCACAAATCATATACTTCTTCTCTTTTGAACATATGGCAAATATTAGGAAACACAAAGCTACTTCCCACTTCAACAGCAGTTGTTTTCGTTTCTCACCTGTTTCACCTGTTAGTTTATCCAATGGAAGATCCGGCCCCAGGAACGAGACATTCGCCCGGCTCCGGCTCCTGGACGTTGCTTCTCCAAGGTGGCCCTGGGAACCAGCGTGCCGCTGCTGCTGCCTGGTCGCAATAGATGTGCCATGGGAAACAGCTTTTCCCATGACAGGATGGTTATGGATCCAATGTTTGGATTCGATTGAACAAAACGCATGATGTTTGGATTCCCATGAACTGGGATGGATTATCATAAATCATATACATGAAATGGGATGGATGAGGATACCCTCTGGTAAACGTTTACATAACTATGGAAAGATCCACCATTTTCAATGGGAAAATCAACTGTGCATGGCAATTTTCAATAGCTATGTTAGTTTACCAGAGGATAAATCATATACATCCATATAACATGTCTTTACCCATGGCGAACAGGAGGTTTTGTGCACAATGGGATTTGGAGGTTACCCTATGTTCAGACAAACCCACATGATAATCCCACGTGTTCTGCTTCTTTTTGGGGGGGATTTAACCCAACTATGAAGGCAATATGAGTCAATATGATGGAATATAACAAACAAAAGAGCCTTCAAAATTGAGGCTGCTATAGTTCGGATTATGGGATGTATATATATACTATATTATATATATATATTATATTATATATATATATATTATATTATATATATACTATATTATATATATATCGGTTTTGACGCGCCCATGAAATGGGGGTGCCATTTCCCATTTATCCCATGTAACTTGACCATGGCACACGACTTCTATAGTCATATCCCATATCTTTACTGATGGTAACTTGTGCAGGTGCATATTGCCATATCCCATATCTATTGTCATTAACCCACTATAGTCATATCCCATATATTCCCATATATTCTAGTCATATCACTTCTATAGTCATTATATATATATACATATATTATATATATATATATACATATATTATATATATATACATATATATATATATATATACATATTATATATATATATATCATTTAATGATATCCCATATTTTTGTGGGTAACAAAAGGACCCTTCGCCATCTGCCCTTCTTGGGGCCCAGGTTCTTCGGTTTCCTCGCCCTCTCGGCCCGCGTGGCGCCGCTGCGTGTCCGTGGCGACCGGGACGTGGCGCTGCTGGAGGTGACGACCACGACCACGACGCCGGCGACGCGAGCAGCTTGGGCAGGTTGGAACGCTGATGTCTTAACGGCTGAACGGTTGCTTCCGGCTCGGAGATGATTCTAGGGTTACAAAAAAAAGAAGCAAAAATCATAAATCCAGATTTTCTGCAAGAATTTGGAATTTAAGCTTTATATAGTCACTGTTTTGGCATTGGAATGTTGCATATTTCACCATCGAATATAGACAATCGTAGGGAGTTTCAGCCCTGAAAGGGAGAAAAACTGAAGCTTGAAGCAAACACAGTGGGGATAGCAGCAAAGCAGCAACTTGGTGAAATGTTGATTCAAACAGGAAAAGTGAAGCCGGGTGTGAGATACAAGATCCACACGCAGAGATGGCAGTTGTGACCCACAAACTGGATTGAAAGGCAGACATGATTGAACTATCATCCAAGTTTTTAGACTATTGTGCGGTCGACATTATTATGTCAATCATCAGGGTCTATGTCAGTCTATGTCTCAGGTCTCCCCCAACCATCCTGTTTGACAGTGGTGGGTTGTGATATGTTGTGATCCCCCAGTTTATGAATTTTTCAGCAACCTCCACTGTTCGAAAAATAGCAGAAATCTAGCTTGCTCGGATCAGTCGACCCCTCAGATCTATGGGAAGATCTATGCGAAGAAAGGCCTAGATGTTCTGGTTGAAGATGGAGGGCCTAGTTTGAATGGCAATTTATCCCGTGTTTAATGAAATCCAGGCTCTATGTCCAATGTAGATCATCCAGTTTTTGCTGGGCCTCCAAATTTGACCCATGCCGTTTTTGCTGCAGATTTGTTGCCAAGGACCTGACGACCTTCTACATGTACAGGGCACAAAGCGACAACGATTACGCCGCACGGCTGGACAATGAGGGGCTTCCATGTGGGATACCTAGGGCCATCCATTGGCTGTTTCTTGACGACATGCAAGGACCAAGTAGGACCAATTTTCAGGGGTGAAAGTAGTTGAAGATAGTTGAAGCATGTGTTCCCGAATGTTTTATCATGTTCTATCCTACTTGTTCATTTCAACTTTGGTTTCATGTTTTTTTTCTCACACTACACACCATGGTTTCGGCTTCTGAGGACTTTGAGAATGTGAACGCGGCCAACTTGGCGGGGCTTCTGTGGTACTTGGAGCACGAGGTGGTTTTTCCACAATGTCCCAGGCATTACAACATCACCCGCATCCTCCGTTGCTTGGAGGATGATTTTGGTGGATAATTTTGTTGGTGATGATTGGCAAGAATAGGATGCTACAGTCTGGTAAACTAACATAAGTATGGTAAATCATCATGTTCAATAGGTAAAACATTTGTATAAACGGGCCATTTTCAATAGCAAACTGTTAAATTACCGGCGAGTATGCCATTGATGAACATGATGAATGGTGATTTTCCAAAGCATTTTCACAACAATGGGGAGTTCCCCAGGTTTGATGATGGTTTTGATGAAACCAGAGGTTATCTCTTATGTGTTGAATTATCACCGTGTCGTCCATGGGTAAATCACCATGTTTATTGGTTAAATGCCAATTCTTGTTGGTGAACGATTTTCCATGCGAATTCTTGTTGGTGATCGACCCTTTCCACGGATATTTGATACCTCTGGCAGGTTTCAAGGTGTCCATCAAGACACCCGTGCTCTTCCAGCACAACTTTTCGCGCTTCTGGGATACTTGGTGCGCACCTTTGATCACTTTTGTATACATCCATGCACCAGGGGCTGTCCAAAAGATGGGGGAAAACCACCAATTAATAATAATGTGGAGAATCATCAAGAAATGGAGTCATGTTATGTCATGTTTACAGTTACATCAAAACTTGATCGACATCTCCAATGATCGGGCCAAAAGCACTCATCAGATAGAAATGTGTGTGTGTGTGTTTTCATTTATGTTTACATCTATAGCAAGCTCCAAAAACAGAAACGATAATATATACAGTGATACATGATGATACATGACTTTTCTATTTTTTTGGGGGGTTTGCTAGAGTGTATTTCCTTTGCCCACGTTTCACATACCGAGGCTTTCGACCAGGGCATGTGCACTTCTCCCGAATGTGCGCAAGACTATTCAAGACATGGTCCCTTGGAGCAGCTAGGTCCGCTAGGAGGATCGGCTGGATCGGCTGGATCATCATCATTTAGGAACTGAACAGCAACATATATCAAACAGAGTTGGCTCAGTCGTTCAGTTATTTATCATAGTTCATATAAATACATATATATATATATGTAATTATATATATATATTATAGTTTATTGGGCTTCTTCGCCATGAATTCGGATGATTCTCGCAGCGGGATGACCCCAACTGTCCGTCTGACTACCACGGTTTCAGCTTTGGATCCAGTATTGTTTTTTTCCATCACCCATTGAATATAACTAATCCAAAGCGATTTTTTTTAATTTTGTTTACATGTTTTGAACAGCAAACTTGACTTAGGAGGCATTGTCTGCAAAATGGATGGGAACCATAGTTTTGGATATATATATATAGATATATATATATATACATAGATATATATATATATATATACATATATATATATATATATATATTATGCTGGAACCATCAGTTTCCCTTTCAGAAAACTGCAGGTTTTACCGTCGGCTGCCAGTACCAAGATGCGCCTCTCGGAGCCCAGCTGGTGCCCAACTGGTTTTCGGCACGTTGAGAATGGTCCAATGGTAGCGGTATTTTTTGTATCGGTATATCATGTACCCTCTGGTAAACATACAAAAAAACTATGGAAAATCACCATTTTTTATGGGTAAATCCACTATAAATGGTGATTTTCAATAGCTATGTAACAAATTACCAGAGGGTATATCATGTATATCATGGATTCATAGTAATTTGGGAAAAACAATGCCATAAACCACCCATGACTGGGAATTGTTTATACCCATAAAAATTGTGATTTGGGGGATGGTTTATTATGGTTTTACCCACATTGTATCCTTCTTCATGGTAGTTGTCTTGTACGTTGGTCACATATTTGGCATGACAGAGTTTGTACGGTCCGTAGCTTTGCTAACAAATGGACGGGATCATCAATCTTTCAGCGACTTGCAGATTATATTGGAATATACTGGATGTGAATTCTCTCATAATGAGTCGTGGTCGTTATGTAAACAACACAGTGTAGCAATCAACGCGGGTCAAACAAGGAATTCTCCTCAAGTCCAGACAATATATGGATATCACTCAGATCTTTCTATCTTATCATGCCTGGATCAAGCATCAACATCCCTTCCCCCTTACATTACGCACGACCCGGAAAACATGGTTTAGAGGGGTATGAAAACACGTGAAAACACCATGGTTTTGGGATTATTTGGGATCATAAACATCCATAGACATCTATAAATCATAGGGATGTACCCTGTGGTAAACAAACATAGCTAATTATTGAAAATGGCAATTTATAGTGGATTTACCCATTAAAAATGGTGATTTTCCATAGTTATGTTAGTTTACCAGAGGGTAACCAACGGTTGATGTGGCAATTCATGTGTAAAAAAGATCGACCCTCTGAGGTCTGGTTATCCCGGTGCAGTCTCTTGGCACGACCATGGCTGGGAAATCCCCGAACTGTACATATGTTGATAGCCCATGATGATGTTTGGTTGATATCCCAAAAACATCTATAACTATGTTGATTGATATCACCAGATGGTATTTTTCTTGGTTGATGTGTTTTATCATTTTTTTAATGATGTTTGTTTGTTGATATCCCAAGAAAAAAACCCAAGTGATACTCTAGATCACATATTCTACTATGTTCTGCTAATTTTATTGGTTGATATCCCATGATATCCCATGTTTTTTATTGTTGCTTAGTTCCCACCCACATGTTTTTTTTTCTATTGGGGTTTCTTTCTTGATATCATTAAATATCCCAGGATATCCAATTTTTTGTGTTTTTTGTTTGTTAATCCATGTTGATTCTTTGAAAAGCTCCACCATTGGGTGCTCTTATCATCAGATTCCATCAAATTCCCCATGATCTCCCCATTTCTTGGTTGGTTAAACTATGTTAAACTGACATTTTTCTGCTCAGCGGCTCAGCGGTAGGTGTGGTACTCCTTGCCTGGACTTTGTCCCACCACTCCTCTGGTGGCCAAAGCCACCTGCACGACCATGCCGGGAGGCAGATGTGCCAGGCCAAAGGGAGGGATCTGGAGGATCTGGTGACGTGGAGGAGATCATACCCGGCCTGGAAAATCACCATCTTTAATAGGAAAACCATGGGAAAACCATGGGAAAACCATGGGAAAACCATGGGAAAACCATGGGAAAATGGTGATTTATATGGATAATCACCATCTTTAATATAGGTAAATCGACTATTTCATTGGGCCATTTTCAATAGCAAACTGTTAGTCATTACCAGAGGGTACATGATAAAAACATATGAATACTATATGATTAATGTATTATAGTGAATCTATACTTGATGATGTTGAAATCATGGAAAATCATTATAATTTGTCTAAGACATTTGGAGAAATGAAAGATCAATCGGTGTTGAGGATATGGACCCAGGCGTGACCGTCGATCGCCAGGCCCAGTGGGGCTATGGATTGCACCTGGTCGGCTGAGAAGGTGGGCGACATCAGAGGGCGCAAGATGTTCATTTGGATAGATTATTTACCTATAGTAATTCCTATGATGTAAAATGATGTAAAATGATGTAAAATGGTGATGATCATGATAAATATCGAGTAAAATGGTAATTATCATGATAAATCTCTAGAAATATCCAAAATATAATGAGGTAATTATCCCATTACTTAATCATATCAGATTCGTTATATTCATTTCTAGGTGGTATACCATGAGAATATGTATTTCAATGGACATCATGGATAATTACCAATATTTCATGGTGGTTTTTGTAGGGGTTAGCATATGGGGTAACTATCGCAAGCCATGACCGAACTTTCTTCAGATTGGTGAATTATGATGAATTCCCATTGGGATTAAACCCATCAAGCATTGGAAATGAAGATTTGGGATCAACGATCGATCAACTGGGGATTGTCATTAGGGATACCCTCTGGTAAACAAACATAGCTATTGAAAATGGCCATTTAATTATAATGGATTGTCCCATTAAAAAATGTGATTTTCCATACGTAGTTATGTTGGTTTACCAGAGGGTAATTAAATGGAGATTAGCCAGTAATTGAACTCTCATTTTTGTTCAAAACTTTATGCACAACTCCCAACACCGTGCAGAGTGGGGATGCAAGCTCTCAAGAATGGGACGCTAGGATTTACCTCCAACTGATGGCAAGTTTTCCGCGGGGAAACCGTCGATAGACCACGGATTTTTTCAGGTTCCCAAATTTGAGACAACTCAAGATTTTTGTTTGCCCCCAAACAGTGAATTGGTATACCAAACTGATTCTTGTTTGACAGACACAATCATGAGGAATCATCAGGTGCAAATGTTTGAAAACCCCCAAGTGTACCCATGCTTACCCTATATAGTTCTACTGGCAAATCCACATAGTTTCCACTAGAATGAAGCTTGAAGTGAGCACATGGTTCCCAGCTTGCCTTATCACTTTCAACCCACCTATCCTTTGGTAATCAAACATGGCAATTGAAAGGGAATGTTCCAGCCACGTTTGAATACCAGAGCATAGAACCCATGATACCCCCATTATTTTTTCATGAAATCCCGACGTAAATCTATATATTTCATTAGAATCACATGAATCCCATATTTTTACTTATGATCCCAATCATATCCCCATGGAAATCCCATGATATGTCCATTAAACTCACATTAAAACTCACTTCTATCATCCCATCATCTTCCCATGAGACAGGCTGGTGAGTTGAAACTCAGTGACGTGGAAGGTGTGGAGCCGCCATGGCATATGCCGAGGTTCATGGCCTTGAAGATATCAAGGATAATTTGTTGTTTTTCATGTATACATCATATATATATATATATTATATGTGTAATACATCGTAATATGTCAAGTAAGGATCATGTTTTTTGTTTCACATGTGTATATATATAATATATATATATATATATGTAAGGATAATGATACAGGATGATAATAAGGTATAAGTTGTATAAGTGCATGACTTTTCTGAAACATGTTCATTTGGTAGGATTTGATGTGATATAGTTTAATGGAACATTGAACAAGAAAAAAAAAGTGATTAGCTTGCAGTGATATCAACCGGGTAGCAGCACTATGATTGCAGGTTTAACATGGTTTAACCTCCAAACGGCCAGGGGTCAGCACAGTTGCCGGGATTGGAATGCGCCTAGAATTGACCCCAGCCAGGGTCTTGTTCGGTCTGAAAAATGAGTCAGACAAGGATAAACCCAAAAGAATTGTCGCAGTAAACTCGGGAATTTTCGCCTTTTTGCCTCCCTTTTTGGTCATGTTTTCATCCTCCAAAAAGCTGATGCCATGTGATCACAACCCCACAGCGTGACCACTGCCGTTGTGAGACGTTGCCAACTGGACGGACTTCTGCTTGCACCATGGCAACGAGTGCCCTGACGATCATCTGTCTGCGGATGGGATGGGCGGTTTACTCTTCTACTCTGGTGAATGAGAAATGATCATGAAATCTAACATAACAAACTAAACATGAATAATCAACCAATAATGTCAATAATGGGATGGGCGGTTTACTTTTCCACTAATGGCCCTTTTTAAACCCCTTTTTCTGCGCCCTGCCGAGGTACATTCTTCCGTTCTGGGACGGCCGGGGTGACACGGCTCACATGAAGATGCGCATGAGCAAGGCCGGCGCCCCTGTGGGACCTGCTGGAACGCCCTTGGATGGCAAAGGTAAGTTCATGAACAAAATCCATAGAATCTACTAGAATCATCGATCTATTTCAAATATGTCTGTTGGTTGCTTCTTGGTGTTTAGTGTTCAGTTGACTTCAATTTTTTTTGATGTTTATATTTATTGAGTAAACGCTATAATAATAAGGGTTTACTGTTTTCAGCCCCCCATCTTTGCTGTATCTCGAAGCAGGTCTTGGAGATGTTTGAGGCGAAATATCCAGACGAACCGATCGAGCTGAAGGTGCTGGTGATGCGGTCGGCAATGACATGCTAGGATTCTGTGTTTCTGTGTTTTTTTGTCGGATTGAAGATCATTTGTGGAAGTAAACGGATGTTGACACACACACATATATATATATATATATACATGTTAATTCTGCATTATCATGTTGGATTGCGAAAGGATAATTATCCTCTGAACTGTGGGGTATGGAAACAAGCCTACCATTTTCAGGGTTCGTTGAACCCTGTTTTGTCGGGATGGTGTTAGCTTTGTCAAAGTACCATTTGGGACCTAGGGCGTATTTTTTCGAAATGTGTTTGTTTTAAATTATGCAATTTGTTCTGAGTTTTGTTTGTTTTTAGTATTTCTTTTCAATTAGGCAATTTCTTCAGCAATGCATACAATCCCTTCTGTGTCCCGATATCGATTTATTTACGGGTTGAAAGGGGTGGCTATTCATCCTAGGATAACATTAGTTGTATGTGTGTGTTGACGATTTTTTTCTCTTGTGGTTTACTCCATCATATCATCCTTTGTGGTTTGGATCATATTCCGTAATGATCAAACTTTGATCTTGTGTTGTTTCTCTTGTATGTGTCATTGGATTGGTTTAAGGGAAAATCTACAGGAAACCATTGTTTCTTTGAAATATGGGGCTGTCCTGCAAAATTCCCTTAAACCAATCCAATGAATGCGTTGATCAGCTCCCTGTATTTCTTCAGCAAACTCCCACCATTTGAGGAGCCTTTGTGTGATTGGCGTCCGCCAAACTGGAGACCCAGCCTGGTTTGAGGCAAGGTGGCGGAACCCTCAAAAATCGGTGGATGCAATAGAAAAATCGAGAGGAAACCAGGGAAAACAATAGTAAACCATACAAACCAGATATGGAATGGACGATTTCTGTAGAGCTTTTGCTGAATCCAATGAGGAAAAAGGTTTGATCCAAAGATAGCAGAGAGATCATTCTTCAACCTCCACAGTGAAATCCTGGATGTTGCACCTGAAATGTAGGAGCTGGAGGACATGTCTAAATCCTTGTGAAACCCGTTGTGAAACCTGCTTCAGAGATTAACGGACTCGGAGTTGCTATAAATGTTATATATAGCATGTTTTAGCCACCCCACATGTACCCAAAGTTGCTACGTGTAGCCAGGTCGTTGATTCATGGGAGCAGTTGTTCCTCGCCACCGTTGTGGGAACCTCAGAAGGCTTGAGCATTAAGGTTCCTCCATGATTGTCCATGATTTCTGCCTGAACCATGCTGCATCATTTTTTCCAGTATCGACAATGATCCTGGCCAAGGCCAAAGTGCAGGTGTGACGTGGACGACAACGAAAAAAAAACAGTGCCATGGCAAAGTTTGTGAAATGAACTGATCATGAGATGATGATATTGCGAAATGGCTAGAATAGATGAGGCTTCAAGTTTGTTGTTCTCGGTTGGTTTCCATTTAGGGAGTCTAACATAGGAATTACAAAAGGAGTTGTGATGAATCATTATGACTTCCAAAGCAATCATGCAGCGTACATAGACACAACATCATTCCCCAAAGTGGCCACGTTCCTCTTCCGCTGGCTATTTATAGCCTTAAAGAAGGGGCGTGGGGTTTAATAGATGTGCATATCCCAAGGTGTTTGCCAGAAGTTGTGACCCAAGTTGTGATCATCCCAGATCCCTAAAAAGTGACCGGAACCATGCTGAACCGTGCTGCACGGGAAACAGGAATTGAAGCAGACACCAAAGAGTGGCATCACTTTGAGTATCTTGATGTGTGTCACACATATGTTGATACATGCGGGCAGACTGGTTGTTTCGAGGCAGTCCCCTTCACGCTATTACACCCTTGATATCAGGGTTGAACAAATCTGTTCAAGGGTGCTTTATACAAATTTAGAAAGCATGAATTGTTCACCTGCTTCCAGAAATCTTGCACCAGTTCCGAGTTTGTAGAACTTCCATCTTTGGACAGCCATTGGGCCCCAAAACCGGTTGGCCCGCCATTGGCGCCGCTCAACGAAGGGAGGCCGGGTACCAACGGCCCACTGGCATACAGATGCATTTGGGGGTATAGTCAGGTATGATGCCAAAATAGTGGATTGTGTGTAGCTCATAACTACTCACAATTGTTCCTATGAAATTCTTTTGATCACATGGAGATCACCGTGGCAATTGCTGTGGTTTATTTAAGGGGTGATTCTCAGCGATCTCAGGGTCCATCCCACTTCAACAACCGCTACGCACAGGCCGCGGCCTAGGGTGAAGAGCCCAGCATGTCGAGCGCTCAGATACTGAGGATCTGGAGGTTTCCTAAGCCATGGAGGTACCCCTTTATCGCTGGAGGGTTGATTTCATGGAAAAGCCCAAACAAGAAATGGATGATTTGGGGGTACCCCTATGACTTAGGAAACCCGGTTTATAATGGAAAACCATGGAAAAGCCATCTATAAATGGATGATTTCGGTACCCCTGTGACTTAGGAAACCCATATATCATCTTATATCTATATCATTCTATATCATATATCCTAAAAAACCATCCCCAGAGTGCTTGGAAGTGTTCCAGACATCGATTCACTGAGGGCGCAGCCTTACAACACATTTCCAGATGTGCTGACCTCAGATCCTGAGACCGTCGGAGACCGCTGGAGAGCCCTGGGCTACAGATTGACCGGTCAATTCAACGTGCCCAGTTCCAGATGTGCAGATGTGTGTGCTGTTTTGAATCGAAAATAATGTTAAGTCTCAGTGGGAAAGCACTTGGGAAGCTGAAGCTATGATAGGACTTGATAGGATAGATTGAGGTCATTGTAAGATGTGGGTACTTTTTTGTAGATCAGTGGAACATAGTGGAACCGTGTAACAGCCTTTTTACATATTCCATAAACCACTTCCAGTCATCGTCATCGTACGGGAAGCTTTTGGTCCAAGTTTTAGGTCTCCTTGGGAGAAACGATGCGTGATTGCCATCAGCAGGTTCTGGCTCAACCAGGAAATCACAGTGTTGAAATCAGCTGAGGTAAATTGTTGAAATTAGCTGAGGTTTGTTGAAATGTCCATCCCCAACCCTCAAAGAACCTGTGATTGCTGCTGGTTCTAAACAACTCTAAAACTCTGGCATGTTCCATCGATTCCATCGCCAATTTTGTGTGCGTTCTTTTTGTTCGTTCATTTCACCATTTGTGTATTCCAGTTTCCCATGCTGGGCCCATTGCTTGGAAGGTGTCACAATTTCACCCCGCGCCTGGGTTAATGGCAATGGCAGTAGCGCCAGCTGCGCGGGGTATCAACCTCCCTGCCACACAGGGCAGCAGCAACAGTGGGTGTTTTATTCCAGGCTGGACCCCAGTGAATGGTCAGTTTTTTGAGGAATAATGATTATAGTGGCAGATGGTATCCTGGCAATGTGGATCTATCTAAACATGGGGATATGTTATCCCCTCCGAAATGGCAATTTGGATGGGAAACGGTATGATAAACCATCAAAACTTCAGGGTAGCCTCATAGGGCAATCGGGTTGTGGTGATGGTACTGCAAGTGAGTGGAACATTTTCCCAGAAGGTCCCCAGCCAGGTGTGTATAAATTCGACTACAGCGTGGAGAACGTGAGACAGCTGAGGGCACACGGGATCTCTGCGGTACGTTTGCCCATCAACGTCTCCTCTGTGAGGGATCCCACGTGTCTTCAGCCGCCCGATGTGTCAATGGGGGCTGCACCCCTAACTTATTTCAGTTATGGACTTATTTAAGGGATATAGCCTATTTTCAGATAAAGTCGTATTTTTTTGTTTGACTTGTGGCTTTGCCGCGTGATGCACCTTCTTTGACTTTAGTCTACCATTCCTTTGAGGAACTGAAGATATATTAGCTTAATTGGTTATTGTTTAATTGTAAATCAATTAATTCACAACCATCATGAGGAATCCGCAATAGCTAGGACATGTTTCAACCCGAATAGCTAGGCATTCCCAAAATGTTTGCCCCAGGAAATTGCAGTCCTATTTGGAGGCTCTGGACAACCAAGGACCGGCCACTCGTGAGAGGATGGAGCTGAAAATATGTGACATGTTTTTGACATGTTTCAATCAGCAACAAAAAAATGAAGCCTATAATTTTATGAACCCAAAAATCGGCCATGCCGTGAATGCCTTTCATTTCAACTTGATGTCTGTATCCCAAGGCGACGTCGCCATCCATTGCGCCAGGAATCCTCTGTTTCTTCGAGGAATCCCCCGACATCGCCATCCATCCCCATGGCCTGGGCCGCTTGCGCGACGCTGCTGCACTGCAGTGCGCAGCGGAGGTCTGGCGTGCGGTGCATGGAGTCTTTGGGTCCAGTGCCTTGGGAAAAATGGGCTGTTGACAAAAATTGGATGGTTGGAAATCTGGGGATAGAAGCCTGTCTGATGAAGTTTTCATGGTCTTGCCAACAGAATTACCGGGTAAATATGTATAGTGTCAAAAGCAACAGAATGCGCCAAAGTTGGCCAGTAAAAGTTGGATTTGTTCACAACAGAAATGTGGCATAACACTCAACAGATCTTGGGGAACCGTCACCCAGTTGATTTAACTAGAAACGGGAAATTCCAGTTGTACCAACAAATATGGTGGTGTTGCTGTGGTTCATGGTGGTTCGCCCCCCTTAAAAACGATTGGTTTTGGTCGAAGTCTTTGCCCAGCAGAATGGGCAAAAAAAAACACTCAAAAGGGTCATGACATGGATGGAGAAACATCGGCTATGCCCAAAATTGTTGAAGGATGAACGGCTGAATTTAGCAACATGGGGATATTTAGAAAAAACATGCAAACGACATTTCCGATATGTGGACTTGTACATGAGGTCTCCAACCAAAAAGCTGCATGTTCTCGATCAATTGAACGCAACGAACAATTGCATATTAATTAAACCAAAAGAATCCCCTGCATGGGGTTTGTTTGACAATGCAGGCCCAGTTCTCTATGAGATCTTCAATGAACCCTTTGGTTATTCTGATCCACAAGAGTGACTTGGAATCCGTTTCGTGACGTCCTGGATGTACGCTTTGTCCGCAAAAGGGCCCCATTGATCAAAAGTCCAGGCAAATCACTTTGTTTCACGCAAGAGTGACCCAGGAAACATGCATCCACAAGTCTACAATCATCCATGATTCAACAGTTCAAGCTGCCAAGATTGTCCAATTTTTTTTCGAGGTAGCATCCACATATATTCCATGGTTTGTCCTTGGTTCAACCTCGCAGGATTTCCTATGAACCAAAGCCCCAGGTATTTGCACGACATGCCTCAAGTGATTCACCTGGCGCAGTTGCCACTGGAGCGATGCATCCTGGATGGTTGTGGATATGCCGACAATGTCCAGGCGGAGTCGATGTGCATCCATTGATTTTTGGGATATATATATATATATAAACCACCAAAAGGATAGATATCTTAAGTAATATCCTGTTAGTACTGTATCCTTTAGTGTGACATGTTTTTGTAGTTGGCGGACTATGTCGTGCACAAGTGTTTGACAGGCTGTCTTGGAATCTGTTTTCAGGCGGTCTCCAAGATTGAAATCATTGGAAAGAGGTCGTCTCATACCGATTGAACATGATTGAACATGTTTTATGGTTTTGTGGTGTTCAATATTGCTTCCTTTCCATCCTTGCTGCCAGTATTGCGGCCAGGTGGTTTCCAGCTTGGGATGGCGAGGCTTTCTGGGATACCACTTCTACCCCAATTGGCTTCCGGACTGGGGGCACCGGCTGGGCTCCGAGTGGGGAAGATGGAGGAGTTGAATCCATCCCACCAAGGTATGACTGGAGAAGTTGAGATTGGGACCCCTGGTGTGAAAAAAATACCTGTTCTTTATCAGCAAATGAGAAATCATATCAAGTAGTTGATGATATTTAATTATCCCATCCAATTATATCCCATTTCAACAGCTTATCAGATATATATAACTAAAATCACCATCATGAATAAAATATCCCATTGAAATATCATTCATAATTCCCATTAAAATGGGTTCTCAGATTGATTATATCCATTGAAATATCCAACTTAAATTATCCCATTAAAATTGCCCATTAAAATATCCCATTAACATTATATCCCAGTAAAATATCCCAGTAAAATATCATATAATGTTAATGGGATATTTTAATGGGATATTGATATTAATGTAAATTAATTGGATATCATATCCATTAACATTATATCCAATTATCACCATCATGTTTCTTTCAGGAGGGTCAACGCAGCGCCGCGAACTTCGCCTCGAAGCTGCAGACGGACCTGGCCAGCGTGGATTTCCAGCGAGCCTTGGCATAGGATTTCCATCGTTTTGGCATGTGTTTACCTCGAAATTTGGATGGGTACCCTCTGGTAAACATACAAAAAACTATGGAAAATCACCATTTTTCATGGGGAAATCCACTATAAATGGTGATTTTCCATAGTTATGTTAAATTACCAGAGGGTAGTTGATGTTTTTACCCATAAGATTAGATGATTTGGATGGGTAGATGGATAATTTGGATGATGAGCAAATCACCAATTGTTGTTTCAGATATATTAAAATCATCTATCAACCAAGGGATTTGTAAAAGCTCAAACGATGGTTGAAAGATGGTGACGTCGCCGCCGTGTCTACCAACTGGCTGCTTGCATTATAAAACCTCTTGTATCTACTAGAAACCTATGCCCCCAGGCTTGTAGACCCTAGTTAAATTGTTTTTTTAATAATTATTAAATGGGTAGTAAGTGGGAAAGGGATTGTTTCTTTTGAATAAATCAGATGGTGACCAGCATACTGTAAGAAACCATCTATGAACTAGCCATTAAGCATCTACCGATCTTGTACTACTAGCCAAGTAATAGCCAATTATAGATGATATGGTTGGTATAGATGATGCAGGTGGTGCATAGATGGTCGATAATTAGATGGTTGATAGATGAATGTTGCTTAGAGAAACCCCATGATTGGTAGGGTTGGCTCTTGCTTTGGCTCTCACCTGGACGTCAAGTTGGGTTGCAACTGGTACTAATGAAACATACTACTCGTACATCAGCTACCCAGTCCATGATATCATTTGCCCCCTTTGGTTTGCGTTTGTTGGTTGATCCGTTTTCCATTGCGCAGTCAGTTGGAATAGCTACAGTGCTACAAGTCACCGGTTCCTAAAGTTATTGAATCGTGCTGATTCATCTTGAAACAATATATGGATTTCATTGAAGTTCTCATCTTCACAACTCACCCTTGTCATCCCTTCTTTACACCATTGCTTTGCCCCTCTGCGATGCTCCACTTCATTCCACTTCGCATCGCCGTAGGAGTCATCATCACTGAGTTCGGTGCCGCCCTGACGATGGAGAATCCGGATGATGCCAACTGTCTCAAGGGACTGGCTCAACAGCTGAAAACCTCGGGAGTGATGGGAGCCTATCATTGGCATGGCTGGCACAATGGTGAGCCTCGGAGAAATTGGAATTGCTGGGTGGTGAGAGATGGGTAGTAAATATCAAGAATACTGATCTAGAACCAGAAATGGGGGCTTTCACTATAGCAGAAATGGGTTGGGAAAGAACAACAAACATTTTTGGAAGCTTGGAATCGGTAATTTTAAGGCGTTAATTTCGATGGGAAACGTGTGGCAAAAAAATCAGATCATCTTTGGAACTTGGAAAGGTGTGCGATTTGTAGGAAGAAGGTGGAGGTATCTCTCTTTTTGGAGTTGCAGCAAAGCCGATCGCGGAGACCAGACCATCAAGACCATCACGTGGAGGTGTCACAAGGGCATCTCCAGTCCGTTTTTGACGCTGAGGATAGCTATGACTTTTGGGATGCCAAGAACCAAGAGGGTGCGAGTCTGGTGCGCAAAGTCTGGGATAGCTGCAGTCCCAGCACAAGGCAGGGCCTTTCGAGGGAAACTCCAATCGCTATTGGCAGATTCCACCAGAACAATGTGCAAGCAACCTCCGTCTTGGAGAGTCCGCTACCCTCTTCCCTGGATTTCCCTGGAGTTTTGCTTCTCACCAATTTACATGAACCAATATTGTGTTCTCCTTCTGGAATGACTTTCAGCCGCGATATTTCACGATATTTCCTGTTTCAATTTTGGAAGAGCATCCAGATGGGTTGTCTGTGAGAGCTAGGGCTCCCGATTCCATCCACAGTATTGTTCAATCAAAATGGTTCAAAATGGCCATAACTATAATAACTTGGACCATGACGGTTATCCATATTAATCCCTCATAAAACCTATTAAATGGATTAACCATATCTATCAAAATGAGGTTAATCCATGTTAATCCTAACATATCCGAACTTTCAGACCCAGGATGCCATGGCCCCAGACGCCCCAGACCGCCATCTGCATCTTTCGCCATGCGGAGATGACGCGCTTGGTGGCCCTGAACGACGCTCGTCAAAGTGTGAAACGGACCGAAGTTCAGACCCTTCACAGAGAATGCTTATCTTAACTTATCTTCATCTTGTTTAATCAAATATCTTATCTTATCTATTATCAATCTTGCGACTGGGGCTATGTGGCATTGCTTCATTTTGTTTAAATGTTTTTCTTGCCTTGCATATGTTGCCATGCTATACACACCGCATACGATGCCGTCGTGGCTCGAGCTCGTGTTTTTTGCGGAGTTCGGTCCCGGTAGCGGCAAAGGTGTGGGTTAGACCTTCGCAGGATGTGGGAAAATTATGGCAAATTTATGGTAAATTTCTTCAGAATGCGAAGAGACACCTTTTTTTCTCCTTGCTGATCCTGGAAAGATGGGACTGAGGCAGAGGCCTGTCTTTTCAGCGACCGCAAGGCGAGGCTGAAGCCCTTCCTCAAGGTCAGCAAATGCCTTGTCGCTGACAAGACGTGTCGCTACCGCTGCCTCAGTCGGAAGTGACTGCCACCGGCCCAGGTCGCTCATGTCAATCTGAAATCGAAATCTCGTTTTGGATTCGACATACTGAATTCAGATGAAGTCAGGAGAAATTGACACTGCCCCCGGAGCTTTGCAGTGAGGTCCATGTGAGGTCCACGGGGACCTTAGGCACCGCCTTGAGCACCACTTCATCCAATCCCTTGATGACAAGACTTTTGCGGACCGTCACAGGTTGAGGCAGAAATCCTCGGCTGCGGTCGCGCCTGCAGGGGTCGAAGTTGCAGGTCCTGACCATTCAACCAAAGTGACGCAAAGGTGGAGTGGCGACAGGAGCCTTTCTGAGTCTTCCGTCGCCATGGGCGACACTGCGACACGAAGGCCAAGGATGGCGGAGGCAAAGACGTGGGGTCGTACATCGTGCACCTGGTGGGATCCGAGCAGAGGCTGGCCGCGGCGTTAGAAAAAACATGTTTTCGTATGCGCGGGAAGGGAGATTGCATTGTGTTAATCTCTTGCTAACGTATGTTAATATTAGGAACTGTTGCAAGATGCTATCTGAGAATCGTTGAAATGATGTTGAAGGTGCACTGTGTTCTTTGGACTTGTCAGATTCTCAAGACAAAAGGCATTGCATGATGTTGACAAGAAGGTTGATGCCAACAGTTCGCACGTGGCCAGCTTGAAATCGGTGAAGCGGGCTTTGGCCTTGGACCTCATTTTACAACATGATACCCAGATGTTCAGCCATCATTCCATCATGATTTGAATGATTTGTTTTCTTTTTTGGGTGGATCATTGTGTCAATCTATCCCCCCATGTTTGTGTTTTGTTTCCTTGTTGGGTTAGGCCGGTTAGGGGGTTTCCATCATAGCACAATTCTCATCGAAAACTCATCCCGCTTTGGAACCGTGATGCTCTCAGGATGACAACTTTGCAACGCTGGGCGATCCCTGGTGCTTCGAACAGATCCTTTGCCACGGCTCAGCGGTTGCTATGGAGTCACTGGTGCCCATCCAATGCTGGCGTCGCTGGGTCATTTTTTTTCGCGGGGAATGGAACCGGGTGCCATGCAATGGAGTTAGTATATTTTAGTATGGGATATATGGTATGAAGTGATTAGGATTCTTGATACCAGTTTGTTTTTGAGTTTCATAGCAGACCCACCTAGTCAGTCACAATAATCACAGCCTTGGACCGAAAGGCAGCTGTAGTCGGTGTCACTTCCAGACTTATATCCAACGTGACTGGCATCATGGCCGGCAATGTTGAAGGTATTCGAAAGGGACAATGCATGACCCTCTTTGGACTCCCTGTGTTTTGGCTGTCATCAACTTGTGCAGTCTCGGTTTCAAGCTTCGAATCTCTTGGGTGTATCTTCCCTCCCAACAAGGGATTTGGTTCTGCTTGGGCGAGTTGAGGCAGTGGTGAAGCGGCCCTCTATTGCCATGAAGGCTGGGAAGGGGACGATGATTCAGCGGACGGGAGCTTTGAAAAGGTGGTTCCTTGGCAGTGAGTGAAAACCCAATATGGCAATCCAAGATGGCAATGGAAGATCAGTTCTAGATGATTTTCCTGCTATGGTGATTGTCCATGATTTTATGACGAAAAATTCTCCATGCCGGACACCCACCAGTTGTTTTTTTACCGTCATGGATTCAGAAGATTTTGGCACTCAACCAGTTGGCCAAAAGTGCACGAAGTGAATGGTTTTACCATTTGAAGGATGAAACAGAAGGCCATCAGAAGGCCATCAGAAGGCCATCAGGCTATCCGGCTATCCTTTTGACCTCTGCTGAGCAGCACAACAAGAAATCCTTGCGGTTTCCCAAGGCCTTCCATGCTTTTCCTCCGGATTGCGAACTGCCTGGGGTGGTGAAAGTCTATGAGTTCCGGAAAGGTGTGGTGACCTCAGTTGGGTTTGACACGAGGTTTTTGTCGCTAGGGCATCGCCAGAAAAAATCATATACAGTCCATAATTTAGATTGATTTAGTGAAGATATTTATAATTTTTAGTACCAACATTTACCCTAAACCTGCCCCAATGTTATTTTACCGCTAACATGCATTCCATACATTCCATACATTCCATACATTCCATACATGGCGCCTGGTCGAAATTCTGGGAAGCTTTCCGGCATCTTTCGGCCCGGCCGTAAATTCTGAGGCCTTGAGATACTACGCGCACCAAGCATGCGCCGGATTTGCCAATATCGAAACTTGGGGCTGGACCCAGAGCCGCGTGGCCTTTTGCAGCATGGAAGCAGAGGAAAAGATGGAGCGCGGAGTGTGGAGAATGGCAGGGCGCTAGAGAGGTTTTTGATTAGCTACAGTAGTGTGGGTTGTTACGCAGTAAAATGAAAGTTTTAACAGGGACAGCTATAGGTCTTCAACAGCTTTAGCCAGCACAATGTTGCAAGGTGTCAATGAGTCTAGTTCCAATCGCATTTTAGTCCAGTGGAACCTGCGCCCGGAGTTGACGATTCGAGGTGCAGATGGCAGATGGCGAACAGGCGTTGATGGGCTTTACCATGTAAGAGTCATGCAACAAAGCCACTATACTTGTTTTATCTTGTTTTTGTTGTTCACTTTAATGTAAAAAGAAACATACAGACAATCAAGATACAGTAAGTTCTTTGGCCACCAATAGAATATCGGAGAATATCCGCAATAATTGGCATTTTCTGACAAAGATGGTTATGCACCGTCTGGGGCCATTCTGGACTCACGCTGCCAGGCACTCCTGCCATTGGCTCCGGGGAAGTCTGCACACCCAGTGCGGATGTTGCGATGGTGGCAAGCGAGAGATCTACCGCCTCGTAATGGGTTTCAGTAGATGGGTCAACATGGCTTGCGATGATGGCATTTTATCCAATCACTGAAAGGGTTCGGCTCCATGTACCACACTTTGAATAATTTGCATGGAAAAACATGGGAATCCGTTTCATTTCTTGTCACTCTACCATGGATGATTCAGCCAGCCCTTCAGGCCTTTCAGCCGAGGCATAAGCGGATGAATCTCAATGCGCTGGCGATCGTCATCAATTTGTTGTTGATGGGGGCCCAGGTTCTCTTGGAACGATTCCTGTGGTTAGGATCCAAGAGTAATGCCATGCATATCCATTCAATATCATTCGATCATATATAATCATATTATACTTGAATCAATAATAACCACTCATGTGAGTACCCTCCAGTTAGCCATGGACAATTCACATGTTTTTTTGAAATTCCTCTACAAATGAATCTAAAAACAGATATGTAGTGCATGTTCAATTGCCATGTTCGATTGCCACGGGGATTCACCAAGATATGGACTTAGGCCCTGGTGTTTCTTCTGTTTCATTTGCTACGCGCTGTCCTTTACTTGGCACTACCAGGTGCTCATTTTACGGGTTGGGAAGATGGGAAACTGCAGATCATCCATTGCATACGGATTTGTATTTCGATTGACCCACCGGTTGTACCCCTCAGGAAATCCTGGTTTTGTTCCATCCAACTAGTTGCTTGTGTTCCTGCAATGTTTCCCATACACCACTTCCTATGATAGCCATCCAAAAATGTTGTTTTAGTTGTTTGAATGTAAGATGACATGGCAGTGGATCACTCAGGACTGCGACACCACCTTCACCCTTCAATTGTGCCCACTTGGCAAGAGAATGGGCGATGGTTTCAGGATCAGTACAGACATGAAAACCAGATGACTGGGACAAGGCTTGTCACCAAAATCATAGCTGTTAACACCGGCCTGTTGCAGGCCCCCGTGTTTGCTGCTTGGCTGAAATCTGTGAAGATTGCTTCACACAGTTGGGCCAAAGGACAGGATGTCAGATTTTTGGCATAGAACCAGAGCCATTTTTGCCCGTTTGGAGGTTGGCAATAAACTATACACCGGAGTAGGATTCATGAGGAATAATGAGTTGAAGCCTGGCAATGAATTTCTTCCATTTCTACATCAGAATTTCCTTTGATAAATGAGCTTTTCGCATTTCCAAGTTAGAATATCTCACGGGATGAATTTGTTACATCACACAACATCACATTTTACTTATATATATTGGGTGTCAACATCTTTTGGTGGGGCGGAAACCATTTCTGATTGCTGGTTTCACTCTATTTTTCAGTTTTTTTGGGATGATGATCCCTATATATATAACGACAATGAATGTTATCAAACTTATCAAACGTTCAAACCTGGAAAAACGGAAAAAAAAAACAACAGAAAATCCCCCGGGTTGTTGCGGTTTTTCATGTTTTTTCACAAGGACCTTGGGGGGGCGACATGGGCCTAATCGCTGGAATCGAGGCCTGGAGCAGCGTGCTTCTGGGCTTGGGGATTGCCGCGCTCAGCGGCAAATTGGTCGGGGGCGCCCGGGGGTTCCGCATCGATATGCCGATGTCGAGCAGGAAATCCGGAGACATTTGGAAATTAAAAGTGGGCGTTGAAGATGTCGAGCTAGTTAATACACCTTGGTAAACTAACAAAGCTATTGAAAATGGATGAAAATGGTGATTTATAGTGGATTTTCCCATTAAAAAAATGTGATTTTCCATAGTTGTTTGTATGTTTACGAGAGGGTACATGTTTATACTACTCCATGTATGATGCTTCTGGGTGATAGGAAGCATGTGGGTAAAGTGAATTTGATTCGTCAACTACATTCGGGAATGTAGAGGAGTATAATCAAACATGAACCTCCGGCCAGTAGATGGACTTTCATATATTTTGCATGGTCTATTTGATTGAAATATTAGGGGACTGAAGAGGGGAACTTGGAATGACAGTTGGTTTCTGCATCAAGCGATGTCAGTCCGTCAATCCCACGCACGTTGAATGCCCCGCTGGAGGCCTTTCGTTCAGATGAGTTCGTGCCTCAGAGTTGGACTTTTCCGGACAGTGGTTTCCAAATATCATCGCATGCGAAAATCGACATGTTTTCCAACCTTCCCAACCAGCAACAACATCAAGCCAGCCACTCTATAATTTTCTTACTGGTGCTTAGTAGGGAATGGATGGGAATCGGGGAATGGGATGATTATTGATAGTTATTGTGGATCATTCCCTCATTGCCTGCTAAGCACCACATCTTTCCATTTTTCTCATTTTTCCCATAGGAAAACCACATCCAGCCACTTCCCATGGCAAGGTCAGACCCAAAGTGGAGCCTTGGACGCATTCGGAGTTTTTTGTCGCTCCAATGGCGATTGGAGTATCGGAAGGAGGCACCAAAATTAGGCAACATATCAAGAATATCAAGTAAACAAGGGTAACCAACGGGTGAATAGTGCCACACAAAAGATTTATTTATGTATTCCATTTGAAGACTGCAGGACCACCAAAACAACTGGCTAACAGGTGACTTGCCATCGAAGTTTGAGCCTGAGCCGTATACGTCATCAGATGTACTCCAGTAAGCAGACATTGCAATGGAAGATGCTGTATTGATATCTATTCATTAGGAATATATATATATATACATACAGGTAGATGAATTCCGGTTCAATATTCAGATGCCTATTCTTGGCTTAGGCTATTTGATTTTTGGTTTAAGGATTTGTCAGTGGGCCTCAGCCATGGTCACATCATTAAGGGGGGATGGCTCAACCACCAACGAGTAAATCAACCAGCAAGTCCCACTGGTGTTTACTTGATATATATATATATATATCATCGCTTCTTCTTGGTTTGAGCGTTCGAAGCCTATATTTTTGTTGGTCAAGTCCTACTTTTTTTCGGCTGGTTTGAAGCCAGGAGTTCCTGGTAAACGGTTTCAGTTGGATGTCCTGGGCCAGTGAATCCGATTCCATAAAGCGATAGAATACCGTCCTGGATACCGTCCGTTTTCTTTTTCTGAATACCAATAGTTATTGTAGTGATATGATTCTTGAATATTCTTGATAACAACTGGTTTGTTGTTGTTGTTGTTGTTGTTGTTGTTGTTGTTGTTGTTATTGTTTATGATATTGGTTCTTATTTATTCGTTCTTGATTATCATGTGAAGAAGTTCGGACCGGTAAAATGATACCATCAATGGCATCAATAGTGACGATTATCTCGTGATTCAAGGCCATCCTTGTTGGTTCGCAGTGCCCGATCTCAGGTATACTTTCTTCACCTTTGCCATGCTTGCGGCCGTTCGGCCACCCAGTAGGTCAAACTGCTGCAGTGATGGATTGTTCAAGGAATATACCGGGATCTCACGGCTGTGACGACCCTCACCGATCTCACCGTTTTCGATGCCGAGATGATGATTATCTGTTTCATTAAAGAACATCATGAATGGCCATATGGCCTTTGAATGCCCGAAGATGTCATAGAATGCCTTCAAGATGATGAGATTTACAGTGATCATGGTTTGTCCAGATGGGTGGTGTTTCTTGAAGGAGGGCTACCAAAAAGAGCTAGACCTGTTGAGAAAGTACGAAATGGTCAGTAGTATCATGGTATATCCTAAGTGGTTATCAGGACCGTGCTTGAAGTTTGTCTTCTTGCTTGGTAACTAGGTGGTAGCTCAAAGTCAAACATGTGTCACCATTCTAGATCACCAGAGGTTGACACTACTTATGATTCATAGTAAATCATAAGACACATATATGTAATTATATTAACACGGGAGGTGATGGTGAAGTCTTAACAAATTCCCATTTAAACTGGGAGGTGTTGTTGGCGGTGGCCTGTGGTGAGTGGAACTACAGGCGTGCGGCTGGGGGATTAGCGGGTTTTCCCGGTACCTGTTTCAAAGACTTACGCATGTGATGTTAAGCTAGCAGCTAGCCATGGGGTGATGAGTTAGTTATATATTCAAGGATCACATTATGAGCCATGAGTTCCCAATTGAAAGGGGTAAGTTTGCTGTTAATCATCCGCTTCAGGGTGGATTATGAGCTTATCCGGTATCAAATAGGATGACAGGATGACTCTCAAACACGCAGTATTTCATGGGATGGGATAAGGGCTATTTTTTCATGCATCACTTGAATGTTCCCTGAATAAGCTCAGATAGTTTGCAAGCAAATGCCATGTCCAAACGCAAGAGAGAGATCAGCCGCGGAACGTTTGGGCCCTTCACAGGACGTACAACGAGGCCGTCAATGATCTTGAAAACATGTTAGCGCCTCAACCATCGGATCTCTGAAAGTACACCAAAATTGATTCATGTTGGGAGCATATCAGCGGAGGCCACGGTTAGCTCAAACATTGTTTTGGAGTTTGCAGAGTTTGAAGGAATGACAAGCGGCAGTTCAAAGATATCTACTCTTCATCTATTCTTCTTCTACAGATACCTTCAATGTTTATTTGGAAAACTGTGGTTTGACGCTGTCGTTTCTTCCAATTTACACAACAGCGCCGCTGAGGAACGCCTATCCCAATGCTTGGCAGCCAAGTTTGCGGATGCTGTGTTGACTTTTGTTAGTACCTTGGAAGACTTCCAAAGTGACCAAACCAGGTAAAACCACAACATAGCAGATATGTTTGAAGATATGTGGTTGGAATATCATTCATTTCTAATACTTTAGAACCGGGTGAACCAGGAATGTTTTCAATTGGAAGATATGTTTGGAAATGAGCTTCCTCTAAGCAATGCCAAGTGCTGCATCCTGAGTTCCCGTGCCAAAAAGATCAACAGCTTGCGAAAATGTAGCATATCCAGGTGTCCATCTAAGGTTGTACCATGGTTGATCCAGTTGAAATTTAAAATGAAAACATCAGTTACTGGTTAGTGGTTTTGGAACATGGTTTTTATTTGTTCCATAGATTGGAAATTTCATAATCCCAACTGACTAATATGTTTTCAGGGGTAGGTCAACCACCAACCAGGTTAAGTTCCATTTTGTTTTCTTAAGCTGGCAGTGGAACATTCCCAGTTATACATAGCACCAAGCTGGCGTTTTTCATAAAGGAACTGGGAGATTTATGGTTGGGTTTTAACCTGAAAAATGACAAAACTTATCGAACACGTCTCCGTGCATGTCCGTCCGTTGACCGAATGAACCACTTCTAACGGGTTAAATCAAAGGTGATTTGATTTTCCTGGGTTTGTTTTCCTTGTTATTTTTAACCTCCCTCTTTTGTTGACCCTTGATGTACATATGCATAGTTTGAACATGTTTTTTGGATCCCCAAAAGCATCCCCAGGTGACCCTGACAGCTCTAAGGTGAATCCAGCCGCGTTGAAAGGACAGCAGCTCATGGATGTGGGGCTGCCCAGTGAGTGGAGATTTAGGCGCTGGACACTGGAGATGGGGATGAACGATGATGGAACTGGCAACAACGGCAACGGTGATTTGATCAATTTAAGCAAGCACCAAAATCTGGCAACGGTGGTTTGGAACATGATTTTTTTTTGAATTTCCATATAATAATCCCAACTGACTTTTTTTTTCAGTGGGGTAGGTCAACCACCAACCAGAAATGTTTGGGGTGACGTGTTGAAGAGAGCCTGAAATCGATTCAAAGAATCGGTTGGCAAGATGATTATACTGGAACTTCTTTTTGGTACATTGTTGGATTTTGGGGGTGTCACTTCGCAACCATTTTGTCGACTTGGGGCTTGGGGCTTGACTGATTTAAAAAATTAGCATTACTACATTACTACCAATTCTTTGTAGTTGGGAATAGTTGGGATATTTTGCGGATCCCAAAGAACCGCCGAGTTTTGATGCGTTTTGTGTGTGTAAACATGCCATACATGGAATACATGGAAAGGATATAATTTTCACGCTTCACCCGCGCCAAGGCCGGCCGGCTGTACTTCATGGAGGGCTCCGCGCTGGATCTGAAGAAAGCCATGAGCCACGTGGATCTGACTTGTGAGTTGACTCAAACACAGTTGTAGTGGGTTACCCTCTGGTAAACGTTTACATAGCGAACTGGAAAATCACCATGTTTAACGGGAAAATCCACTATTTCTATGGCCATGTTCAATAGCTACCAGTATGTTAGTTTACCAGTGGGTTAAGCACTAAACTAAACATCATGCTGTAGTTGATGTGTCGCCAAGTCGATATTTCTGAGCCCACCTCACCACACTTGTGATGTGGAGGGGAATCATCCCAAAAGTATCCCAAAGTGCTGTGCCAACATGTGGTGAAAGGTCGTGAAAGGATGAGGTCAAACAATTTGGGTCGTTGAAGGAAATAGCTATACTGATCTTAGTTTCAGTTTCTAAAAGAGTTTCTGGAAGTTCAAGATCCGTGTTTTGACTTGTTTACTTATCATGGCCTTGTCATGCCTGCTCTGATATTCAGCAATTTCCATAATCCTTGGCAATTTTGTTCACCAGGTGCAGCACCTGTATACTCTATAACCCACATATACTTTTGGACAGCCTGACTTTTAATGGATTCATACCTTCATTTCACCGAGTGACAATCAGAAATCAAACATGTTTTCTCTTCAAGCTGTGACCCGGCAGGATGTTTCCGTGGGTTGTGGTCGTTTAGTCCCCACAAACTGGCTATGGATATGGGCCATTAGTTGCCAGAAACACCTTGTGCTGCCAATGATCAGGAAACCTGTGGTCCCAGCTTCAAGGTTGACGCACGAAAATCCATAAACATCTACAGGTATCCATATGCTGGTTGGTAGTTTGGAGCATGGCTTTGATGACTTTCCATATATTGGGAATTTCATCATCCCAACTGACGAACTCCATCATTTTTCAGAGGGGTAGGTTGAAACCACCAACCAGCATATGTATCCACAAATATCTCCATCAATGTCCACGATTTGCCCCGAGGTTTCAAGAACGATGACACCTACTGTGTTGCTCCCATCGTCGTGGGCAAGGCCAGTCTCGTGATGTTGATTTGGCTGTTTCCCTTTGCAGCAAATCAACCTAGAAAGTATATGAACATGTCCCATCTTGTATCATGGGCAACTTGTCATATAATTTGATCTATGGTTACGATAGCTAAATGGTGGATTTCTGTGCCAGTTTCCAGCTTAGTTTTACCGTGCCTGCCAGGATCAAATGCCTTCCTACGACTACTGGGCTGTAGGCCACCTCGACGGATTTTTCGTGAAGATCTGTAGGAAACCCATGGTTGCTCATGTTGGTTTATTAGATTTTGATGGTGTTTAATGGTTTTTAATGATGTTTAATGGCTTTTAATGGTTTTGTTTTTAATACAATAGTGTTTAATGTGTTTTAATGTGTTTTATCAATATGGATACATCCTGCAGATTTTCCCAACTAAACCAATCTGATGAACGACACGTGATTTACCCAAGTTTGCCGTCAGGTGCTATCAGTCACAGAAATCGTAGTGGCCTGGTTGTTCCTATCAACGGTGTTTTGGATGGTTGCATAACCCAGTGGATAGTCAGTTGAAGTTGATGGGATTCAAAAACGGCGCAAATATCCACTGGTTCGGATGCTTTTCAAACTTATAATACTTGGTCTAGAAGTAGGGTATAGCCCCAATACCAATTGCAGATCAGGGATATTCCTGGAGTCATGCATTGTGCCTTTGCTGAGCCACCATGCCTTGATACATCACTGACGGGACTGGTGATCATCCCTCAGCCATGAGGCATGAATTGCTGCCCGGGTCAATCGCCGGATTTCCGCTGTGGCGAGTGCCTCCCCGAAAGTGGGGCGACGCGGGAATCAGGAGATGGTAGACCGTAAACGATAGTTAAAAATTAAACGGGGAATCATCTACTAATATTTGCTTTGTTTCTGATTGGGAATTCTTTTGATATTTATATAGATATTGTTGTCCAACTTATTGTTGTCCTTCTTTTCCTTATTATGTTCATGTTCCTTGGCGTAATTTTTCGCTGCGTCAGCGTATGTTCGGGGACAAGGCAGGACGATGCCCTCATGACCCCAACAGCAGTGCTCCAAGAGAGTCAAAAACAGCAAACTGTTCAGGGCTTGAGTCGTATAGTCGTATAGTCTTAGTAAACCCGATCAACCATCCAAGCAACCAACCATTTGGTGTATTAAGACTGTTGGGTTTGTTACTAAACCATCCATTTCTTGTTGGGTTTTAAGGCTATCCATGTCTCTATCCAACTTCCCATCTCCAGGTACAACAATGCGCATGCCAGGGCGGGCTTGCGACTAATGAGCCCCTTGGATCCCTTGAGCTGGGCGAAGGTGGAAAGATGGGATGGTTCTCTGGAACAGAACTGGGAACTGAATCAGAGATATAAACGATATAGATATGGGTATGGGTCAATACCTATAGATACATTTTTAGTGGGATGAACATCCATAAATCCCAGCTATTTTGGGGTTCACTAGGTACCAGGGTTTTGACCCATGCCCATATGTGTCAAGAGTCAAAACGATATTGGCCAAATTGTACAACTTCAATTTAGATATTACTTAATAATGCTGTATTTGTCATCTGTGAGGATGTGCCCAACAGAAAGAATTCCAGAACGACATCCTGAAGGACCGTGCTCAAGCAGATGAGGCCACAACTTAGCCAACCTGAATCTGACTCCATGTCATCAGCAGGAGATAAACATGGTCTTACTACACGGATTTTGTTCAACTGTGTGATGCTACATCGTCATGTTTATCGATCATTTATGACACGTCTCAATACAGTACGTTTCAATATTTTGGTTGCTTCCGACCAATGTCTAACATCACATTTCATTGAGTTTGTTGCCATTCAACATGCCCTTATTGTTATTGTTGTTGTTCCCTACTTTTTCGGGGGTGCATCCCGCTTAGTAGGTGGGTAGCGGACTACCCCAGTTATAAACTGTTTCTAAACCGCTGAATGTGGTAAATCCAATCATGAACCTACCATTTGCGAATGGCTGGTAAGTCATTGAGTAATTGTCTACTATTTCTATTTGGTAGTATAATGGTATAGTGGTAAACGTTGTGGTTCCCATGTCTATTGTTGTTTATTACTGGCTTAACCATTACCATAATTGCTCTGATTACCATTGCTGTTGTTTACTATTGTCTTGACCATTACCACCTATTCATACCTCTAATAGTACCCGTTACCATTACTATTATCATACTTCTGGAATAGTACCTGAGTATTCATACCATTCATACCTCTAATATCCTCTAATAGTAATGAGTAGTGGTATTCCTGTTTATCAATGGATTGGTTTGTTGGGGAAAATCTTCACAGGAAACCATCGGTATGTTCCCATCAAATACGGGGTTTTCCTACCACTCACTGCCCGTCTCTCTGAGGTGATGATCAGCGACCCTTCTACCGCCTGGCCGTGCAGCAAGCTGAAGCCGCTTACAACCTCCGGTGCGGCCCTCGGGGCGCGAGTTGTGCGATGGCATGCGATGGCGCAACGCGGTTGATGGATTTACATGAATTTAGTGGTTATAGTGGCTTCCATGCATAGGACTTTTTTACTATTTAAGACCGGTTCATATTGATGGTTGATGTTTGGTTGATGGTTGGTTGTTGGTTGATGTGGGATGATGACGGTTCATGTTGATGATGGTTCATGATTGGTTCAGGATTTCTTTCCATGAACAATGGAGATCTTGGTTTCAATTGCACAGTTGGTTGATCTCAAATTTGCAATATAAGCCACTTTACAGAATCAGACTTTCTTTTTTTGGTGTTTTTTTAAAAATTTTGGCTCATGAGATGGATGAATTATCCATGTATCATACGTGGAGCCAAATGGACTTGGTGATTCTATCACTGCTGGTTACCCTCTGGTTATGTCAAAATAGCTATTGAAAATGGCCATAGAAATAGTGGATTTTCCCATGAAAAATGGTGATTTTCCATTGCTATGTTAGTTTACCAGAGGGTAATGTTTTGTTGGATGTTCCTTTCCCTTCTGTTTGTGCTTTACAGCCATCGAGCTCCTTTCCAGGTCTGAGCATCCCATGTTCTTCCACTGGGTACAGGATCCAGTGGCTCGATATGAAACAGAATTCGCCATGGTTGGTGTTCATGGTTGATTGGTTATGGTAGGGGGGTTATAACATGTCTATCCAATAATTGGTGGGTTATAATGGGTTATACTACCATATGGTTATGATATTGGTTATGATAATCCAGAATTAAGGGGGATGTTGTACTACCATTTTTCGAAGGGGATGATCATCCATCTTTGGGGATACCTATATAAACCAACCAGTAGAATGGGATGGGTCTTTCACGCCTCCGGTGCGGAGCTGCACCTGGAACAAAATTGGAGATGCCAATTGACATTGATTGTTCAGAGCAAGATCAGCAGTTATTAATGTGTGTACAATAGTGCAACATATGCCAGCAAGGAAAAGGATGTATGCACCAACTCGAGTTTGTTCCAGGTATTTGCGACATCCCGAAATTTGCCAATTCGTGGCATTCGTGGTTGAGTTTAGTAGTTTGCAGGTCCCTCAATTTACAAATGTTTGTTGGGCAAAGCACATCCATAATGTCGGTTCTTGGGTGATATTTTGTTTGTGTCAATATGTTAATTTCCGATACTACAGATATATGTATATAGTATTATATAGTTCTCAACTGTGGTTAGTCAGTTGGTTTAGTTTAATTTAGTTTAGTCACGTGTATGTTATCTGTTTTTATTCCCCACCTGCCAGGTGAGGGTTGTTAGATTTTATGTCAGTTACCTGGTCCTCCTCCTCCTCTCCTCTCCTCTCCTCTCCTCTCCTCTCCTCCTCTCGTTGTCCTCCTCCTCTCGTTGTCCTCCTCCTCTCGTTGTCCTCCCCGTCCTCCTGCTCAACTGCGACTCGCGATCCACAGTGTTCTCTGTCGGACCTCAACCACGACCATGCTTGCCAGTGTTCCCTGCCGGACCTCAACCACGACCATCCACGCCCAGTGTTCCCTGTCGGACCTCAACCACGACCATCCACGTCCAGTGTTCCCTGCCGGACCTCAACCACGACCATCCACGCCCAGTGTTTCCTGCCGGACCTCAACCACGACCATCCACATCCAGTGTTCCCTGCCGGACCTCAACCACGACCATCCACGCCCAGTGTTCCCTGCCGGACCTCAACCGCGAGTATCCACGCCAAAAGATATGCCACATAGAGTGCCAGAAGATATGCCAGATAAAATGTTAGAAGATATGCCAGATAGAATGCCAGAAGGTATGCCAGATAGAATGCCAGATAGAATGTCAGATAGAATGCCAGAAGATATGCCAGATAAAGTGCCAGAATGTTTGCCAGATAGAATGCCAGCAGATTTGCCAGTTAATATGCCAGAAGATATGTTAGATAGAATGCCAGATGGAATGCCAGAAGATTTGCCAGATAATATGCCAGAAGATATGCTAGATAGAATGCCAGATGGAATGCCAGAAGATTTGCCAGATAATATGCCAGAAGATATGCCAGAAGATTTCCAGAGACATGGGCCACGATATGCCAGAACATCTGCCAGAAGATATGCCAGGTAGAATGCCAGAAGATATGCCAGATAGAATGCCAGATCGAATGCCGGAAAATATGTCAGATAGAATGCCAGAAGATTTGCCAGTAACAAAATGTATAGATGTCATGGTGGGGATCACACGAAGTAAAGTAATTTATTTATTTTTTATTTATACTTATTTAGTTAGTTAGTTACAGTTAGTTGGTCAGTCATATCTTAATATATCTCTTCATTACATATACAACAGATTTTGCTTTCAGCATATTCACATTTGGCCATGGCATCTTTTTCTTAGGTGGCCATGGCCAACGAACGGCTGGCTGCTGGAACCAGGCTCCTGGGGTGTCGATGTGGATGGCTATGAAAAATGGGTCGTTGTATGTGATAAATCATTGGATTTACCCTCTGGTAAATTAACATAGCTATGGAAAGATCCACCATTTTTAAGAACGGTCAATTATTTCGATTAGGGCCATTTTCCAGTAGCTGTGTTAGTCATTACCGGAGGGAAATATTTAAAGCAACGGATTTTAGAGTTGGATTTGAGAGATCATTCGGGTAACCAATCAAAATCTGCTGGTTCAATAACTTTGCATATCGTAAGAGATTTAATTAGCCAAAATGGTCATTTTTAAACTGCCACAATAGGATTTCATCCATGAATACTGAATGGATGTGGGTTTGTCTTCATAGAGGGTTTACCCCCGGATTGCTAGTTTGATAGGGAAATCATGAGAATTTCCGCATGTTCCAGATTCCAGACCCATACTTAACCCTTAGAAATGAATGTCTTACCCCATAATAATATGTTTGTACACTAAAATACATTTTTACCCAGTTTGATGGGTTGAGGTCACGTGTGTCTGCCATTGAATATAGTTTGAAGGACATAAAGACGCATCGTAAGCAGCGCTTTGAAGCTGTAGACTGTGGCCAGCTCCATCATTTTGTGGGTCTTTGGCCCAAAGACTTAGCCAGGTTCGTCTTGAAGAGCATCACATGTTTCTTCGTCTTCAACTTCTTCTGCGTGTCCTGTGCCATCATCGTCTTCTCGAAATTCAGTTGGGGCCTCTTTGAGCTACCCTCTGGTAAACATACAAAAAACTATGGAAAATCACCATCTATAGTGGATTTGCCCATGAATAATGGTGATGTTCCATAGTTATGTTAGTTTACCAGAGGGTATGCTGAAACCACCGAACTGATGTGGCCAGACTTGGGAATAGAACACCAACCAATTGACTTCTAGACACCTCCTGAGAAGATAGTTGAACCCTCAAAAGTTCTACGCCTGAATCATCCTAAATCACCTTCTCAGGAGGTGTTTAGAAGTCTAGTTCAAACAATAGTCGATTGGAGTAGAAGCAACATAGTGGGGATAAACAAGACATATTGGAGATGCTTGCTGGTTTCATTTACAACCCAATCTGTGGTGCATAAACTGACAAGCACTTGTTTGGCAACATGCTGCATTGAGCATCGCTGCAAATGGCGTTATCAACAATGGTATTTCTATGTGTTTCTGAATTTTGAGCAGTTTCAAAATTCATTGGGTTCCTGTGTTTCTCGTTTGGACCCTGAAGCAGTCTGTGGTTGTGGTCTCGGATGCCGTTCATCTCACTCAGTGGTTTACGTGGAAGTTTGTGTTGTCAACATCAAACATCATCAAACTTCAGAAGTTAGTCATTAGTCCACGTGTTTGACGTTTCGAATGCACATGCCCATGACGGATCCATGGTGGTATATATGCTAACATGACTGGGGTATGATGGTACATGTTACCATAGCAACTGGGGTATATTGATGGGATCCATGTTACATCATGTTACCATATATATCCATATATATATATATAGCATACATGGATCCGTCATGGGATGTTGAATCATGTTGAAAATCACCCAATTTCAGTGGCGACTTCGTCAGCTCCGGCCAAGGTGGCCACTAAGACTTCGCGGAGACTGTGACGTGTGACTTCGCGCACAAAGATGGCGTTCGCGGCGCAAAGATGTGGTTTTAGCTATGCAAAAATCCACGACATAATGGCAAACTATAGACTTTAAATGACTTTAATCTATATATTATTGGGATACTGCATGTTGTAAATAAAAATTGTTGGGATCACCAAAGTAATCCAACCACGGGCCCACGGCTAATAATATGGTAAAAATCATGTAAATATATAGGGCCGGGCAGGGGTTTACCACAGTATTGTTAATGCTACTCGGGCAAGTTGTTGGGTTGAATGAACATACTTTACATGCTATTACATGCTCACATGCCGCTGTTGCAGTTTGGACTTTGCTAGCCTATGTTCAAACATGCTGGCCTATTTGTGGGGCTGGTGACGGCTGGTGATTGTATTTTGGGCGCGCAGTTGGATGGTTGGAAATTGGAATTGGCCACAATCTAATTTTTTGTCACATGTTTAGGCCAACCATGCTGACCAGATGGAAGACGTTCGTTCTGTATCGGCAGATCTTGAAATGGGTACGAATGTGGGTCAATGTGAAACTCCACCAAGAAGTTCAGAAATGGGGATGTGTCAAACTATTATACCATTTACAATGTTGGTTCTGTTTGAATCACGTACTAGTCATATAGATTAGCCGTTTACATCCATTTACTGTATTTATTTTGGGGGATACCAGCTGCCATGTTCACCAGGCGAGGTTTTTGACCCACAGCATGGCGTGGTATGTTTTTTTTACATCCCCACGGAGGTGAACATGGCATTGATCCGTAAGCCAGCTCGTATTCAAGGCATCTAAAGATAGTCAAATTCATGAAATAATTCCCTTTGAGATAATATAATATCTGCTTGGTGGTTTGGAACATGGCTTTTATTTCCCCATAGATTGGGAATACTCATCCCAACTGGCTGATATTTTTCAGCTCTTGAAACCACCAACCAGATATATATATATATATTTATGATATATATTATATATAGCCATATAGCCATTCTGATGGCTTCATTGGAAATTGGCCGTCTTGCGGGTAGTTGCTTCACCCCATGCAGAACCGGCACAGCTAGGAATATCAGCCCTCACTGCGCCCTGGATGCTTCCAGGGGCTCATTTTCAGAAACTCCCCGCAGTTTCCATGCATTTTTGGCTACGAAAAAAGACAGCGCAAGCCATTCAGAATGCTGCCATGATATCGCCAATATGATGCATAGAATGTTGTTTCGATTCACGCAATCATGTAGAACATATGTTGCTTATATGATCGATATGATTGAAATGAAGTCATACATGTTGCTTCATAATTGTCTTCTTTCCAAAGTATGAAATTCTCAGTATCATAGCAGTTCCATCCAAAAAACAGGAGAATGAAGCAGTATGATCCAGAGTCCATATGATATTTGATCATATCCATTGATGATTTGCCAATCAAATCACCGTGCCTCGTGTTTCACGAACGCCCACGTTTTTACCGAGCCCTCTGCGGAAGCGGAAGGTGATGTTCCTCAGGTTTTTGGGGGACACCCATCTTGGTAGATCAAAACTGAGGTGATGGAAGCTACGGGACTTCCAAGTACTGGAAAATATATGGTAATATCTGGTAAACCTATGGTAATATATGGTAAATATATGGTTAATCCATGGTTACTATATGGAAAATCTATGGTTAATAATAGTTACCCTCTGGTTATGACTAACAGTTTGCCATGGTTTTTCGATGGCCCTAATCGAAAAAGATGGTTTACCGTTTTTAAAAATGGTGATTTTCCATGGCTATGTTAAATAACCAGATGGTATATAGTACTTGTATAGTACTTATATCATTTTATATCATGGTACTTTGGGGATCTTTGGGGTTGGTTTCTCTGATTTCTATTGATTTCTCTGTTTGCTGTTCCAAAGCAAGGGCGATATTGCATGGGGAAAATAGCAGTTATATAGCGTTCATGTATTTGATCATCTATTGTATTGCGGTCTGATGCCTTGTTTGGGAAACCCAGCTACGCATCAAGTTGCACCCCAAAACCAATCTTGACGGCCAGATCATTCCATGTGGTTCTCGGTCTCCTGTCTACAAAGTGGAGCCATATCCTCTGGTAAACTGACATAACTATGGAAAGATCCACCATTTTTAATGGGTTTTTATCAACTATTTCTATGGCCATTTTCAATAGCAGACTGTTAGTCATTACCAGAGGGTAGGTTTCATTTGTTCTACCTCACATGACTGCAAAGATTCACTAGCTTTGCACTGTGTGGCTGAGGAAAAGCTAGCTGAAGTTGGTTGTCCAAAGTCGTCATGGAAGGGCAGCAACCAACCCAGCAGAACATCGTGCAGCTTATACCTCCAGTCTGGTTATGTAATATGTTGTGCAGCTTTCCAATCATGCAATTATAATCATTCATCATTTTACCATCTCATTATCCAATACTGGTTATACTATGTTATACTACCTCCTAGGTCCTAGTGTTTGTGTTTAGAAAATAATACTGGTTATTATTCTTCAAAATCATGATTTTATATATATATACTTATACATAACCAGCATTACTTTTAACCAGTATATTATCTAATCCAATCATGGTTATGTTCTAATAATTAGATGAAATATATTATAATGATTAGATAATCACATATAATAACCATGATATCATATCTAATCATGATATCTCACCCAGTATATCTCCCAGTTTATGGGCGAACCTCAGGGGCGAACCTCTTCCATGTCGGGATGAGGCGATGGTGCTTGGTTCATCTTGGTTCAAGGAAAAACCGGACGAGGCGCCGTGATTGCAAAACGCCGGACAAAATTGGGGGATATGTCCAGTTAAGCATCAAAAAGATGGATTTAAGCCATGCAGAATACTTGCTGCGATGTCTTTTTAGCAACACCACTCTGGTGCGGAAATATTCCGGATGACATCTGAAACAACCTCCGTGAATTGTAGTTATTTTCGGCTCAAGGTGTGGTGTCCAAGTTTAAAACTCAAATTGATCATGTCGATTGTGCTTGATGCCTCGTTGTTGCCAAAGGGCGATGATATAATCACTGTGACCATTAAGGAGTTAAATGGAGAAGATGTTTGCAGCTTCGATCTGAAAAATGGAACGTTGGCGGATCTAGAGAAAACACTCTGTGATCTACCAGAACCAAGGGTCCGTTGTCTTCCTAGGTCCAGTCTCCGTTTCTACACAAAGGAGGAACCATTGATGGCACTGGACCTGCAACTGCCGGTCTGTAGTTTTGGTTCCCTCGTAATCGAATACAAGGCCCCAGATCTCGGCAAATTTCTGAAGGCCATGCAGAACAACAAGTTCGATCCTTCGTCAGCAAATTTTGAGATGACCTGGACTGCAGCAGAAGCACCGGCAGTTTCTGCATACGAAACTAAGGGCATGATTGATCAAGTCCTCAGTGGATTGCCCACCCATGCAGACAGCCGAGAGCATTTTGTTCGGATTTTTGGCAAACTCACTGCTATGGGCGAGTCGTGGGGCTTGCTGCTGTTGTCAATGCAGGACAAATATGTGATTTCGGGCGGGAGACATTTCAGGCATCGCCTGTGCCAACATTGGCTGGAGATCGCTCGCGATGCATCCACCTCAAAGATCTCAGAGGCAACACCCATCATACTACTCAAAAGGAACAGGCACAGGGGTGAGGGTGGCCGCCTGACTGGCTGTGAAGTCCTTGGTGACTCCTTTCCCAGAAACTTTGATGATGGCTTGCAAAGAGCACTCAACTTTCACGGTGTGTACCCTAATCTTGAGTGGCAAAACGTGTCACACACCTTGCTATCATTGGATTGGGACCCCCAAGAGGGCTTAGCACTCTTGCGAAATCTCCAGGGGAAAATTCGATCACAGGCACCTGCTCAATTCACGACGCTCCAGACGCAGGAGGTCACTCTGATGGTCCACGTGCAGCTGCGCTTGTCCTGTCTTGGAGTTGCGGAAGTCCAAGGGTCCATCAATGCGGCCTGCGTGGAGGTTCTTGCGGAGCTGCTTGAGTACAAGCTGAAGATCGTGAAGTTTCAATCTGTTGCCGACTTGGAGACACAGATGAAGGGTTTCGAAGGTGACGCGCAGCACCGCGGAACCCTGGTGCTGGTTACAGATCTTCCGGCTTCCACCAGCAAAATCATTGCTGGGTCCCATCGCATGGTCCTTTGCTACAATGCCGAAGAGTGAGATATGAGGATGGCTCCAGAATACATACCCATGACCTACAAATGAATGGTCAAAATGCAATTCGAATATATGTGCGGGCTCATTGTTGCCCGATTTTGGGTCGCCACACAGCACCAGCCGTTGTCTCATGAAAGGCTGAGTCAGGGCTTGGCTTAGTGCGAGAGCAAGTAGAAGATTATGCAGACCATGGTGAAAACGATTTTGCAGACCCGTGGATGCTCCTGCCGGTTTATAATTAGAACTTGAACACTGTTTTTATGTAGGTTTGGAAACAAATCAAGGGGGTTAATTGTCATTATACTTGTAAACACCATTTGCGCTGGGTGTTGCTGAGGCCTCTAACCCACAAACTGTCCAGTTGTCTAAGTGTATTCTTATAGTCGCGCTGAGCAACCAGTGGCTTAACCCCATATTCATTGCCCAACTCAGGTTGTATTTCCCGTATTCCTACATTGGTTGGCTTCACATTCAAGTTCGGATTTGCCCAAACCTGATCAACATGAGACCCCTCTGCCCTGTCTCGTCATGTCAGGCCAATGGCAAGCGATGGCAAACACTGCCTGTTTTGCTGCGCCAAAAAGATCCGGCATTGGGCGGCATTGGGGGCTGAAGACTTTCCACCTCGGGCACAACGCTAATCGCCGCTAATCCCCATTCCCCAAGAGCACTACTCATTGTGCTTGGAATCTCATTATCAACAGTATACAGTATACTATGTTTTGACTCTAGCGCACATAGCGCAAATGGGTTTATTTGAGGATGACAGTATGGTCGGACAATATGGCATTCTGGGTGTTCGGGCAATTGCACACTTCAATTGTCTATTTCTAAGCCCAGTATAGAAATAGGACCCCAAAATGGTACAATATTATGTTTATAATGTATGCATATATATATATATACCAGCTGGTATATATATATATATACATATGCAACAAACAGTTTCCGGGGAGGTGATTGTCAGGAGGGAAGGACTGGGATTGTTTTGGACAGGCGCTGTCTTGTGAACATCCGCAGTTTCACGGCCTAGTAGCCGGCCAAATGCCCTTGTAGCGTGGTGGCCATGTATCACGTCACAAGAGTGATTCAGAGCTAACAAGAGGCCCATTTGCCCATGGAAACTGAGTCAAGCATCTATAGTAATCTATAGGCACCATGATCCCTGACATTCCCTGACGTTTTCATCACAATTATCAGTGAGGTCACGACCTCCAATATCTGTTTCATTATGTTTCCCTAGAAATATCCAAGAGTTTTCTTCATCCCCATATCCACCTATAGTTCCCCCTCAGGTTCTCCCGTTTTTTCCCATCCCTTCCCGTTCGCCATGGCGGTGGACGTGGCCAGCAAGCCGACCCTGGCGAGTTACAACATCCGTCCCGATGCCTTCGATCCGAAGCGGCCGGGACCTCCGAATGCGCTGCAAACGGCGCGGGATCGCGATGAGGCGATGCTTGGCCGAGCTTTTCAGGATGGGGAAGGATGGATTGAATGGTGATGTAATGGTGATTTAATGGTGATTTAGTTGTGGGATGTTGTGGGTAAAGTGATTTATAATCTATAATGCCAAGTCAGGATTAATCAACCCCCCCCCCCCAGAAGGTCGGAACTCTACCTTGTAGGTCATTTTCTTAAACCCCCCTTAATAAGAAGCAACTCTGAACCATAAAACTTTGGATATGGCTTACGTCAATTAGATCTTAATAGAATTCCATTGGATTTGTTAAAATCTCATGGATCAGAAAGGTTGTTGATTAATCAGGAGTAAACCGTGGTTATTATTAATGGGGGACATGGGCTCATGGGGGGTACCCTTTGGGAGCTATCCAAACTGATGATTTTTATCAAGATTTTAATTAAAAATCGATCATTTGGGGCATAGTTGTTTTTTGAAATTTTCAATGATCAACTAAAACCTTAAGTATAACAATGATGATAAAAAAAATGTAAAAAATAAATGGAAATAAATAGAATTGGAAATAAAAAATGTTGGATAAAAAATGGATTTCAGAACTGGAGGTTTTTTAATCGGGGGTGTTTATTAATACTGGGGGACCACCTGTTTTTAAATTGCATTTTTTTGGGGGGGAGGAGGAGGTTGATTAATAACGGGCTGTTGATTAATCCTGACTTGACATTAGATATCTATAGAAACCAAAACAAATGTGATTTAATGGTGATATACTGGGGCATAACGGGATCACAATGGAAAATCCATATTTGGAGGTTTCCGTTTTGACCTCACCGAAGACATGGATGACCATGATTTCGTATATTGAAAGCCATGGTGACTTGGGGATCCCCCATTTCAAGAACCCCCCCACATGTTGTGGAAATGGTGCCAGATGTTGGAAAATTTATGTAACAATTTAATATATAAATAGCCAATAGGCATGGAAGAGTTTTCCCCAATGTGTCGAACGTGGAAGGGTGGGAAATTGAGATGAATTTAGAATCATTCTCTGGAATTGCCAGTGTGACGCCTGTGAAGTTGGGAGTTGTTACGAGTTGTTGCGAGTTGAGGAAGTGATGTTTTTGATTTCTCGAAGTATTGATGGGCCGATGCTGGCTTGGAGAACACACATGGGATTCCATGGGATTTGCCTGATTGGTAGACGTCTGGTAGACGACAGGATCAGGGTTCGATTGTTGGAGCTGGTAATCATCTTGCTTGATCATGGAACATGTCACAAAGGCAGCCCTCGTTCTCCAAGAACTGGAGGGCAAAAAAAAAAAGCACTTGATATGTTTGAATGATACCGGTTGTATTTGCAACGAGCTCAAGCAACTTCATCAGAACCGATGATGTTCACAAAAAACTGTCAACATTCTTGGAGGCTTAAACCACGGCCACGGGTGGTTTCTAAGTCCGCCATGACCCCGACAACCAATTCGGCCCATCCCAAGGATGCTCGCGGTGGTGGACCGACATTCCGAAGTGGCCGACGGATCCTTGGACTGAGCCGTGATCCTTAGATTTTGGATGTCAGGTGCCAGGTGAAAATGAACATATTATATAAAGTCAATGTCAACCCCGGATTAATAACCCATGGCTTATCAATTAGGGTGGTATTCCCCCAAAAGTCATGATTCGATACTTAAATGGTACCTTCCCAATTAAACAGCCGTTTGGGGTTTATCAATCCAGGGTTGACATTAGTAAGGATGCCCAAGTTGATGGTTCCATTGATACATCAGTTTTGACTTGTGTCCCATTCCCACTTGACATGTTGTGAAACCATGTTTGAGACTTAAACAACTCCCAAGATTTGAGCTGGAACCTGACCATTTGGAATCCCAAACGCATGAACATGGCACTGTCACCATCCATTTGCGAATGTTGAGTCTCAAAATGTTTGACAATACGTTGAATCGATTTCAGGTTCCATAAAGTCCAATTGCAGGTTATAAACTCCTTGATTCCGTTTGCCTGGTTTGTACCCGGCAAATCATTGGGTTCCGCACCGGGCTGAAAAACGCTGTCAGGCAAGATCCGCACCCGGGACTTCAAGGGCGCCATCACCCTCCTGAAGCGCACACAGCGACTCGGTGGACTCGGTGTCACGATGTGAAATGAAGGCGATGGAAACCATGACCTTTAAAGACAAAAAACGATGGAAAATCATATAATGGGTAAATATGGGTAAATCAACTATAACTGTTATTGTTATCTAACCAGTACTGGTTGGTGGTTTCAGCAAGTTTACTGGGTAAATTAAGATATATCATGGCATTATGGTTGGTGGTTTCAAACATGAATTTTATTTTCCATTTCATATATGGGATGTCATCCTTCCCATTGACGAACTCATTTTTTTTAGAGCGGTAGGTATACCACCAACGGTGCATAGATGTTTAAAAACCAAAACTACAATTGTGTAACAACTTATCTTTTGCCCAGAGAATGTGTGTTGCAAATTTGCAAGAACTCGGACATGTCGTTTAGCCATGTTTAGCCCACAACAAATGGGCCTATGCTTTTCGCGAAACGGCTGCTGTTTATGCTTTGATTTCGCGGTGGGTAGGAACTTGGTGGCTCATCATCAATCTCCGGAGCCCGGTGGGAAAGCTCTGGTGGTGCGGCTCGCCTCGGCCTGTCTGCAGCTTCAGCTTTGTGTCGGGACGCCGGGACGGGGATGGGATGAGGACGGTTGGACGGAGCAGGTTTCCATATAAATTAAATGGGGGTACTCCAAAATGAATGGTTTATTTCATGGAAAATCCCATGAAAATGGATGATTTAGGGGTAAGTATTTTGTGGGAGAGGGAACTTCATAACATATGTTGTTGTTTTGATATGTTATATGATGCAGCTAGAATAATATAGAAGTTGGAAACCCCGTTCCTTCGAAAACTAAGTGTACGCAGTGTAGGAGCATAAACCGTCATCCCTCATCCCCCCTTCCATCGAGGTGTTTGGAGTTGGTTATAATTTCATCGAAGTGTTCCAGTCGTGTAAAGAGAATGTCTTTCAATGTGGTCATTCTTGGAAAAGGACTCACTTAGCCAGCCTATAAACATGTATCCAGTGATTTCCTTGGGTCCTTGATATTTTCATATGTTCATATAACTTCCCGGTGTTTCCCTGAATATTTAACTTTGTTTTTTTAATGTTCCCATCATTTCCAATTTCTTCTAATCATTATCCCCATGATTTTTCAATGGTTTATAGCAGCCCCAAAAGGAAACCTGGAAGTATGAGGTACATATCATCATCCTACCATCCTGGAAAGACTTTTTTGCATTTTTCCGCGGATTACCACAATACATTTTAAGAAGAATCGCCTCATCATGGAAAAGATTTCAATATATATTGGCAATCAATTTTCCCATCAGTTTCCCTATCACCTTACTGCTGCTTCGTAGGGAATTTGAGGGAATGATCCATATAATCACTATAGTAACAATCATCCCAGCAACCCCCAGCAACCCATCCATTCCCTACGTAAAACGCACCAGTAAGTCATGTTCCCGTGATTTATGGTTCACAATCACCAAAAAGTAATAATCCATCACTATAGTAATGATCCCAACTAACCCATCACCAAAAAGTAACAATTATCCCATCACTAACACATCAAAATGGGTTCCATCCTCCGCCATGGCCAGGTGGCCCTGTCGCGCATTGGACGCCACGCGCCGGCGCTGTCAGAGGCCACACGTGCTAAGGAGGACCATGGGATGCGCATGGGATGTTAGAAACCTGTTATTGTTACCCTCTGGTAAACATACCAAAAACTATGGAAAATGGCCATTTATAGTGGATTTTCCCATGAAACATGGCGGTTATCTAAGCATTATTCAACCATAATTGCTTGGTGATTTAGAACATGGCTTTTATGTTCCCCAATAGTTGGGATGATGATCCAATCTGACTAATTTTTCAACCCTAACTATAGTTGATTCACCTGTTCAAAATGGTGATTGTAGCTACTATACATACAAGTATCCTCTGGTAGACATACAAAACAACTATGGAAAGATCCACCATTTGTCATGGGTAAATCAACTATTTCTATGGGCCATGTTCAATAGCTATGTTAGTTTACCTGATGGTAAATCACCATTATTCAACCATAATGTAGTTGAACAAACCATCGATGGATATCCATATTCTAGTTAGTATTCAACATGATTGTTGTCATAACTGTTAGTTCCAACTCATCATGTTGACAATTATCTAACATCACTGAACAAGCGTACCGGTACCACTAGTTATTGTTAAACTAGTTATCTAACATTATCTAGCCATTGTTCAATTAAAGCATACCACTAGTTCACTCATGATTGTTGTAGTTGTTTTCAATGATATGGTTCATGAACCCGGGGATGTTAGATGAGAGTGCATGAAACACATATTTGAGCAAGAATAATGGTGATTTCGTGGGAGTTTATCAGGGTGTACAAGATATCACCAACAGCCATGGGAATCTACAGTTGCTTTGTGTTGGAAAGTGCATGGGGTGACCAGCAAGATGATGGCTACTACTAGGAACAATACATGGGATGATATGCGGATTCTAGCCGGATATTCATGGGATAACAGTGGAATATAGCGGGGATATGAGATAACTACATTCGAAAAAACATGATATAAAGTGAATAGAAAAAAGAATCCGATAACATTATAATAACAAAATTCGAACAATCAAATTGAAATATTGAAGCTCGTTTTCAGACATAATGGCAGAACAATGGGATCAACAAGTGGAGAATGATGGCATTTACTGGGATATAACCAACCATGGCCTTTAGGTCTGAAAGGAAATAGTGCAGATCATTGATGATGATGGGTATGATATGATATACTGTGATTTTACTGAGAATAATGGAACAATAAAGGGATTGCATGGAATATATAACTACACCTAAATGGGCAACACTTTGAATGATTATATTATAGTGCGGGATTAGTGGTGCTTTAAATGGAAAACCACACGAAGAAATGCAACAAAGGTGGGCATTCCCCTCAGGAAACTGGGATATGAATCAACCAACATCAATTGGAATAAAAACCTAATAACGTACTTGAAAATCCTGCTAAAACCATCAAGGGCGTGCTTGGTTTAACTTTATCATCATTTTCTCCATTATTTGATTTGATGTTTTTGTTATACCGCATTTTCGCACAAATCCATATGCAAAAAGAAACACATGTAAAAAAAACATGTTTTCAAGAGAACAAATAGCGGATTGTCCATGTTTCGATCCACATTCTGTATATGTTTTAATTATTGTTTTATGGATATTTATTTTTTTCTTTAACCACTTCCCAAACACATTTTTCTAAGGGGAAGTGATCATGTTCTAAAATGGTTCGTTCGCTTTAGGGAGGGTTTATCAGAGATGCCGTGGTTAGCACCAGTGCTGTGCTCGCAAGGAGTTAGATGACATTTGGTCGTTATTGACCGGAGCTGCTATGGACATGGCCATGGCTGAAGCAGGACTGCAGTAATATGTTGCTAAAGAGTTGGAAACTGATTTGAGTGACTTCGCAGCATAAACCAAAAACACGTGTAAATGAACCCTGGGGGAAAAACAAACTCTTGGAAACACACACGTTTTTTGGTCACTTTTTATTGATATTCATGACAGATCTAGCCATTTCGATTGGTGGAGAACTCGTGTTTGCTTTTCAGCCCATCCCGGGATGAAGATCAGGATTGCTGACTGTACACAGGAGGTGATTCCAACAAACCGCATCCAGTGCTGCGGTCGCACATTTGCCATCCCCCACACTGGCTGGAACGGGCCGTGTGTTGCGCCATCCAGTCGCGTCTCGGTCGATGGCGCTGTGGGCGGAGGCGTTTTATTAGTGCATATGTTGGTTGATGACTATAGGGGGGATTATATTGCTGGGCACTTGACATCATGATTTTATCATCATCCATGAACCGGGATTATATTATACAAGCAGGGACAGCTAAGTTGGGTGAAACAACTCCACCTTCACTGTTGATTTGATGGTAACTATTGGCTAATGGGGTTTTGAAACCAACTTAGAACTGGAGGGCCAGGAACAAGCATTATATCAGGGATTTTCCGCTTCTTGACATTGCTGAATGGTGAATGGTGAACGGATCAAAGGTGTTAAGATTTACTAAGGATATCTAAGGATTTTTAAGGTAGATTTTTGATAATAGACGCATGATGGAGAAATCTTTGATTTCCTACTGTTACGTGTCTTGTTTTTAAATCAGATCTCAGGATTGCCAGTTTTTTGGGTGTTCGTGGCATTTCATGCCTTCGGGTGGGCTCGAGCTATTGGAACCGATTCCAGATGTTCTTCAAATGATCCAAAGATCCCGAAGTGGCATGATCTTATTTTCGTAAGACTGGACAATTCCCCAAGTTTTTCACGATCTTAAGAGATTTTTTTGAACATCACCAGAAGTGACACGATCTTATCGCAAAGCTTGGTTTTTTCTGAGGCGCCTCTGTATGGCCCTGGAAATGGAATATCTCCTCAGCTCTGATGAGATGCAAAGTCAGCGCTCCACTGTGCTGCCGCCCATTCCGGCGATGGAAGCGATGTCATCGATGGAACCGATCTCGGCAGAAGCGCACGACCCGCACGACGCCGGGGAAGTAGGTCAGGAACCTCTGAAAAAAACCAGTGGGGACCATCCAGGGGTCATCAATCTTGGTGTAATGTTCATTTGGCTACCCTCTGGTTATGTCAAAATAGCTATTGAAAATGGCCAGTTATAGTGGATTTTCCCATAAAAAATGGTGATTTTCAATAGCTATGTTAAATTACCAGAGGGTACCAGTCACAGTGTGCAACTTGATAGCCATACATCGCTGAGCAATTTTGGGGTTCGTTATCATATTATGGCTGAGATGCTCAGTCTCAATCGTCTTAATCAAAACCGATGGATCTGCTGATGTGGGTTTTGGAACGTTAGCTACACGCCAACTCTTTGCTGATGCGCATATTCTCCATGTTTTTCCATGGGGTTTCTGATGCTGATGCGAATAAGTCCCCGAATAAGTTGAAGGGGTTTGGTTCACAGGAAACCTCTACGGTTGAGGGGAAACAATTGGTTTCCTGTATTTTTTTCCCTTCAATCGAGTGAGTCACCAGCATGTTTCTGTATAAAGCTGACTTTTTCTCAATCAGAAATTGGATAAACATTGTGGCTATCACAAAAAAAACTGATTAGTCCCAGTTATATGTTTGTGCTGACGGACTTTTTACCGTCCAGCAAAACGCATAGATTTTGATGGGGTGGGGCAATAACGTTCATTGGCACTTACACACATACGGGATGCTACGCCACTGCCCGTTCTTCTGCAACTTCCACACATACGTGATGCTACGCCACTGCACGTTCTTCTGCAACTTCCACACATACGTGATGCTACGCTGGGGTGGGGTGGGGTGGGGCAATAACGTTCATTGCAACTTACACACATACGTGATGCTACGCCACTGCCCGTTCTTCTGCAACTGCGACATTCATCAAGCAACTGTCTTGATTCGACTTCGGGCCTCTTGAAGAAGAAAAAACGCTGAGAGGGTTGTCGATGGAAAAGTTAAACCCGAGACCTCTTTTTTTCAGTCAAAATTGACGTTTCGCTATGGCGAAGCGATAATTTAGTAATAAATATGCGGACGATGAAAATTCCGCCGGGATGTTTGTGCCATGCTGGTGCCATGCCGATCATCCTTAGATCATCAGGTGATTCTTTGGATCCAGGGCTCTTGGAGTTGGAGAATGAGAGCCTGGACGAGAAAGCAGGCCGGTTTCGGTGCTGTTTTGGATGGGGGAAGCCCAAAAATCACCATGGGTTTTCCGATTTTTTTTAATGACCATGTGGTAAAGTCAATGGTAAACCATAGCAGTATGCCATAGCATGTTTGTTGGACCAGAAATGACTGGTACAAACATAACCTATCTAACCCCATGTTGAAGAGCAACAACACACGTAGGTACTCTTTCTTTGCAATTAAGCTGTATGTGTAAAGCTTATGCAAGGGACAATTTCAACAATGCGGTGCTATATGGTGCAGTGTAGTGACAATGTAGTGAATATACACCTTCATTTTGGGTACTTGACTGCCGTTGATAAAGGGTTCGCAGTTCAGAAGATCTGGAATTTGAGCAAGCCACAAGCTGTTCACCACGAGCGTCCCGAAGGTTTGGACGCAAAAAAATCTTATTGAAATTATTCAAAAAAAGTTCATAAGATCATCTTGGTGTTCGTTTTTCTTGTTCTCCTCCTGTTTGGATGATTTTGCTCCAACTGTCCAGCAGCGCCAGCAGCAACCGCCTGCAGGTCTCAACGTGGGATTGCCTTTGCCGCCGTTGTCGGAAATGCAACAGATGCATGGTACGCATCATGTGGTGCTTGTTGCCCAAGCAAAATATGAGAATTCGGCCGGAAAACAATGTTTAATGAGTTTTGCATTTGACGTCCCCATGGTTCCATTGCTGCAGTTTTTGGGATGGTATAGGTATTGCAGTTGAGCAACGGTTGTTTAAGTCATCAGTTCGCTCCATTTTCCCACTTGAATCCTCGCATATCTTGGCCATAACCAAATCTTCAGGATGTCATCCCAGTTATGCAACTTTCCCACTGACCTCCCAAATCAGAGACATATATATATATATATATGTATATATATATATGTATATAGTTTGTATATGTTTGTATACATATTCTATATCCGGATTTTGCATCTGTTTGGATTAAAAGCCATCACTTGGCCATCTCCACGGCACGGCTGGTCATGGCCGGCTGAAGGATGTGGCAACTCTACGGGGAGGCCATAGAGTTGGCCTCGCAACTGCTCCCGGCGAAGCATGCTTTGACCATCGATGCGCAGAAGGCGCGGCTCCGTGACCCTTGGCGAACGGGGCAGCCTTGGTGAATGGCGGCCATTAATATTCACACCATAAACCATGAATAATAAGCCATTAAGCCATGGTTTGACATTACTAGATGACCAATAGTTGACATTAATCTGGGTAAATTTGATCGTTCGACCGAAGCCTCCCGAAGCCCTGGAATCATGGGGAAATCATCGCCATTCATGGCCGAAGAATTCAGGTTTTCGTGAGATATGATCATGTACCCAGATTTATGTTGTTTGCCTGGTGAATTATAACAGAAATCTTGGGGTTATAGTTCCAATGGTTGGCTAATGACCTGGTGGACTATAACAGAATATAACTATCAAATTATATTAATGAAGATGATACAATGGTTAATGACCCAGTAGTTCCCTCCACTATTAAACATCACCTATATTCCAGTATTCCAGGGTGGAGTGTAGGGGATGAAATCATATATTTGGGACCATACAATGGGGATTTTCAATAATTACTTGGAATTACACCACCATCAGTACCATATTTTCCATGTAAATCACTTGAGTGATAATTTTTGGCATAGTCATAGCGATCCTGCTGAAATGATGCATTGGTTTGCCAAGCAACCATCCCCTATCCCCCATAAAATTGATTAAAATTGTCCGCATCTGAATCCTATCATCAGTTGGGGCTTAACTTCCAAGTGGTTTTTCATGGCTTTACCAGATGAAAGGCAATGTAAAACCCTGCCATGGAAAGGAGCATGACCATATATGACCATTTTTCTAGCGCGTGCCATGTCTTACCACTTAGTCGATTAAAGTCATGGTTACCCTCTGGTAAACATACAAACAACAATGGAAAATCACCATCTTTAGGTAAATCAACGAACCAAATGGGCCATGTTCAATAGGAAACTGTTAGCCATAACCAGAGGGTATCCCATCAATATCTCATGATGCCACTTAATATATCCCATTGAACCACCATTAAGATCCCATGGAAAACCACCATTTTTCCATGAAACCACCATTTTTCCATGGAAAACCACCATTTTTCCATGGAAAACCACCATTTTTCCATGGAAAGAATCCTGAAACATCCACCCCTATTCCCTTGAATCGCCAAGCCGCGGCCAGCGCCCTGGACCGCTGGTCACCGGCGTCACCGGGCACCACAGAGGCCACGGTGGCCACAACAGCCACGGCCACAGTGGCGTCGCGGCTGTCGGCGGCGTTTCGGGGTAGTTGAGCTGTGTTCAAAAGCCTGGTTGGTTGATGTTGGTTGATGGTTATAAAATTATATATATATATATATAAATATCAAACCAATGGTGATATATCAAACCAATGGTGATATATAAATATGATTATCATATTGATGGTTGATATATCATAGTTGATGGTTATATGAGTATCATATGATATATATATATATACATCAAGACTGGTTGGTGGTGACTGGAACATGGCTTCTATGATTTTCCATATATTGGGAATGTCATCATCCCAACTGATTATATATATATATCATATTGATGGTTGATATATCATAGTTGATGGTTATATTAGAGTATCATATTATATACATATACAATATATACATCAAGACTGGTTGGTGGTTTGGAACATTTTTCCCATATATTGGGAATGTCATCATCCCAACTGACTCATATTTTTCAGAGGGGTTGAAACCACCAACCAGTATGGATCCAAACACTGTCTGAGAGGGTACAAAAAAGCCTCCAAATTATAGTAAATTATACCCCAAACACTTCCTGAGAAGGTACTTGGATCCATAGGGTATATATATATATATAATGTAAGTATATATATATATAGGAATATCTGATATATGTATATTGTATAAATGATATGGAATGATACTTTTCAATATACTGTTTTTTTTTGAATCCAAGAACGGGGAATCCCGTTCTTAACCAACCAGAGAGGGATTTTGAACACTGCTCAGGTGATGTTAATTGGAGATGATCACAATTCCGTGGTAGGAGTTAGAGGTTGACTTTGAAACAACGGGTTTGACCGGTAAAAAATGTGATTGTGAGCAGTTCTAACATATGTGTTTTTCTGAGTTTTACATGTTAAAGTAAACATACTTGAAAGATTTAACACATGTTTTAGTTTTAAGTGATAAAACCGGTAAGTTATGTGGGCGCCAGCGCAAATGCCACCCTTTGAGATGCAAACCTCCAAATGGTGAACTTTGGATAACCATGGACCACTGGCAACGCAGACTAGGCTTGGCGGCTGAATCAAATCGAAGCGCAACATCCTGACTGGGATATGTTTTGAATCTCTACAGAATTGGATTACATTTGACTTTAATCGTCAATTTTCGATGTTCTCCACTTCATATATGATTGACTATCCCATAAAACATCCAGCATTGACCCAGTATTAACCCATTCTTAATCATATTGATATCCATTAAATTGCTGTATATCCCATCAATGGTTAGAAACTCATTGCTATCCCAGTATTAACCCATTACGAACCCATGAATGGTTGGTATCCACTGTCCCCATGTCTGCGGAGGACTCCACTGTCCGCGATGTCGCCCAGGAGCCTTCGGCGCCCGTCTCGTCCACGTCCACGCCAGCCAAGCGGAAAGGGTCGCTGCCATCCCAAGAGGTTCCGAAAGCCAAGGAGTTTTCAGTGGGTTACCCTCTGGATATTTCTTTAACAGCAGTTCAATAGATGTTTTACCATAAACCATCATTAACCATCATTAACCATCATTAACCATCAGTTAACAGCATTTAATGGTTAGTGATGGTTAATTAGTGGGTTAAGGATGGTAAAACATCTATTATGGAAATTTTACCAATGATGGTTAATGACGGTTAATGGTTAATAGATGTTTTACCCACTAATTAACCATCACTAACCATTGATCGTCATTAATCATCAGATTTACTGGGATATGAATGGGTTACCCTCTGGTAATTTGACAGTTTGCTATGAAAATGGATGAACATGGCCCATGTAGTTCGGTGATTTACCTACTAAAGATGGTGATGTTGGATATTTTCATGGATCATGAGGAATGTTCATGTCGATGATGATTTCATAGGATTTTTCATAGGATTTATCATGATTTAATGGGTCCAAGGGCTGTACCCTCTAATTACAAATGATAAGGGGAGTGGTGGATGTTTCATGTTGTTTTTTCCATTGAAAATGGTGGCTTAATGGTGATTCACTGGGATATCAACTGGCATCATGAGACATTGATGGGATACCCTCTGGTTATTTAACATAGCTATGGAAAATCTCATATGTAGAAGGTTTATGATGATCTTAGTCTATTAAAAGTGACGATTATTCATAGCTATGTTAAATAACCAAAAGATAAGTGTAAATTGAATGGTTAAAATGAGGGTGGGCCCAAGGGTCATGATGATGATAGTTACTGTCGTGTGATTGATAACCCCCTTGTCATTGTAGTCATTTGAAAAGCATGTCCCCCTTGGGACCCCCAACATGAAGTCAATTTTGTTTAGGTAATTTAGACATGTGTTCAGGGAAAGGTTTTATAGGTTCTAAAGATAGAAACATCCGTGTGAAACTACCGAAAAGACAAGGAATAACATGTAGATTATAGTTTTGTAAAATATACTTTCAAAGAGTTGGTGTACTTTGTTTCCAACCTGTACATTCATCATAGATTTGATTTTTATCATGCATGAAATGATGATGATTATCATGCATGATGATACTCATCACACTATTGAAATCAAATCAGATTTTGTTTCATTGATCAGCATGAATAGTCAATAATGGTCATCATGGAGATCAAGCACCGGTTATTCATGTATTATTAATATATAACAAGGGTTTGTTATCAGGACTCGCCGAAGTTGCCGGAGCTGGCACCACAGGAGGCCGGGTGGAATTTGATCAATGAAAATCAACGAAGACTGGGGGATTGAAGGAACAAAAGTTTACCACGGTCGATTCTGATCATGATTTCGCTGGAGACTCTGTGCCACCTGCGCCACCTGCGCAAGGCGCAGGATGACGAATTTCTGTCGCGGTTGCCATCCATGTTGTTGCTAAGATTGACAGCGGAAGGGGACATGGATTCAAACATAAAGTATCAATGGGCCCACAACATTTGTTTGGTCGCAGATATGCTTCAATAATGTGTTTTTCAATTTCCTCCCAACCTGTATTGTATCCCCAATTTTCTTACAGTCCCACATGTTCACGCAATAGAACTCACTAGCACGCCACAATAGATTCAATAATGTTAGATAAGGAATAGGATCCACCATCCCCAATTTTACCATTGTTATGGGTGGTATCAACCATCACATTATGGGTGGTTTATGACATTGCTTTACTAACATTAAATGATCGTATGGTGCCAACTGGACTTTGAATTGAGGTGTTGGATCATAGTTTGTCTAAGGGAAATGTTTCCGAACTTGGCCTGACATCTGGTTTGGATGTGTGGTCAAGTTTCAGATTTTGGAATGGGTCAATTCCATTCATTCCAATGACATTACCATATGTTTGGGACTAAACATCCCAAAACCAGTTATTTTAGGGTACCTATAGGGTATCAGGGTTTTGAGTCATAGCCATATGTTTGGAGTCAAACTTGTTCCATCATTCTACTCTTGCAAGCAGTCTTCTGGTACTTGTATGGTGAGATTGGAAAGTGTTCGTATGTTACCTAAAATGTATCATCAAATTGTGATGCTGTTTGTTCTGTCCTACTTACTGGCAATCTGGCGAGGTTCTTCAATTACCCTCCAAAACCAAATAGATACTACATGGAAAACCTACCCTTTATTGATAATGTTTCTAGGGAACCAATGTTTTTTCCCACATCCATGTATATTCGAGCAAAGCTATAAATTATGTTGTGCCCCGACCCATGTTTAGATGGTTCCAGACCAGTAGATCAGTAGATCCTTTTTTCCTGAGGTTGAATATGACAATAAGTTGTTGACAAAGTCCATTTGCTACAACTGAGGCTGTCCAAAAATCGGAAGCTCCTCTTCAATCGAATCTGGGTTTGCAAAGGAACAAGGTGTAGCCTCCATAGCATCACCAAGTCATGATACGTCACCATGGATAAAACCTGGAAACTGTACAAACCTATACAGTTGCCTTCGATTGGTGAAACATATCTGGAATATCCAGGAAGTGATGTTGGAAACATCTGGAATCTGTAACACTTAAGTTTAGATTTCCTTGGCTATGCATTGATGTGGAGAATTCCCTGCGACTTGGGCCAGATGGGGTTTTTGGGTATAGGTGAACACAACTTCTTTGAGCCTTGCGTCAATGATGGGATTCACCAATCAAACGTGGAAGTTCCACCTTTGAAGGTGACAACATGGACAACTATCCAATGATGAGTTCAGCTAGAGTATTTTGTTCATTGAAACATTGAAAGTTGGAAAATTGTCGAACATCCATTGGAATTGTCGAACATCTCCATTGACATCTCTTAAAATATCCCATTGTTCTTTGGTTATCGCTACACGACTTCTCTGGGCATGGCTGAGGTAGCACCACTATGCCGAGCCTAGGGCTGTCCAGCCGCGAGAATGTCATTTCAGCGGACGAGAAGAGCAGCTCGCCAGTGACGGATGCGGAGCGATGCGGAGATGCAGAGATTCGGATGTCGGATACCCTCTGGAAATGCGGATTTAACATAGCTATTGAACATATGGTCTTTTTTCATGGGAAAATCCACTATTTCGATTGGGCCATGTTCAATAGTTATGTAACAAATTACCAGAGGGTATGTTCTTTTGGATGTTCTATAGTGGATTATATAAAGCAACCAATAACCATAACTTGATGACTTATGGTGATATAATGGGATACCATCTGCTTATTTAACACAACCATGGAAAATGGATGAAAATGGCCCATATATAGATGGTTTACCTATTGAAAATGGTGATGTTCCATGGCTATGTTAGTCATAACCAGGTGGTAGAATGGAATTGGGATAGAATGGGATGATAATGATTTCTCCGGGCTAATGCAACCCATTGCAGATCAATGATAGCCAGATTTACCGCCCCTGGGTGTTGGGAGCAACGATTAAGGTAGACAAATGGAGATGAATGGAGACTGGAACAACAATGGGGGAACCCAAGAAACAAAATGCGGATGTAACTCTGATCAACAATAGTATATTAGACTTAGACAATTATAAATATTATATGTCCCAGAGAGGGGTGATGATGGTGGTATCGGATGAGAAAGAAGCCACCATACATGCACAAAATGGGATGGTGCAAGTCCATGAAAAATGGGATGTGGACATTTACTGGGTAATAATATGATATAATATGTAATAATGCCTAAAATAACCCCATTATATCATATATATATATACCTAATTACTTATAGTAGTTTTCCAGGTAATATATCCATGAAAGTCCATGTTGGAAGATACCTATTACTTATTACCACCATTTATTAACTGCTGGTGTTTATCCCGCCAAAATTTTGGAGGGAGCTGGACCCCGAGGCAAAACGCGTCGCAACACCGATTCCAATAGTCACGGTGACTGGGTGAAACGTGCCCCTCCCGGTGACGTCTTCTACCGATCCTTGGCTGCGTCAGGATGTCAGGACGGTGGTTCTTTTCCTGATAATATGCCCCTTCAACATCTTCAACTGCGAAATGGCTTTGTGTTCAACATCTCCACACCCGATATGGGTCAGTTATAACCAGGTTGGGATGGGGAAAAAATTGCATAGCACCAGAGGCACTGTGGCTTTGAATCTGAGCATTAAACTCATATGTGGGTGAACGGTGTGGTTTTTTGATGTTTTGGGGTGTCCAATCATTTTTTTTTGTGGGAAAAGTCGAGTGTTTCTGGCATTTCCTTGACCATCACAGTGTGTTTTTTTTACAGCAGAAGGATGGCCATAATAAGCATTCGTTCACATCGCACCTGCCAATTTGGTATGTCAAAATTGAAAGTCCTGGGACCTGCAGATTGTGTTTCTGGGCTATTTTTGACCCAAAAAAAAATCGTGGTATCTAAATTTGCCTGAGTTAATGCCAATTGCAGAATTCTATATATATATATACATATATATATATATATGTGATTATGTGTGTGTGTTTTTTTTGATAGTAGAGTACCCTAAATTGTTTGGTGTATCATCATTTCACCAGCAAAATAGCAGTGGGATATCCACCATCTTCAGGATCGTTGCCTTGGAGCTTTGGTTTGCCGGGCAAATCCCCCAAGAACCGGCGAAAGAAGAAGAAGGCGGGGGGTGAGGGCTGGGGGAGTTGGGGAAGCCGAAATTCAAATGGGAACAAAATGAGAAAAAAGAGCGCCGGGAACTAGTCTACCTAGACCTAAAACAACCATTCTTGGAGATTGATGGAAGACCGAATGAAGCATGATTTCCCTACTGCAAATGAAAGATGGAGAGAAACAGAGTGGGTTCTGCAGCCTCCAATGCTTGGGATTTTGGATGCTCCTTCTGGGGGTGAAACCAAGGTTTTTGCAGATGTGCACGGATGGTCTTGATGCTGCAAATATGAATAGTGAGTCCTACAGCCCCAACTTAACTGCACTAGGTTTTTTGTCGGGAATGGGGCCTGCGTTTGATTCAAGGAACATCTTTGGCGAACTGTCCCCTCCACATCAAACCCATTCTGCGAGAAAACCTCATCTTAGCAAGATCACACAAGATCAATGTACTGTACCATAGTTACATCCATGTTTACTAATCAATGTTACCATAAATGAGGTGATCAATGTACTGTATCATATTACCATGATTATTGATCAATGTACTGTACTGTATACCTCATGTTTGCTGTTTACCTTAAATGGTGCCTTTTACCCATGAGTCGTACCCCTAGTCCTTCCATCCCCCCAACCCCCAGTCGGCAACGGCAGGCAGATGCCATGGCGACCCAAGCACACGATGGTCCCATCGACCCCTTCAAAGATTGGGCCAAAGAGTTCATGCACTTGGAGCCTTGGTGGCTGAAACAAAAAATGCGAGGCTGACTTGACCACCCAAATGACTAAATGGTGAGTTGATATTGGGGATGGTTCGGATGGTTTCTGAAATTGGGCATATTATTGGGTTTCACCACATCTTTTGATCTCTATATATATTTTTTTTAATGTGTACGTCGTCTTTTTCTGTTGGTTAACTATACAAACATGATAAAAATCCTCTGGGTATCATCCCATCCACTTCCCATCCAACTTCCACAGTCTCGCCCCACTCATCCAACTCGGCTGTGAGGAGAACATGACGCTCTTCCAGCGCAAGCTGAGGACCTTGGACGGCATCAGCAGCCTTCATACGGACATGAAAATCGAGACCAAGCGCTTTAGGCCATGGTGGCTTACCCTCGTTGATGGAACCAATTTCAATGGGACGTGGGGAAATGGGATCAAACATGATGGAACAGTGCAGACAAAGAGGGGAATTCTACGGATGGTATACGCATGTATTGCATGTATCAACATTAACATCATCATCAACAACATTATAATACATGACCTTTTTACTCCCCCCACACTGTTTGGGGTTGCGGGGATAGTTTTTGGAGATACTGTAGATATGCTCCAAAATGGTCATTGAATGGGACCATGGGAAGTTGGTGAAGCATGGAATCTCTCGATTTTGGTGTCGTGAAGCTCCAAATGATGACATGGCCATTCTTCAAGAGGTGGGTCCACCGAAATGAAGCCATGGAGTGGAGAGTTGTCCTTAGGATGCCTCAACATTAGATATAACTGTCAAAACATTACGATTTGAAGGTGCCCAGAGTTGCATCAAGGAAGAACTCCCACAACTTGCCAGGCAGTTTATGCAAGATTTGGAACTCTATGGTGGTGAGGAGCAGGTGTGGCCAGCTGAAGATGTCAGGTGTGATGATGTGTGATGGGTTTGCCATGAAATCATCGGAGATTGGAAGATTGCCTCTGACATCGGTGTAGACTGGTTTACCATCATATTTTTCCATTAATCATTCATTAATCCAGATCCAATTGAATCCACAAATTTGGGGCCAAACCTTCCCCATCCTTTCCCCAAAAAGCAGTTGAAAGCCGCCAACCACCCAAGAAAACTCCACTCCAGGAGCGCTTGGGAAACAATCGGATCCTCTACACCGAAGCTGGAATGAAGGCCCTGCGGATGGGGCAGCAGCGCAACGAGCAGCTGCGAAAACAGGCCTGGCAGACCTCACCCTATGGGCAGAAGTTCATTGAGACTTGGATGATGGCGGCTGGAAGACTGGGGATGGCTGGGGAGGTTGAGATGAAGTGTGGTGGAACATGATGCTGACATAGTTGGGAAAAGCATCAGATATAGTAAAACACTTACTACAGAGATTTGAATTGTCACTATAATGAAACTACTGGCTGCCTGGCTGATGTTCTTTTGGCCGCTTTGAGATTGTTTGGTAGCCCCACATGTGAGTTTAATTCTCCAGAGTAAACATCTTATATTGAATCCATCCAAGACCTGCTTACATTGTGTTCGAGTTGGGGCATCCCAAACACCAGTTCATCTTCGAATATTTCAGCCATTTCCAGCAGTTTATCCAGATTCAGCAGACATGAAACTTAAATGAATTTGGCCTTGCTCAACTTGTAAGTGACATGTTTGAACAATTCATGAAATCACATGATATCACATGTATTATAGTACCATCAATAATATATGTCGCACCACCATCAAACCAACGATATTTTGGAGCATTGAAAAAATTGTGATGTTCCCAAGTTCAGGAGCCATCAGCCAGAAATGACCAAGGAGAGGGAGAAACAGCTCTTTGGATACTACGGTTTAGGTATCTTGGAGACCCAGGAGACCTCCCGTTGTTTGAACCACGGGACCTGGAACGCCCCGGCGACACATTGCGGAAATCCCCCAAAAAATGGGCCGTTGAAATGGGAGAATCATCTATAGATCCATCTGTGATTCCCACAGAGTGAGCTGAACATTGTTTTTTGAATTGAGTGCGAAATTAGGAGTGAATTGTATATTATCGGATGATTTTTCACGAAGCAATGTGGTGAGCATCTCCAATTGCATGGAATCGCAACTGGCCATATATCGTCCCGGCAAAGTCATTGTGCAAATGAAGCTGGGTGCTGGAAGATATGTGGAGACAGGAGAGTAATTATTTTGGAAGGAAGTTTTGTATATTTTTGTCACACAAAAAAGGCAACAATAGGATGTTTTATCGAAGATTAAAGCCGTCCTTCGGTGGCGAGGGATCTAACGAATTTGGACCCATGCCAGATGGTCAGAGTCAGAGTTATCATACCCTACTTGCGCCAAACTGCCAAGCCATGATGAAAACAACACCTGCAGTGTGCTGCAAGTTGCGAGATGCAGGATGCAGTTGGGGTTCCTGTTCTGGCGTTGTGGAAGCCCATAGAGATAGGAAATTCTTCTCTGAGTTGTTTTCGGACTTCTACTGGAGGATCGGGCGTCAGGATGCTAATTCTGATTTAGATGTTTTCAGCCCTTGAAATGCCTTTACTGCCTATCTATCAACATGGTAAGAATAAGTGGTCGTGTCGAGATGCAGTTGCGCAATGATTCATGAGTTTCCACTGGAACATGTGGAACATGGACCCTCACTATATCATTTACATCAATTGATCATCAATTATATAGACATTCTTCATTACCCTCTGGTAAACTAACATAGCGAACTGGAAAAATCCACCATTTCGAGGGTCCACTGGGGTTGTGCCATCGCCCACCGGTGGATCAGGCAAGCAGTACGAGAAAGGTATCGATGTGACGCTGGGAAGTCTTGGCACGACGTGGTCGAAAGATGAAATGACTGGCTGTTTCACAGAAGACATCAAAATTAATGAGTATTAATATTATGAAACATCATATGCTTATTTATAACAGATCATATACTATGAAGTTCAGGTGGTTTAGATTGAGTTTCATTTTCCCAAGCAACATGATTAATTAAAATTCATTGCCTAGTTGTAGTACCTTAGATGGTTTTCCCATTAAAACCTCCATTGATGAGGGATTTTCCATGGCTATGTTAAATAACCAGATGGTAATTGCCTAGTTGCACCTTAGATGGATCTCTTAAGCTGGATATGACCAGTCGGATGGATCCCAGGAAATGTTTGCGGAAGCTGATGGAAGAGTCCTTCAACCGCACGCCTGGTGAACGGATGAGGACGCCTCCAGAGATCGAACGGGGCCGAACGGGGTACCCCCAAATTTGATACCCGGAGGAAAAAGAATGAGGAAGAGCAGAAGAAGAAGCAGGAACTAGAGGAGGTTCCGATGAAGAAATCTGTACCAGCTGGTTTCATCCTAGCGCTGCAGTACAAATTGTTGGTTGAAACGCTGGAGGATCATCGGAGGTTGATGATGTTTTGCAATTCAGCGTGTGCAGATTTTCGGACATTCAAGCCATTTCAAGCCTTTACAATAGAGATGTCATCATCAGATGATGTGGTATGAATCAACATCTAGATGTGGAACCCCCTTACTAAACGATGGTGTCTGGAGGGGTGTTTAATATTTGGGGGGGATGGGATTGAAAACGCGTCAAAAACACCGTGAGTCTCACTGCCTTAATCTCAAGTCACAGGCCGAACAGCAAAAGAGTGGGGAAGCTCAGAAATTGCCTGTAAGATTCGCCGGAAGATTCGCTGAGTTTCAATAGAAGAGCAACCCACACACTTGATGGATGAGCTTTCAAGGTTGTTGAAAGCTTGTACTTCAGCCAGATTGTTTACAAACCTCAAAGGCCACCATCTTTCAGCAAAAATTCCCAATGGTTATCATCATGTTCCATCATTTCCCCATCAAAGACATGGCTTTTGGATGCTTTTGGGGATTATCCAGTACCCTCAGGAAATTAAGCCTGGCTAGAAAATCCATGAAAATCCCGCATGTGTAAATGTGTCTTACATTGTTTTTTAATACATATGCTTTCCCATCCCCATTTTATGGAACTCAGGGATTTCCCAGCAGCCTAGGAGAGCTGGCCAAGATCGGCTTCCGCAGGCAGAAAACCTTAGCGCGGGGGAAGACCATGGCCAAGGTGCACCGTGCCAGCTTCGCTGCCGGGGTGGCCGTGCCGGATGTGCGAAGGGTGGATCGGAACAAACACTTGCTGCTTTTTTGGGAACAACTGAGCTGTACTGAGCTGAAAGTTGGAAAACCTAACATAAAATTATGATACATGGCTCATTTATATATCATAAACGTAATATAAATGATGTCTTCTTTGATGGCTCAGGGGTCTTTTCATGAAGGTCAGGCCACTGAGGTTGCATGATCCAGGCAGGTGGACATTGAGCATGTATACTTATAATAAGAAGCATTGTAGACTGAATAGGTCAATTGATATGTTAACATTCCAGTTTGGTGTGTTTCTGTGGATACCCGGTTTTCACAGATCGTTTTGAAACGATCGTTTTAGCCAATAAAAACCACACTTTTCTTCAACTCGATTTGAACACCACCCTAGTTCCAAGATTTTGGGGGCTGCAACGAAGGGCTCGATGGCTCGACGGCTTTTTTGGTCAGGTGTCCAGCTGACTGTAGCTCGTAACGGTGACGCCGGCTGCGCCAAGAGAAGTTCAGACGGAAGTTTTTGGAGTTTGGCGAAAGAGATGATAAATGATGATGAGGATCCAGGAAGTTTCTTGAATTTTTTTGGGACTCAACAAATCATCCAAAGTTGCTTATTTTTTTTTCATGAGAAAGCAATGGTTTGGGGATCTCACATTTTGGGAAAGCCCCATAAGAGGTCATGTATCAGGATTGCCCCTGACCATAAATGAAAACACATGGTGATTCAATAGAAACAAGTGGTGACCTCAAGATTCAACATAGGTAGAATTGGGGTTTGGATGAACTGTAGGCTGCAGTTTTCCCAATGCACATTTCTTTGAGTGGGACGTCACCACTGTACAAGGCTCAGAAGGATATGTTTGAAAGTTAGGGAACAACGTTGAACAACTCTGGCACCGACCGTACCAAGCCATTTTCAAAATATGTTCAGATAATTTTCATATCCCATAGAATCCATGGTGCTGGTATATATGCTAACATTTGGGGTATATTGATGGGATCCATGGAGCACCATATATAGCAGCACCATGGATCCGTCATGGGTATTTCGTCATACCTGTTTCCCCGTTTCAAAGTGGCCAGCCGGCGCGGGAACACGCTTACGTCGCGAAATTTCTGCGCCTGGGAAAAACGGATTGCCGGATTTCCACCGAAAGGTGAGATCCGTCGGAGATGTGTCAACGGTGACTGGCATGGTATGGCAATGGAGATCCCTTGGACCCAGAATGGATCCAGAATGGATTTGAATGGTTTCTATTGTGGGGGAGTATGGTTTTTGCCACGTTTTTTCGTGACGGCAAGACGAAGTTCTTGAGACATCTCCAGTGATAGGCGTCTCTAGGACTTGATCTTGGAAACAAAAAAAAATCGAAATCGCCTGCTGCTTGGGGCCTTGAGATGATTACCCTCTGGTAAATGTTTACATAACTATGGAGAATCACCATTTTTAATGGGAAAATCCACTATTTCTATGGCCATTTTCAATAGCTATGTTAGATTTAATGCTATTGAACATGGCCATTTAATGCCATAGAAATAGTGGATTTTCCCATTAATAGCATGGTGGATCTTTCCATAGTTTTTTTGTGTTCGTTTACCAGGCCTGGTTCAACCACCAGAAAAACTGGGTCAGCTGTTTTTGTGGAGTCGAGAATCGACCTTATCGAAACTACGCCTGTAGCGATGCAAAGGATCATGATTTATAGAGTCTACAAGCCTGTAATGTTCAAAAAGTTGTTTTGCTTCTAGATCTAAGTTGTTCTTGTTCTGATGCCGGGGTCCGAAGTGTAGAGTCCCGATCACAATGGAAGAACATGTGTGATGGTACTGAGTGTTTGAACTCTTGCATCTTGGTAGCCGCAGTGGGCGAACTTTCTGTGGATGACTGACTCGGTGAAGTTCTGGAACAAATGCTGCATGAATAACTCTCTAGGCCTAATTACAAATCGTTTCAGTTCAGTTTCAGCTGGAATTGCTCTGTGTATCGCAGGCAGTTGGTCTCCCGTTTTTAAGGGCGGGTCTTTGTAATTTGTATGCATCCCACTATTGCCAACTTGCTTTTAGACATGAAATGCATCAAGTGTGCTGTTGCCTGAACCAATGCACGCAGGAAGAACGTATTGCAACACATTCACATTGGGTCCAGGTTGCTACCTGGGGTTGTGTTTTCGTGGAGTTTCGTGGAGTGTTGTGGAGTTTCGGATGTCACGAAATGTTTCCACCTTTTGGAGCACTGCATCGATGTCCAGTTGTTCAGGTTAAGGCCTCAGACAAGAACAGTTGGCCAGATGTGATCAGTTAACCTTCCAATGGACCGCTGTAGTCACTCTGAAATGAATTATATATATATATATATGATATATATATATAACATTAATGTTTTATCAACTAAAATGTTTCAAACACTGAAAAAACATAGGACATCAATCAAGTTGTCATAGAACGATCGTCCCCTCGTCCCGTAACGGAGATGCTGCGCGTGGCCTCGCCGTATGTCGATCTCTGTGGTCTCCTCGGATGAGGTGCGACCACCTTTGGGATGATCTTCTGGGGATTTACTGGATTATTATACCGTTAATATACATGTATATATAGTATATATAGTATATAATTATATATACCCATATTCTGGGGACTAATCATACTAAGAAAATCACGGGATCTATGGTCTGGGTGACTGTCCCAGGAACTGCAGGAACTGCAGGAACTGCAGGACGGAAAGAGGCGCATCGCACGGGGGAGCAGCGGCATGTGTTCGTGACCCTAATCGCCAGTTCTCACGTTCTTGGTTTTTTGTTGTCAGTTTCAACGTGCTTCCCTTGTCAGTCTTGTCTGGGAAGATATGTTCATTTCACGGAGATCCTATAGGGAGCTCTGAAACAAAGAAATGCTGAGGACAAATCCGCAATGCCGGAGCAGCATCAAGGCAATCATAGATCTGCTGTTTTGGTATGTTTTGTTTGTAAAATCACACCAAAGCATTTCCCACTGTATTTTCCTCTATCTGTTTGATAACTCTGAAGGCCCATTTTTGGTTGCTTAGTCTTCTCCAAAGACAGCCAATGTTGCAAGTGTGCGAGTGGGATCTCACCTATATTACCGTTTCACAACAAAGTAGACAATGATATGTCTGATATGTCATGTGTCTAAATATCAAGGAAAAACGTATTATTTACTATTTACCATATACTTACCTAGATTTGATTATCTCATAATCACTAGCAGTTCAACAAGATCATATATCATGTTTGACTTCGGGGAGACATCACCGAACAAGGTGCCTGGAAAGCTCAGATCCGGTCCATCCGGTCCCGGAAGTTCTTGAGGAGCCAATGGGACCATTTTATGGGACGACCATTGGCTTTTTGTGTCCATTTTATGGGCGATGAAGCCCTTTGTTATGGCCATTTTAAGGGGCACTCAGATCATGTCATTTTCAGAACGTGACCTTTTTCATGACTCTGAGTCGACGAAGTTCGTGACGAGTCTCATCACTCGCCGGTAGGTTGTCAGGATGTGGCCAGCAACTTTGAACCACACTGGACCACTGGGTATCTAGCATGGCTTCATATGATATACCACAATTAGTTGGTTTCCCGTCGGCAAAGTGGGGCGCCATTTTTCAGCCATTTCTCCAGATCGGGATGAATCAAGAAACATGTCGTTCCACGAAACTAGGATTCAACTTGAGATTTATTGATATCTGATAATATGAGCCATAGGATCCATGTATGCTATATATGGTAACATGGATCCCATCAATATACCCCAGTCATGTTAGCATATATATATATATACCATACATGTCATACATGGACCCTATGGGTGATATAATATGAACATGTTTTTTCCAGAAACAGGTCCATTGATTTACTCACACTGGTTGAAACAGGCCGCTTAAGATCAAACTTTATTCAACTCATGGCAGGATGTATCATCAGCGTGGTCAACGTCAACGTCCGAAGTATCTGGCTTTTGAGTCGTTTCCATGGAGGAAGTCGTGGCTATTTTTTTTGGAAAGTCCGCTTAATGTGTTGAGCAAATCCATTTTTTTCGAATCGGGAATCTATGGAGTTTGTTGTTTGGCTGTCTTGAGCAAATCCGAGAATAGGATGGGTCAGCATGATGATTGGAGATGTGAAAGAACCGATGGTTGGCAATGATGGAGACGGTAAAACGAGGCATCCCTTGGATGAAATTCATCCAAGGCGCGACCAAAATTCTCTGCGGCCAAACAGACAAAGTTAACCTTCGGGACTCAAGGTGCGCGTGACCCGGTTGCAGACTGCTGACCTCTAAAAAATGATTCTCTTCCAAACGGATCCACATTTTCCAGCTTTTTAGGGGGTGATGTTCTATTTTCTAGTGTTTTCTGGGAATAGAAACCACTGTGGTGACATGTCCCTGGGTGTTTGATTGCAGTTAGTTCCGTACATTTGATATTACTATAGGTATAGAAGGTGTACCTGTGAAACCAGCATCATGCCTGAACAAATCCACCATGTGATATCATGGTTTCCTTGATAATGGCATTGTTCGACATGGCTCTAAATCCTGATACCCCCGTGAAGCTCCCTTACGCTTGCCAGTGTGTTGTACCTCCTGCAAGCCAACACCCAAAAATGGTGGAGGATGAGTTCATATTGAACAAAACATAACAAAACAATTTTTGGATGACGTCTCAACTTTGGGTATTTTGATGTCTTAAGCTTTCAGACTCCACTTGGGTGGACCAAATTCCGAGGCCCATCCAACGGTGCGGTTGACCCGGCGAAGAGACGGTGGAAGAAAGACGTGCTGAAACCAGAGCGTGGTGCACCGAGTCGTACTGGACAGGGATGGCCGTCCAATGGGCAGTGAGGAATCCTGGATTCACCGAAAATGTGAGGAAAGTGGTAGATGTATTTGCTAATATAGCAACTATAGTCTGAATGAACCGCTAGAATCAGCAGTTGACTCGAATGAAAAAAAAACCTTATAGTTGATTAATGTGGGGGTTCCATTTGGCTATGTCTCATGATTCCTCAATAATATAGTTGAGGAGTATCCCCCTTCAAGAATCCACGCTGGGTGATTAGTTCACCTGCTTCATGCGCTCCATCTTTCTCCACGTTCGAAGTGCAGGTCGGAGTTGAGATGAACAGATTTTCACCCGTGCATTGCATTGCACAGTGGCTGCAAAGGGCTGATTCGAATGTTCTTCCACATTGTATCATTGTGTAGCCAGTTCTATGTGTAAATCAACCAAATGTTACCCTCTGGTAATTTAACATAGCTATTGAAAGTTGCCATTTATAGTGGATTTTCCCATTAAAAATGGTGATTTTCCATAGTTATGTTAGTTTACCAGAGGGTACAAATGGTGGAGTTTGGTGCCCAAATGTCTGATGTGGGGACACGACCACCCCCTTGGTCACAATCAACGGCAGGAGACTCCAACAAGGAGAATCTTTCACGACCAAAGAAGGGCACCAAGAGACCTTTGATCCCATCTTTTCTGCAGCTTGGTGGTTTTCTTCATGGGAACATCATCTACCCTCTGGTAATTTGTTACATAGCTATTGAACATGGCCATTGAAAACGTGGATTTACCCATTAAAAATGGTGGATTTTTCCATAGTTATGTTAGTTTACCAGAGGGTACAAATGGTGGAGTTTGGTGCCCATAGTGGGGACATGGATGGACCTCGGAATGGGCAGATGTATGGATGTCCTTAAGTTACCCTCTGATCAAAACTGACACTTTGCGAAAATGGCCCATTGAAGATAAAGCCAACAAATGGTGATATTCCATAGCCAACTGTGAGTTTACCAGAGGGGATTTTAATTCGTAAATGGTCCAATTTTGTTTCATGTTAGGACCTTTTGGGCTTCGTGTTCCTGGCTATGCGTCACTGAGTGCCGAACCTTCCAAAATCTGCGGTGCAATGATTTCAACTTGCAAGGGACCCATGACAACCAACTCGGTTTATGCCATCTAAAAACCCCAGGTTTAGACCTCGTGTAGGTTAAGTCCAGCACTAGGTCACTAGGAAGTCTGTCGCCCACATCCGCTACTCCAAGGTTTCAGGAAGCTCAGAGCAGCAGCGTTTCGGAGACTCCACAAGAGGTGAGCGGCGCCAATGGAATGGATCCCATGGCAATCATGGCATGGTTTCTCCATTTTTTCTGGGACGAATCCACAACTCCACTCAACCAGCTATCATTGGAAGTTTCGAGCTGATGTGTTCCTGCACTTCCATCCAGGTCTTGTTTGAAACAATAAACACATCCATGCTGCTGTACATCATTGAGACGGGTTTCCTTAAGATGTTGAACCCATCGTTGCTCCAGTGCTGTTCTTTATTTTTCTGTAAAGGTGGGGTTATCTATATGGTGATCCACCAGTTAGTTCCGTGATTTTCCCGAAAAAAAACAGGGTGATAGCATGGTGTTCCCCACATCTGGCCCCGAAGGTTGAGGTCTTTATGACTGTGGCAGGGCGCCAGGACAAAGGTGGGCTGACCTGGTTGCCGACACGGTGGCTGCTGAAAACCATGGGAAAACCATGGGAAAACACACTAGAAACCATCATGGGACAAGAATGGAAAACCCATGGGAAATGATCCAACAGATATCCAGAAATTGCAGGGTTTGATTGAAATGAACTAGGTAAACCAGCTGGTGAACGGTGAGCCAATGGATTTTGTTAGCCTTGTTAGTGAAACATGGAGGAATTATCCTATCCATTCCTATCCCACTAAAGATTCACATCGATGTGGCTCCTTTCCACTTGTCACGCATCGCAACAGCGCAACAGCAGGTGGCTCAGTGACGCGACAAGTGACGCTGGAGGAGATGGAAAAGTTTGTGCGGAGACCCAGGGCTGCCCTCGATGGGTCATCCGACGAAAAAAGTGTTTTTTCCACCTGAAGATGACCTGCCTGAAAAAAAACACTGGATCCGATTCGTGATTCGTGGTATCTTCATTTAAGGGGAGTTGGATTTATCAAAATTAATCACATATTATAATATATTTATATCATATAATATATGGGTATGATGGTATATAGACCCAGAGTTGATTGGTTCAACCGGGATTTTTTTCGTTGTCTGTATACCATCCCCAGCGTCGTGGCGAGGTTCCGGTCTCCTTTGTGCCGCAGCTGCTGCCACAAGCGCTGGCGGATCATTTCCTGCGCAGCTTCCAGCAGGAGGCGATCGCTGGGACGTTCCAATTACGGACGGATGTGCCAAATATGCGGGGTACATGCTATACCTTCCAAGAAATAGCCAGCTCAGCGGCTCACACTTGTTTTTTTTGAAGACAAAGTAATTTTCCAAGGCAATTGTGTGTACAATCAGATGCAATCATTGGTCAAAATTGCACTGGTTGCTTGAGAATTTGGTCATTTGGTTCATCTTTATTCAGTTGACATTTATGGACATCAAAATCGTGGTGCCCCTCAAAGGGTTTGCGATGGATTGTCTTGTAAAACACCTGGGAGATCAAAAACTGTGCATTTCCATGATATTCTTTCGGCATGGGAAGGAACATGGTTTGCCTCAAGCAGATGGCAAACAAGCTGGCTTGGACTCCTAGGTATTCTTATTGGAATCCCAACCTGAAGCTACCTATGGATTTCTTGGCCTTGCGATGGTGAACTAACCGTTGCCAACCGATCAATGTGAGGCAAAGATGTGGCATACATCCAAGCAACTTGGCGATGGCGGCGGAATGGTGGCCAGATATGTCCAGGGGGGTTGATCCAAATGAGATTGGCATATCCCCAAGCATTCCATGATCATTTTTGATATAAAAAAATGGTTCTGATATAATGGTTATATCATAAGATATAAACTATGATACAAACTGGTTCTGATATAATGGTTCTCTCTTTTGTGACTATTTCTGGCAAAGGTGAAGAAAACTTCTGTTGAAGCCATCAGCCAATTCAGTATATGAAATTTCTTAACAGCGGCCCATCGTTGATAGTTGATATCTCCAACTTCCTTTGTTGCCTCTCATTTCTCCCTTGATCTGTGAGGTTTTTTTTATCGCCACTGACCACAGGCGTTGGCTCTACGAAAAGGAGATTGAGCTTTGGTGGCAAGCCATCAGACTGTAGGAACTCCTTGCGCTGTCAGAGAAACCCGGTCGTTGCAACCCTTCTGTTTTTTGTTTGTATTAGCACATTATCCCATTAATCTTGGAAACCATCACATTTATGGTGAAATGAACCCATTGTGCATTGATCCCATAAAAATCGCACATGTTCATTTCTCAAGAGCTTATTTTGATCGAGGGGTAGCTCAACCACCGTGGCAGTGGGACCTGTCAAACTTGGGCAGCTCAACGATTGGAAGCTTCACCATGAGGACCAATGCCAGCATATTTGGGGGGTTCCTAAGATGGAGAATACCCAAAAGCATGGTTTTAAACGCTTAATTACTAAAACGCTCCAATTCATTTGGAATGATTTGGGGGTACCCATTTCGGGAGACCTCATTTGGATTCATTTGGGAGACCATCCATTGATGGTATACCATTGGGTGTGGTGGATCCAACATGTCGACAGTCCTTGACATCAGGAAAGCCACCGTGTCGAATCGGGTTTCCGCCGCCTGGCATGAAGCTACCCCCATGGGAAACCTCCCAGGGTTGGATCCCAGAGGTTTGTTGGCTATATCATGGCAATTTGGTATATTTCTTGGTTATTTGGCTATAGTTTTTATATGTTTTTATATGTTTTTATAGTGTCCCATTTTGGTCCTTCACTATTTCCTTTATCAGCGGTTCATTCCTGCTTTAGCCACTGATTTATTGTAAATCTTTTGGAGGTCGGACATATTTGGATTCTTTGGGTTATGGACGTTACCGACATTAAATGTTACTGCATGATTTGCATAACTACAACTATCCATAACTATCCAATGTTGTGTTGCTTTCATTTCAATTGGACAAGTAAATAATGACCAATTGTCTGGTGTTTTCAGAGTTTATCCCAATGTTGCACAGTAACAATTTTATTGTGAATCATTAGCAAACTCATCCATTTGGAAGTTTCCTGAGCCATGGGGGTACCCCAAATCATTTCCTTATTGAAACTGTTTCCCTATTGAAAGCCATGGTGACTTGGGGATCCATAACTTAAGAAACATTAAGAAACCATATGTTTATCATTGTTTAACCAGCATTTTGATTGTTTAACCAACATTTTTATTGTTTAACCAGCATTTTTCCAAAAAAATGCGAGTTTCTTTCCGTTATTTCCTTGGTTTCACCTCCATTTCTTGGTCTCCCATCCGCCCTATAGGTTTCAACGACCTGGGCGTGACATCGACGTCCCGCTGGGAGAGCAGTGGCTTTGGGGATGACCTGCGATACCTTCGGGGCCAGGTGGAGTTGAGTCGGAATGATCAATGATGATACCATCTGGTAATTTGTTGCATAACTATGGAAAATAACTATTTTTAATGGGAAAATCCACTATAAATGGCCATGTTCAATAGCTACGTAACAAATTACCAGAGGGTATATAATTATTGATGGGAGAAACAATATCAATGTCATATGAATATCATGTAATTCTAATATATTCATATCATGTATATCATGTATATGTTGATGTTGTAAAATGAAATCAATATATAAATCAATATAAATCAATGATGATTTCATATATTGGATATATGATATGACCATTATGTCATCAAATCATCAATATGAATCAATGATGATCTTACGAAATCATTGAGAATATGGTGAAATCCTGCTGCCAAGCCCCAGGTGATCACCGCGGTGCAACGAGCACGGGCCCAGTTACGCCGGCAATGGCGCGCGGCTGCTTCCAGCGCTGGAAGCTGCGATTCCCGGTTCCCTGAGCCCACATTGGGAGTGGATCCATATGAATCCAGACTTTTTTGGGAGGGATGAATCATGATGAAACCCATTGAACCTTCATTTAAGAGCTATTTTGGTATGAGCAAAAAAAAAACGGTATACCTGTTTTTGACACAGCTGTATGTTTGTTTTCTTTTTCAAACCAAGAGAGTCTTTTGTTTGATGGATGTCCTAAATTGAGGACCGGTTACAAGAGAGGTCACCACAGCTTCTGTGCTCTCCATTGTTGATTTCAATCATTTTTTATATCCATCCCGAAACAACCAGAGGGGTTGCAAAGTCTTCCATCATTCACAGATCATTTCAGGATTCATGTATCATCATATATCCAATATATTCCAATATCATATAATATCATCCAATTGTTTCTTCCAGGTCTGGTTTCTTGTTTCCACCACCAGATTCTCCGGCGCCACAGCATCCCTTAGGCCCTTGACCAAAGAGGAGCTGGCGCAGGAAACCGTGGCCCTCGCGAGTCGTGGGCAGCGCTTGTCCGCCAAGAGTATCGAATGGCTGGTGCTTTGTCGTTGGATGGTGGACATATCTATAATACAGTATATATCATAATATATATATAATATATATAATATATATAATATTTATCTATATGTATCTTTGTGGTTTTTGGGTGGTTGGATGGGGTTGGATGGCCAATTTGAATTTGGAGCTGATGGTCGATTGGATGATATTGGATGATATTGGATGATCCATATCTCAGTTGGAAGTGTGCGAAAAATATGACACATGAAGTTGAAGTCCAAATGGAAGTTGGTGAGAGACAGGTGTGGAGATGTTTCGAGGGGAAAGATCTGTTTCACAACATGTGTGTTTAACATTGTGTTTAACCATGTTTACCCTCTGGTTATGACTAACATAGCCATGGAAAATTGCCCATAGAAATAGATGGTTTACCTATTAAAAATGGTGGATCTTTCCATGGCAAACTGTTAGTCATAACCAGGTGGTAATTCCCATATCATCCCACTATTCACCATTGTTAACCCATTGTTAAACCATTAAACCACCGTTAAATCACCATTTATTGTGGGTAATTTATAGTGGTAAACATCATGAAACACATCTAATCAGGGTCAGAGATCAAGTCTCAGGTGCGTTATGCGGCCAGCAGCTACGCCCTGAAGGCCTGGCGTTGGGAGCCCAACTTTTGCGTGGCCAACCTCTACCGCGACCAGGAAATGGCGATCCAACTGTTGGGAAATGAGATCTGAATCAACTTACAATGGGATATTAATATAATAATGGATACAATTTAATATTGGATTATGGTGATTTCATGGGATATGGTGGGGATACAACTAAGCAACTTTAGGATACTTTATGTATGTGTATTGGTTATGAATCATATGAATGGTTATGGGAAAAAAAAAAAACATAATATCGATACAGTATGGAGATTTAACCAACAATATGTCGGGATACTGCATGATCGTGTGAGAAACCCTTCTATAAACCTACTGAATGAGGTGATATGGTTCAACAAACCGTGAAGTCTGCGGCATTTTTGTGTTGTCACAACACACTAGAGGAACGACTTACCCTCTGGTAAACATACAAACAACTATGGAAAATCATATTTTTTGGGGGGGAAATTCACTATAAATGGTGATTGTCCATAGTTATGTTAGTTTACCAGAGGGTAAATCTGAGTATTTCCGTGCCGGCTTCAATGCACCCTTTCTAATCCTTTTTATCCCAGTGATTTCTGTGTTCGTTGGGATTTGTTCTTCGCTCGCTTTTCCGATCCCATCACTTTATGCTACCTGACAATCCTGTATTACAGATATCGTTTGGAATCTCTCACGGCATAATTACCCATCTGCATTTGTTTGGTGCTGTGTTCATTATTTATAGGTACGTACACTCCAAGTAGATATAAGTCGTTAAAATTGTGAAAATTATGGGGTAAAACAACGCTCTAGGTATATATTCTGGTTGGTGGTTTGGAACATGTTTTGTTTTTCCATATATTGGGAATTTCATCATCCCAACTGACTCCATCATTTTTCAGAGGGGTATAGCTCAACCACCAACCAGTTATAGAGGTAATATACCCTCTGGTAAACATACAAACAACTATGGAAAGATCCACCATTTTGAATGGGTAAATCCACTATTTCAATGGCCATGTTCAATAGCAAACTGTTAGTTTACCATCATCATTAACCATCATCATTAACCATATATTAACCATATATTAACCATCAATTTCCACTAGGGCTTGGTATAGGTCAACCACCCCAGTTGGCATCGCTCCACGGGCTCCACCGTGGCATCCAGGAGGATTTCCTGGGTGCCCACAGCGACCCGGTGGAGCTGATCGGTCCCTGGGCCATCGTGGCCTCGGTGACCTTCGGCGCGGCGCGCCAGTTTCGGATGAAGCCGGTGGCGCAGATCGCCACGGAACGGGAAGGTGGGGGGATGGGAGGATGGGGGTTGGGGATGGGGGTTAGGGGATGGGATGAGGATGGGGGTTGGGGATACTTCGTAGGTGTTTTGTTGTTTTATTCTGGGAGAACATCAAGGTTACTCAAGGTTTAGAGGGATTGGGGGTGTGTTTTTTCGAATGTGGGATGAAACTGATGAAACCTCATGGTTGGAAAATGGTTCTAGTAACTGGTTAATGAACTCAGAGCTTGATGTTTGGTGAGATCAGTCAGGATCCACTAGTGGGATGGGATGCCGGTGGAGCTGGTGGCCAGTCGAAAAAATGTGGTTTTGCTGCATGACGGCCATGATTCAATCAAGAGCAACAAAGACGTCTTCAATTACACAAACCATTTTTTGACATGTCCAAATATGAGACTGGATCAAGATTAGTGCCTGCCGAATTTGATGCAAGAGCTTGAACATGAGCCACCAATCCGAACGACCTCATCCTCAGGTGGTGGACGCATCACCTCCTTTAGCATCCGTTTGCCACACAACTCGCTGCTGGTGTGCTGGGAAGGTTTCCAAGAATTTTGGCGCCATGAGGCCGAAATGCCAAGGGATGTATCTGAAGATGGTTGGTATGAACTAACTAAGAAATGCCTTCATAAAGGGTGACCATTTTAAGAGGAACAGTGGTGATTTTTTTCATGATTAACCAATTTACTTAGGATCTTAGGAATGCTCGAATGCCAATTGATTTAGGAATTGATTTTGGGTGGGAATATAGATCACCGAAAGATTGTGCTAGTTGGGGTGATATGGATCATTGCACCCCAGGTTTCTGTGGAACAGTGTTTCATTCCAACAGATTCACAAGTTAAAATCATATGTGCGATTCAAAGTCTGTTTGGTTGATGTTGCTCAAGAAAGAAAGATACTATCATAAGACGGATCGAAATTTGCATTTGTGGAATGGGTGAAGAAAGCTGCTGAAGTCTGAGTTGATACACAACCTGCAAGAATTGGATGAAAGCAACATTGCCAGAAAACCCAGAATTCCTTACTTACCCTCTGGTAAACTAACATGACTATGGAAAATCACAATTTTCAATGGGTAAATCCACTATAAATGGCCATGTTCAATAGCTATGTAACAAATTTTACCAGAGGGTACTTGGAAACAAAAAAACACTGTTTTCCTATGTTTTCACTGTAGATCTTCCTAAGGGAACCAATCCAATGGCAGCCATCTGTCAGGTTCCCAAAGACAAGGGCCTCACATCGCACAGCATCAGCGGCCCGGCGCGGCTGAATTTCACCTTCCGGAAATCCGTCCCTTGGCGATATGGGAAAGCCTCACTTTGCCAATGAAGATAGCCACTTAAGGGGGTATAAATCATTATAAATCCCCCCAAAAACAAAAGCTAACTTGGGTAAACTCCGTTTATGACTGGTTAAATGCATGTACCTTCTGGTAAACTAACAGTTTGCTATTGAACATGGCCATTGAAATAGTGGATTTTCCCATTAATAGCATGGTGGATCTTTCCAGTTCGTTTTTTGTGTTAGTTTACCAAGTTTACCAGGCCGGGTAAACTTCTCAATTTATGGCTTTCTGAATCACCATTTCACCATGGGACTGAAATCCCAAGGTGGGTGCAGTGGCAGCCCGGAAGCCCATGTGCCATTGCGGGCGCAAGGCGGACTTGAAACCCGTGGGGAGTCCCATCATCGCCGGCCATGGTGAGCGGTAAGTATGATTATTATGATTGGAGCCCATTTATAACCCCTAGTTTGGATTAGTTTTAGATAGTTTTAGATGGTTCACCTTGCATTTTGTAACAATTGTATGTGTCAAATCCTTTAAACTGAGGGTTGCAGAGAGGTTCTAAGCTGGAAAGGACAGAGTTAAGGCATCATTCATCTCAACATTGATCTAGCGCCCAGGGGAGTCTCCAAGTTTCAGAGATGCACATGTCAAGGGCATGTCGGGCCTCTGATAGCTGGGACCAGGAAAGCATCCAAGGCAGAAAAACTCTGGGTTTGGCCTAACTCAGAAAAACCTCGTGCGTCAAACATCATTGTGATATTGCAGGTAAACAAACAAATCATTCTGTTCTGAAGAAAATCTGCGAGGTTATCCCATTTTATCCATGCCCCATGAGTCACATGTCACTTGCTTTCAAGTTGTTTCTGTTTTTTGTAATTGCTATGTGGATCCCTTCTGAATTGACCCAAGTCCTCGGGAATCTCAGGTGTTGAAAGCTTCAGAGAATCGGGGACGATATTTCTGGTCCTGCAGAAATCCACGTGTCAAGAGACTCGGCAGACTCGGATCACGTGGCGTGGCCGGTGATTTCTGCCATGAAAACTCTCCCTGAGATGATCGCTGCAGCTGTGATCATCCAATATCAGGGCCATCCTGGTATCTGAAGTATCTCTTTTCTGCTGATACGAGGTCCTGAGGTATCTAGTGAGTCATCTCAGTCATCTCAGTTTGTTTGTTGTGAAATAACACTGTTGAAGCTTCAGAGGCACACTTTTTGCCAACTCTGTTCCATGTTTCAGTAGACATCAGAGATCAGAATATATCATGATCATACTTGAGGATGTCCATAGCCATTGATGCACACCTTCTCCCCATCTCAGGTTCTTTGTTTCCCCCCACCAACCGCTGTTTGTTAGCATGAGGAAAGGGACCTACCGCACCTGCGACTTCTTCAAGTGGGACGATGAACTCCTGCGGGCGAAAGATGCCAAGGACGTGGCATTCTTCACCGATCGGGTGCCATTGGAAGTCAGGGTTTTGCAGGGAAATGTCCCATGTGTGTTTTGTTTTTTTTGACCATGACCTTTGAATGTTTGATCGCCGGGATCTCCCCATGATTGAGTTATAGAATATAATACTTAGCTAAATTGATATAGATTTAGTATAATAGATCTATAATTAGCTATAATTATACTAGGATTATAGTTAATGGGATTATAAATGGTGCCAAAATTTTTTGCGTACACCTCATTGTATCGCTGTGATCCGTGCAGGACAGCACCGCTCCCTTGCCAAATGCGCTCTCAAGAGTGGTGGTGGCAGGACCGGTTGAGCACTGGCAGCAAAGCTCAAGTGGTGAAGTGTTGGCACCCGGAGGGGGCACCCAAAGAAACACATTCTGTTCTGAGCCCATTATCTTTGGGATGCATGCCAAGTGAAAATGGAAAATCAGTGAACGATTTATTTTTTCGATTCGCCATTTTTCCATATTTTTCCAGAAGATATTCATGAAAATCTCATGGAAAATTCATAGAAATTCTGTTGGTTTCTCTTTCTTGGAGATGAAAACCACAGCCAGACGCCAGGATCAGCTGGGTCACAATCCGCCAGTCATCAGTGTTCACTGGCACCTGGTGCACTATGACAGTAGTGCTTTCAAGCTGAAAGAGGATTGTTGATTGAGGTTTTAATGATCGTTGTTGGGTTTTGTTCCTGTTTGTGGATTTCACGTACTTTTAGACAAGGGACTTCATGTGATATGTGGTTTTGTTTTCTTCGCAAGTCAATCATGAAGTCGTTTGACGTTTCTCTTACTGGAATTCGATGTTGCCAATTCATTTCGAAGAACATGCCTTCCTAATTCATCTAGGGATGGGTCAAACAGTTGGGTAAGTACACATGAGCAATGTTCAAAACCGATGAAATTGTGGGGTTTTATAGCACCCCATCTATTGCGGGATGATCATTATCCAAAACTTCGTGGTTCTTTGAGACCCAAAGTTTTGACCCACAGCCAGCTGTGATTGTTTGACTTCAGCATGTCTGTGCGCTCCAAAATATGCCAGCGGCGCAGTGCTGATTTTTGAGGTTTCATGTCTGGCCACTTCCTAAACGACGTGCGAAGATACATTCAGCACTGGTCCAAGTACAATCATACTGGAATAGATATGGAAAAGTCAAACAGAAAACAGTGAAATTTGTTTTTTTGGACATCATTCCATATTCATCCATATTCTATTCCAGAATGACTACCTAAATGACCTAAATTCAGTGAGTTGCCGCAAAAGCACCTGTGACATCGTGTGACCCTCGCATACGGATTATTCAAGTTTTTGCACTTGGAATTTCACTCAGGAAACTCCCATTCCCTCAACAAAAAAGCAGGTACACATTATCCCCAAATGGTAGGTTTATTATGGTTTATTGGCTGCCATACCCTCCACATGACCATCCATCATCCCGATATATGGTTGGTGAATTCTCCATGGTATCCCTATACCCATAGGATCCATGGTGCTGGTATATATGCTAACATGACTGGGGTATATTGATGGGATCCATGTTACCATATATAGCATACGTGGATCCTATGGGATATGATTTTTGTGGCGGCTTAACACATGTTTTTTTTCACCACGGTGATGACTCTGCGTCGCATTTCTCGTATCTCAGAAGCGTGGATCGAAAAATCATGGCTGATCCCAAGCTACGGACCCTACGGACCTCGACCTCCTCGCTGCTGGGCTTGGCGAAGCGGCTGGAGGGGCCACCATTTTTTATGGCTAGGATGTTAATCATCCCCAACTGGTAGGTTTATGGCATTGGGTGGCCCTGGGTAAGGCCCACATTATGGGTAAATTGGGTAAATGAAACTCAGATTGAATTTGGTGGGGGCGGTGCAACCCCAAACAGCAAGAATTCGTATGCAATTGAGAAACATGGCGCTAGAGTCCAACTATAGCAAGAACCTTAGCCCAATCATTGAGTCAGTTTCCATGAAAAAAAATGGATCTGTTAAATCTTGCAGGTTGGAGATCTTGCCCATCTCCTCCCACATTAGGCATGGCCACCGACTTGCTGCTCTCGGAGCGTTGCAACACTCAGGGCCGATCAGTCGGGGTGAAGGGGGTGGTGTCAATATGGGTACCAAAAAATTCGATGGTGAAGCATAGCATGTCCCAACAAAATTAGATGGTTAATCATAGCTGTTCCCATTGAAATAGCTATTTGACGGGTATAAGTACACCATTCTCAGACCCATATAACCTTAACTGGACAATTAAGGACATCCCTGGTAGCACCAGAACAACTCCATCCAAATATGGGTGTGTCTTATGATGGTTTATCATCATCTTCCGATCAACAAAATACATCATTTGTTGTTCCTAGACAAAAACAATTTTCATACCCAAAATGGATATCATTAGCTGGTGATATTCCCATGGATATTCCATTGTAAACCAGCCAGAATATGCCATGAACAACGCCCAAACATTTGGGATCCCCAAAGGTCCTGTCGATGACATCGGCGCCGGAGCCAAGGTCAGGTCTCTCTTTTAGATGAGCTGACCAGCTCTGTGAACAGCCGCTGGGCAACGATATGATGTGGAGCAACGATGTGTTTTTGGCATTCATAGCGCCAAAATATATGTAAATAAGTCTGCACTATATATATATATATATTTATAGATATATATGTAAGTATGTATATATATATATATATATATGTGACATATAAATGTGCTGTTCGGCTTGTCACCCAGGTCAAAAACATGCACTGTACTCAAATGAATTTAATATATTGATCTTCAGTAGTGCTACAATCCTTTTCCTTCCGTCCTCCGAAATTTGGCTCATACCCAGGGGAATCAGCTTAATAGCTTGACAAAACCCATTGTTCCCCGGTTTTTCTATAGGCGTCCACCAAAAAACAGGGAACTCAGGTGGTCTGCAGGAGGTGGCAGATGCTGAGAAGGGCAGCTTCGAGGTGACGGCATTACACCAGTGGGGGTCCGTATGGATGTGATCCAAGAGATTTTTTGATCCACAAAAAATCGGGATGTCACTTTAAAAACATCTGGGTGTGTCCAAAACTGAGGCATACTGCCAAGTTTGAGTGATTTAACCATCAAGAATTGCATTGTTTCTGGGTCCAAATTCTGGGGATGCCACAAGTTGATGCCTTGTGTCACCGTCGCCGCACCTGGCAGGCCTTCCATAAGCACTGGCAGTCGGTGCGGCATCGACATTTGCAGCAGGAGGCCAACGCCAACTGGTGAGGGATTGGGGGTGAACAATCCAAGAAAGGGGTCAAATTGGGTTACACGAATGTACTCATATGTTTAGAATGTACTCATATGTTTACATGTTTCATCATGTTTCTATCTTATCAGAGTTTATCATTTAAGACCATATTTTTTTTTAAGTGCGAGTCCATTATTGGGGGTTGCAAAACATTTGACCGATATCCTCATGATTTTATTCCTGGGAGCGCCCCTAAAGAAGTGGGCTTGTTTTGCAGCTCCAGGCTATGTACTTGATCGAATTGACCAGAGGGTCTCTCCTATCTCGTGTCCACATGCATGTCTTACTGACAAATCCTGCTTTTTGCTTAGTCAAATTCTCACTATGTGGGTTTGTTTGTATCTCTCCTGTTAAGTCTCATTCAAATATATATATATATGTGTGTGTTTCATTCATTGAAAGATCATAAGATGTGTGGTCCAATCCATTTCACCCCCTCCCTTTTCCCTTGCTTGTTGGTTCCTGGTGTGTCATCCAGGCCTCTAAGCGTCGAGGGCGCTGGCAATGGACCGGATGATGGATGTGCAGTGGTGGGACCGAATTAGTATACCATAGTATAACCAGTTTATAACCCATTAATAGATAGTATAACCATTGGTAAACCATAGTATAACTATAGTATAACCATAGTATAACCCATGGTATTACCCATTTATAGATAGTATAACCCATTTATAAATGGTATAACCCATTTATGGATGGGATAACCCATTTATAGATGGGATAAGCCATTGATCAATGGTGACTTACTATAAACTATATAGGCTTATCAACCAGTTAGTGGTAGGATCCCATCCTCGTCACCTAAATGATGACCACAAGGAGAAGAATTTGGTGATGTGAACAATGATGAAGAATGATAATTTGTTATCTCTTTATTCATCCAATTTCCTGGTGAAGAGGGTGACATGAAGCAAAGTTTTTCTAGAATGGATTGATGAACTTTGATGACATGTTTTTAGTCAAAGGTCGTGCATTGGGGTTGGTATCACTGTTTTGTAACCAATATCTGCGAGACTAAGGGTGAGCTCCACCTTAGTTGGGGGATATGAAGCCTAGAATGCGTGCCACGATATGATAAGATCGCAGCAGTTGGGAGTTTGCTACTCACGATCAATGTTTCACATTTGGCATGTTTATTGTTTTTCAACATCACTCCGATCAGTGCCACTGGCGAGCACCTACCACCTGATACTGGAATCGGACATTTCTTTGAATATTGGGGCAAATGCCTAGGCTTGGAACATTGGATTCGGCATGGTACTGTATGTATTGGGTAGCAGGTCTTGTAGATATAGTCTGTAACGATGTTCTCACATGTTTAAACATCTGATCAACTCATTTCTTCTAAGACCTGGTTTTTAGATATCCTGAAGTCACCTGAATTTTCCTTCAGGTCCCAAAGTGCACAGCTGGCGCAGGATTTGCCAAGTGCAAGAGATCTGCAACTCTGCTTGTGAGGAGTAGGGCCCCCAAAGGTCAGATGAAAGGGGTCTCTTTGGTCAGATGAGGATGGGTCTCATAAATTGACGTGTTTTTGAATGGGAAAATGATGGAAAATGGATGCAAAAAATATGATGGAATTGTTGTTCGTTTTCCCAACATTTTTCGGATCTGACCCATCTCCCTGTACCCTCTCCGCCATGTCTGAGGCTTGATACCGTGCTGGGACAGCTAAAAGAGTTGGATCGGCAACGGTGTGAGGCGAAGAATCTGCTTGGCTTTTGGCTCAAAAAAGCTGCCACTGATAGGAATTTGTGAATCGTTCTATATATATATATATATGTGTATCTATTTGTTGCAGGAATACTATATTGATCTGTGATTTTGCTTATGCTACACTCTCTAAGTTCCGGGGTCAACAAAAACTTTGAGCTGCAGCCAATTTGGTGCATGTTGGGTGACATCGGTGACATGGTATTCCATTTAATGCTGGAAAAAGTGATGAAAAGTGATGGGAGGCGCCTCCAGAAACTGCATTCAGATCACGTACTTTTCATGGCAGCCCCAGACTTTGGGACATCACAGGATGCATCTCTGGACAATGTTTTTTTCCATAACATTTGCCATGTGGAAAACTTGCAGAAAGGGGAAATAGATGTCAGTTTCCAACACATTTCTGGATGGTTTCCAAAGCCATCTATCCCAAAAGCCATCAGATGTTTGGGTCCTGGGTCCACTGGGTCGCAGGTGCTCCGAAAAACCACTGCCCTGCACAAGGAATGTGAACAAATGGTGCAGGCCCGGAACAATGTAAAGGTGGTGAATGTTTTTACCTCCAGGTTGTGATGCCAAAAAAGATGGAAAGTGTAGGAGGTTATTTTGATGTTTTTTTTAATCCTCTGGATGATGCGGCTTAGAGTTTGGAAACGGGGGCTGCACCGAATTCAGAAGTTATACTTGCCACTTCTACAGCAAGCGGAAGTGGAGGTGTGATATATGGCGCCACAGGTGCAAAGAAGTGCCCAGATCCCTTCAGAAGATGTTTCATACAGGCCAAATTTGTGCGCAACAAGAATTGATTGATGTAACATCAAGTAACACTACCCCTGGAATTCCACCTATGGTTTTTGTTAATAGTTATGTCAAATTTAACAATTTTCGTGATAACATAACCATAATATAGTTCTATCATGTCAAATCGCGGCGCCATAGTGTCACCGCGCAGGACCAAGAGCGTTTGGCGGCCGAAGCCGAGGCGAAGTCAACTAGCTGGATTGCAACCACTCATAGTCTGAAGATGATTTTATTGGATAAGAATGGATAATGATATAGAAATCTCAAGATGGAGAATAATCATGGATAACCGTGTATAATAGTCTCAACATGTCTCAACATAATGTGGATTCCATTGATGAGCGTGTTTTACCCAGCCAGAAATGCTGGTGATTTACTCACATACAGGTTAAGCTGGTCAATTGCACGCCCACCCATTTTCATGTCTTGCTCCATCAACCCCTTTGAGGATCATTTAACCATACTAGCCACTTGTTCATCATTGTTATCGATCATGTCATATTTGCTTGGTTAGAATCGCCAATTTCTCGGTCCAAACCCACTGTTGCCACCGCTGTTGTCGGTTCAATCATGATTCTAAAGCTTAGATGCCATACGAATCCATATGATGATCTATGCTGCCATGATGTAGCTGATTAACCCATTTTTGTTGTGGCCTTGACTCATCCAGAAGTGGCGTAACGGTTACGCCTCGCAGGCGTTAGCTGAACGCCTTGACTACTTCGACCGCGTGGCCGATGTGGCGTCAAGGGGTCCCAGATGCGACACGGCCATGGCTGGATATTGACCGGTGAACGGAAGAGCGCGGTCCTGGAAGAGAAAATCCAACATGGACTAGATGAATAGACCATGTAATGAGATGTAATGAGATAGTATGAGTTGTTCTCAGATTCCATGCATTGAAGAAGGCAATTACTTCCGTGGGTCTGTTCATGTCTGTTTTGAACCTATAGCCAAATCCTAGAGACTCTCAGTGTTTTGAGCCTTCAGACATCAACAGCGTGGTGCCTCAACACCTGAGGTGTATGTTGGATCACCAATCGGCGAATGGTCTCCTTGCAGTCGCAAGCCCGGTGATTGGTGGTTTTTTAACACAGAAAGGACTGAAAAGAGAAGATGTCTACACGGTGGCTTCCATGTCCTTAGATTTTGTTCACTTATTGATGGGGATACCCTTTGGTAAACTAACATAACTAATTATGGAAAGATCCACCATTTTTAATGGGTTTTTATCCACTATTTCGACTGGGCCATTTTCAATAGCTATGTAACAAATTACCAGAGGGTAATGGAAACTTATACATAAAACTGCTGGGAGTTAAACCTTTGGGGAGCTGGGTTTCCCAACCAGCCTGAAGTTCCTGGCGAAGGAACATTTTTCGGAACTCGACAGCCGGAAAATCCGGATATGGCCATCAGGTGAAAAACATTGTGCTGATTGGTGGTGACTGGAACCATGGAATCTTATGAATTTCCCATCATATTGGGAATTTCAGAAAATCCCAACTGACGGAACTCCATCATTTTTCAGAGAGGTTGAAACCACCAACCAGTTGTGGTTCCCATGTGAATTTTCTCAATTTGTCCTTAGTGTCTCGCAAGTCATCTGGGAAGACAATGGCTTTGGGCCTGGCTTGAAAGATCCTGGACGGTTGTCAGCTGGTGGGTAGATGTTTCATATGTGCCATGCTGCAATGTTCAAAGAACTGGATTTATTAAAGTATATTGTTCCATTATTGTCCCATTTTTAAGGGAGAATCATCCCCTCATGAACAAGGCTTAATTTATACCCATAGGATCCATGGTGCTGGTATATATGCTAACACGACTGGAATATATTGATGGGATCCATGGAGCACCATATATCGCAGCACCATGGATCCGTCATGGGATATGTTGTATCATATGTTAATTAATGTACCCTCTGGTAAACATATACAAAAACTATGGAAAGATCCACCATGTTCAATGGGAACATCCACTATTTCTATGATCATTTTCAATAGCAAAGTGTTTGTTTACCAGAGGGTACCCAATAAATTGGATGGTTAACACCATTAATGGATATTAAATTCAATATAGGGGAAAAAAATGAACATCAATGCAAACTGCTAGTCATTACCAGAGGGTTGCAATGCTGGGATTCCATGGTGGGATGATCATTGGGCATCCCGTGCTATCCGCTGAGACTGGTACCTCGACTTCGCCCGGAGTCCCGTGGAAGTTCGATGCTGTGGGACGCTACGATGATGATATGGTTACTGTATATGATGAGATATATCCCATTGGTACCATAAATATCATAAATATATTATATTCCATATCATAATAATAACCATTCATATATATATAATATTAAATTCGATTATGATATGGACCCATTGATGAGTATTTATGAATAGTCCATATGGATGATCTTGAGGCCAGAAAACCGCTCTGGTTATGTCATGGCCTTTGCTTCCATGGGAGGCCATGGATAGAAGCCATGGCCAATAACAATTGAAGATATTTCATCATAAACCGTCATAAACCTGATGATTTATGATAGAAATAGATGATGAAATAGATGATTTGTATGATGATTTACCTATCAAAATTGGTCATATTCAGTTATTTGACGTCCCAGAGCCTGGCAAAGCTATGGGAACCTGGGAACCTCTGCCAAGGTCTAGTGGCTCGGACCTTGCCACGGTGTCTTTGGATGCATTGATCCATGATGTCTTTGTCTATTTTTTGATGTAGAGGTATGGATTGTAATTATGTGGTTGTATACTATAATATCATATAATTTAATATAATTAAAAACAAACAATCTTATAATATAATATATGTATATACATATGTTATAAAATGTAACATTATATCTGTATAATTGTATATTGTTTGTAATATGTACATATTAATCAACAAACAATGGGGGTTCCTAAAAGATCCTGAAAGGGTTTGTTTAGTCAAATGGTGTATCCTTTTATCACATGTTGTATCAGCATCTTTCCTATTAAAATTGTGTTTTAGGCGTATATGTGGACTAAGCCAGATGAAAATGTGGCAAGAACCAACAACGATGGGGCATGACATGGCATGACACCAGATAATTCTGAACATTTAAAAATGAAACAACATGTTAGTTGACATTGTCATGATACCCCATAGTTATTGTCTCTACTGTATGGTTTTCCCACATTTTCAGGCACATATGTTGTTTGGACCCAGAAAGTGGATAGTGCCCATTTGCTAAGACAGGCTGGTCCATTTCTAAATCTCTCATACCCTGAAGGCCCTGAAGATTGTCTGTGAATGTGCAATCAATACAACTATATACCCTCACTTTTGTGAGTTTTGTCATTGTTTTCCCATTACTTACATGAGATACTCATGTGTTTTATGTGTGAAACGTTGCCATCCCCCATCAGGACTCAACAATCCCTCCAGGTCTTGGATCAGATCGATGGGTCTTTGAGCTTTTTGGAGCTGCACCCAGACTTTTGCCCGGCTCTGAGTCGCTCTGAGCAATGAAATCGCTCGGAGGCTTTGTCTGAAAATGTTGTGTACCCCATTTACCCAATGGTTTTGCTGATCATAAAATCCCGTTTTTAAATGGCTATTATTATGGGAATATACCCAACATTTTCAGACAAACCCATGTTTGAAAGTTTGAAGGGTAAGTTTGATGTTTTTGTTGCTTGGATCTGTCCAATTTTTACTTTGGGGATGTGTTTCTGTCAAGGTTTAAGCTCTGAAGAAAAGATCGTCATGTCAACCTTTGCCAAGGGTACAGTAAACTCAGTAAATGCGGTGTGTTGTTCCAATGTGAAGGCATCCGCTGGAAATACACAGAACAAACAAACATGTGAATATAGCGAACTTGAATCAGAAAGAACCAACAACCGCTGGGGATATGACCTATTGTGGTCTACTTGGGATATCGGTATATAATAGTGTATATATATATATGTATTAGATATGTATTAGTTTATCAATCCCATATATATGTATTAGATATGTATATGTATATCATAGTTTAATTATCCCAATAACTCTTAATATATCTTGATATACAAACATGTTTTCGGAACGGTTACAAAAAGCAAAATACCCGAGCAGATCCCATAGCTCGGGTGACCGACCTCACGTTTCGTGGCGGAGGTCAAGCGCAACCATATACACATCAGCTGGGAACTCAACATGTGATGGTTGGATGGTTGGCTATGGGTCCATGAGAAAACACGTGGTGAATCATTTGAGTTTTACCATTCAGAATTAGTACCATTCATGATAATAGTCCATGTATATGATAATAGATGAAACATCCAAAAATGGTGAATAAAAATGGTGATAACAATCATAGTATAACTATAATGAACCACTTGATGATTATACCAAGTGATTATTACATACTATATTGATGATTATAACTACTACTATATCATTTGAGTCTTACCTTCCTGGAAGTGGAATTGTGTGAAATGGACAATCAGCGACCATTCACGCGAGATCGTGCGAGCTGTGCGTGTTGCAGGTGCAAGATCAGCTTAGGATGACTTGAACTTGAAAGATCCAATGAGAAAAAAGCACTCAGTGTTTCTGAGTCGTGTGGTGTCATGTGCCATGCGTCAATTGGTTGATTT